CGGTGAGCTGGTCGAGTAGGCTGCAGCCAACGGTGGCGGCCTCGACGGTAGAGGCGGAGTATATGAGCGCAGCGCAAGCGCTGAAGGAGGCGCTGTGGTTCCCCAAACTCGGGGGAGACCTTGAGTTGGACCTCGGGACGGTCCTGATCTACTGCGACAACCAAGGGGCAATATGGCTCCTCAAGCACCCGATCGCTTCACAGCGGTCGAAGCACATTGACGTGATTCATCATTTTGCACGGGAGCGTGTGGCACGCAAGGAGGTCGCGTTCGCGTACTGCGGGACGGAGGACATGAAGGCGGACATCATGACCAACGCGTTAGCACCAGGGAAGTTCAAGAAGTGCAAGAGCGAGATAGGAATTGCATAAGTCATTAGTGTGTGGGGGAGTGTTGAGATTCGGGCATTTAGTGTGCGCGATCTCTTGGGTGACGTCGACGGGAGTTCGACGATAACCGATAGTTAGCGGTTGGCGGTTAAATGCGCACCGATTACAGCGTTACACCCAAATAGCTTATTGAGATAACCGCCGTAATGAGTAGGTTCGATAATAGCCGTAGATATTCAGATTTGCGCGAGATCTTCGGACTTGCTTATCCGCGGTCAACTGAGCCTACTAGGCTATCAGTGTAGACTTAGACTAGGAGTGTGACTCTACTTGAGTGAGTCTAGCATAGCACACAGACTGCATACCCTTAGCGCCGCTAGACTCCGAACACTAGATATATATTGTGTGAACTTGATCATTCGATCATTCATTCCAAACAACGCCGTGTTTCAACAAACTTTTATCCTTTAAAGGCACTATAGACTGTGGACTTCAACATTTTCGGTAGACGACCTGAATTCGATCCGCCGGGCCGAGCCGTGCGGAAAGTGTAGTAGGGATACGAAGCGGTCCGAATGCGAGCAATTTGATCTACTGATATGCCATCGGAACGAAGCAGCAAGCAGAGCGAAACCGGAGCGGTGCTTGATAGAATAGGACTTCATGTATGGAGGGCAAAAGCCTCTAGGACATGACATATTAAAGCGTATACACGTCGGTGAGCACATGAGGACGCAACAAACTAGGAATGTGCGCGTTCAACCTAAGTACGTACAAGAACTTAGGCAAGTTGGTAATAAGACACCGGCAGAATATCAATAGCATACTGGGACGATGCCGGGGTGAGTTTAATGCAAACGAACCTGCAAGGTTATGCACGAGCAAACACCACAACTTACATGTGCGACGAAAAAAGTCATCCTCAGGTGCTAGAACTCCAAGTACGTAGATGCAAACACCTAACGTGTTGATCATGGAAGCAGATCTTGGAACAAGTACGTTAAAACATGAACGTTCACTTATGTGACCAGTATCAACCACATGGCAAAGAAGGGCGAGGCATCCATTCAAGGCACACGTTCTTGCAGCCTTATGAGCGCAAAAAGATTCATGTACATATGCATGCACCATCTGAACAGCACCGCCGTTTGACGATCGCCTTTTAGCATAACTGTTCACGAACTATTTTCAATTTGCTTTTGGGTCTCACTTTCAAATAGTAGGTTGAACAATCAAACTTTGTCAAGCGTCACCGTCCGACATCCACAAGTCCCTTGTTGCTTTGAATCAATAGGATTGGAATTGCATCATTGGAACGGACATCATCGTGTGAATGTTTGCTTGGAAATCCTATTTTCTGACAACAACATCTCGTAAGCCTATTTGTAATGCCATCGAGATATATGGCTAGCCTTGGTGCAGTGTCCGACCAATTGTAGTCCCCGAAAATGATCGGTCGTGCACTTCCGGAAATCTATCAAATGAATTCATCTCTGACCGCGCACTCTAGCTAGCTCTTCATTTCAAAAGAGCCTTGAGGCCCAACTCAAACTGCCTACTCCCTCTCTGAGTCGCGCACAATAACTTATGACAGATTTCGCCAGCTATAAACATTGCAAAATCATTTGCATTTGGCGGAAGGAACTATTGAATCTCTGTCACGGTGCCTCTAACGTTGACTCGAAGAACGTGGCGTGCAAAATGACCCACCGTCACTAGGTGCCAAAACGTGGAGGCACGTACCCATAGTTTTTACAGTGAGGGGTCCAGTTGTCGCTATTGAAGCCGTCGCAACCTTGACTGTCGCAACAAACGTACCTTCCAGAAGGATCGCTGTTGAACCAACAACGGGTGGGAAAATTTGTTGCCGAACCCGTTCCGCACACTCCTGCGTAAAGAGAAGAGTCTTTGAGTTAAGCCCTGGTCAAGCAAGCTTGCTGTACGCATAACGAATAACCAGAACGAGGCCCGTTTATGATGATGTTGGTCTCGATTGCCGTAATAGACAAACCCTCCAAAGCGAGGCATAAGCGGCAGCGTTAGTCCAACAAATTGCCAACATCCTAAAGTGACACACCATAACCCTGTTCAGTTACTCTTTTGCGAATCATGCACGGCAGTGCAGAGATCATCTAGCCGCTTGAGCTGCATTGATGCCTCTATATCAGTGAACCCAATAAAGTTGGAAATCTTGTTTGGATTGGTTGCTTGAGTTCGCGAGCTACATAGATGGCAAGGCACCTTCTTTCCTTCGGGAACTTCGAAACGCTAAGGAGTTGGACGGGTGCGGAGCCTTGTGCCCACTGAACGGCATACTTCTAAGTTCGTCGAAGCCAAAAGAATCTCCTGAGAACACCAACGGCTTGCAGCGGCAAAACATATCGAGTCTCCTTAGTCCGACGCCATTGTCATGTTATCCAGCTGATATTTTGAGGCATTTGTGGGCCAGCGTGTCATACCTTGCGCTCCTCCAGTCGGGGGTGGGGGCGTCGAGGGGCTCTGCGGGGAGACGCTCGGCGAGGCTCCGGCTCCGAAATTGGGCGGCACATACCCGTTGTTGCGGCAGTTGGGCGTCAAGTTGTCGGAGTTGAAGCCGTTGCAGCCTTGACCATCGCAACAGACGTACCGTGTTGTGTCCCGGTTGAAGAAACACTGCACACAACCGAAGGCAGATGTCAAAAGGAGTCACCACCTTGCCGGCTTTATTGCTCGTGAATGCATTATATCGAAGCACCAGCTGTCATGCACATTCGGTTCATAAAAATCCCTGACAGAGCGAGTCGCCTTGCAGACAGTCTGCCTCTACCGTCGGGGAAGTGGCAACGATTCCCTCGGGCTGGTTCCACGGGGAACACCGGTTCGAGAGTATCGCCCACCATCCCTCCTGCGGGAAAGAAGAAGATCCCGCAAACAAACCAGGAAAAGTGGCGAGCGTGCGTCACCTGAGTGGGGAAGTACGCCAGGCTGGCACACACGTTGCTTCCTCCCAGGGATGGCTTGACCGGCGCAGGGGTCGGGGACGGGGGAACGGGAGTGGGGGCAGCGACCGCGGGAGGGGAGCCTGAAGGGTTGCGGGAACGCACAACAGTTAGCAAAATGACGGCGAATGACGACAACAGACAAGACCAGTCAACTTAACGAACTCACAATTGGGGCGCTAAGGTGCCTTTGATCTGATCATCACATCGTAGAGTACACACATTCATTGCTCCGAGTCGGTGATGCGCACCGACAGCGGCTCGTACGGGTAGCCCCCAATCGTGAACGTGTTGCCCGAGTACGCCAACCGCGGAGCAATTTGCCACCCTGCACGCGGGCGCGGGGAGAGAGTGTTGAAATCCGTGAAGCACGATGTATCAGGAAACCGTGGAACTCTTAAAGCTAGTGACCACAATTGGTGTTAAAACGTTCTTGATGCGCGGGGCTTTCGGACACGCGCGTCTTCGGGTTGGGTGAGCTTTCAGTGATGGTCGAAAAAGCGTGAGAGCAACAATACATTTGAAGAAAGTAATGAGCACACGCCGTCAGGAAAGTGGTGATCGGATGTACGAAGCCGTCGAAGCAGGGTCGTCCATTACAAGAACGGCTGCAGAAGGTACGAGCGACGAACTCTGCATGACAATGATCCTGTTTGATCCTGTTCCTGGATGTCCAGACAGTCGTCCATGAGCTCATACATGGAGAAGGCAGGCTGGCCGAGGAGCGCGGTGCGCGCTGTGGCGCCTCGCGCCGGGTCCCGTGTCACGCGCGGCTCACCTCGGGTGGCGCTGCTCCACTCCACGCGGTCGATGTCCCCCGCGCCGTTCTGGTCCAACACCGTGAACGCTGCGGCAGCAACACGGCGCTCGTCATGCTTGCAAGCAGTTGGCGATCTCGTTGAAGGTCATAAACATTCATCGGGCCTTGCAGGAAGTAAATGAGCGGAGCCTGCAGCTTTGCATATGTCGAAACACGGGAGTCGAGCAGAATAGACTCGAGTCGTGTGCAAGGAACAGCCAGTCCGGAACGGGCCGTGCTACCCCTTTGCGCGGAGAGCGTGCGGCTCACCGAGCCACCACGGATTGGTCTGCTCGTGCGCGCGCAGCAACAGGTTCTTCTGATAGTTGCACGGCACCCTGCATCGATGCGCATACAACCATCAGACACAGGGTCACTCGCCACGTGACGCTACGAGCTGGGTTGGGCCAGAGCTCGTGCCGTCGGACGACTAGCGCTAGCAGGGTAGGGTATTTTTTTCCTAACCTGACTGTCTCCTCCAGTCTGTTGCAAGTTGACTTTCAGAAGAAGTCCCTAGATAAGGCGGCATGGCCCCTAAATGTGCAACCCAGAACTTGTGTTTCACCCCCCTGATTGAGAATCTTGCAATGGATCAGAGCTGAAGCTTTACAACAGAACGCGATCCGCGGAGGAAAGCATGCTCCAGCTTGATAAACGGTATAGAAGCATCTTGTCCTGCTCAAATGTGTGAATGCGAAACTTTTAGACGGCCTCGCAACACATGAGCTGTGGGCAGCCGGAGGGCAGCTCACCGCCTCCACTTGATGTAGACGATGCCGCCCCCATCCGCCGCGAAGTTGGCGAACTCGGCGTACTTGCTGGGGTCCAGGTCGAAGTGGTACCCCGTGTTGCCGCAGTTGTCGGCACTGCACACACACGTCAGCAGGCGTCAGTAGCGCACGGGGATGCACGTGACGCCGAGAATGTGGGCTTGCACGAATGGCCGCTCGTGCCGAGGAAGACTTGAGACGTTTCTAGGACGTATTCAAGCTGGGAGCCGGAGATGTCCGCTCTTGTGCGGCAGGAGACGAGGGGAACGGCTAGACTCTTATCTATGAAGGGTACAAGTGGGACGCGTGATCCACTTCTTGACAGCAAGATGAAACGTTGCCAGTTGTACCAGTTCCCAGCAAGTCGGTTGCGAAGGGCGCATAAACTGCGTGCTACCGAACTTAGAGTTGAGAAGCTGGTGAAAGCAACTGCGCAAGTTCGGCGGCTTCAAGGACGACGCACGCAAACGAAGACACTTGCTGGTGGCATTGGGTTGTTCATGGCTGCTGGGCGGCTCACTAGCACTCGTCGGTGATGTCGGAGAGCGTGACTTTGAGCACGGGCAGGCCGGGGCGGCAGCCGGAGGAGTAGACGGCATTGCCGTTGCCGTTGTTGCTCGGGTCGCACTGCAGCTCGAAGCACGAGCCGCACGCGCCGCCGTTGGCCCAGTACTCGTTGCCGATCGCCACGATCGCGTTGCCGTAGTACCCGAAGTACCGGCACTGCCCGCCTGTACGTCAACGAGGAGTTGACGTCTTTTATGTGGAAGCACCAGAAGGACAGCGAACGGCGATCCGCGGGCCTCACTCACAAGACAATTCAAAGGCCGAAGGTACCGTTTACTTCATCGATGTCGTAAAATGAGGGAGTACTTTAGAAGCAGTTGACAAGTCCACTTTCAGGCAGCGCCTCTTGAACTGCAGAGCGAATTCTCTGCTGCAAGGAAGGTCCCCATAAATGATGACACAGTTCGGGACCGTGCTATTTTTACTCAGGTTTTCTGCTTCCTGTCTCTTTCAACTCGGTTCTTTTACCCAGCTTACTATTTTAATAATCCACTGAAAAGGGAGGCTAAGAGAGAGTCTGCAAGAGAAAGACGTCCAACTAGTTCAAAAAGTTCTGGCTTTCCTTGAGCTGAAAAAGGGCCTCGGAAAGGCTCCAAAGGATTGTCGACGATCGAATATGGTGCCAAAATCCCTTGAAGCAACCCCTCAAAAGCTCACACATTGGAAAGGATACCCTGCCCGTCCATTGGAGAATCAAGAGACTAGTCTGGCTGCCTGTGGTGGAGCTGCCACGTGTGCGTGTGTCGCACCTTGTGCTGCATCCGGGTAGAAGGTGGCCTGCCCCGCAGTCCAGCCCGGGTTGAAAATGTCGAGTGCGGCCGCCGCAGGCAGCCCCACCAGGAGGGAGCAGAGGAGCACAAGCGGCGCCAGGAGCAGCAGGGAGAGCGAGGCAGCCATGATGTGAGCCTGCAGAGACATGCCGAAAAATGGTCAGATTCTCTGGATTAAGCTGAGGTTAAGGCATGACTGGCTGCGGGTGTGTACTGCTGGAGCGACTGGCCTTGGGTCTCCTGTGTGGGAAGAGACCTTAGAGCAGCAAGCGCCTTGGTTATAAGCACACCGAGACACTGAATCCAGTATGGGCCTGGACCAGAGGACGCTTACAGCTTGCCTCATTTCAGAATCCTGAGGGATATTCTCTCAGTACAGCTGACTGGATGTCGTCACCCAAGAGCACACCCAGTTGGGCTGCCAGTCTAGGAGCAACAGGAGGAAGCTTGACGGCGACCTGGACAAGAGCTTGGTGGATGATCTTTCTGGAGGATTCACACTGCTTATGTCAGTGGTTTGCTTGATTGAGCTTATTGCTAGAAAACATGTCAAGACACTCTGCTTTGAAAGGGATTGTGAAGAGGTGTTCTGCAAGGAGGGGAGTTGTCCATTACGACAATGCCATTGCTAAGATCTTCAGTAGCCAAGGAAAGGAGAGCTTTTTGGGGGGGAGGGAAGTAAGTACCTATCTGGATACTTCAACCTGCTCTTAGCTGTGAAACAGTTCTGGGAATGAACCACAGACAGATCTGCCCTCCAACTTGAAGTGTCAGGACCTCGTGCATAGTCATGTCCATCCCATTGTGCATAATGTGTCTCTCACAAGTGGTTGATAGGACACAAGGCGCGACTCCCACCCAGCCTGTTTTATCCTGGATTTACCCACAGGTGAGCAGTTACATTGAGGGGACAAATCACGAGTGAGGCCAGTAAACCCCTGCTTCTTGCTTTCTCATGACCGCAGGGACATCTGATACAGGGACTGGCAGGCCCAGATCTGGCCCCTTTCAGGCCGGGGGCTTGTGCACTGATCCCCAACCAGCTCCAAAGCAAGCCCACTGCCTGCCGCGTGCTGCGCAATGTGCCGGCCCTCACCTGTGTTGCAGCCTCAGAGTTTCAATCGGTAGTCCTGATGGTGTGGTCACCACAATGCTCCCCGCCAGGGCTGTGAGCATGTGCCTGCAAAGAGGAGTACTGCACCTTAGCCCCTGGTGATGACATACCGGAAGGTAGTGAGACCACCACGCAGTAAAGCTGTTTCTCCAGATGCGTTGTAGTAGAGGAAGCCCAGGAGCTCTTCTGTGGATGCTCTTGCAGGGATCTAGGGAGTGCCCATGAGCAGAAAAGAGCAATGCTGGTGCAAAACTGGTCATTGTGGGGACTGGGCAGATCAGGAACGCAGTGCCCAGCTGTTCCACAGGACTCCAAAGTTTCCAGCAAGATCTGCATATTGCTGCCAGACATTACAAAGAGACGCAAACAAGGCGACTGGTGCCCACAATGCTCCCAGCTAGCTGCTTTTACTAGCACAGACCAGCTTGCGCAATGCCACAGCGTCGTGCGCCTTGCCTTACGCTGTCAGGGGTGCCACCACATGCCGGGCCCCTGATCAATTCCAGCTGCTCCAAGCTGCGCTGTGATCTTTCGGCGGCGCCTCAACTTGTGCAGCAGTGCTCCTTTGCGGTGGCGATGGTGGAGTGAGGCAGCGAGCTGCTGCCTGCTGTTTCTTTCTTGCTGGCGCGCAGCTGGGGCAAGCAAGGCAGGGCGAGGGGAGACAAGGGCGGAGTACCTTCAGTCGCTTTCAAGACAATGCTCCCTGCTGGGTGCCTGCGTGCATTGGGAAGTGCGGTGGATCGCAAGAAGGGCTGCAGCGAATGTCGAGCTCGTTCAACCAAGGAGTGACGTCGGTGCACTTTTTCAATGTCAAGGTCGTCATGCATGGGCTCTGCAGCCTGTGTGCGCACGTACTGGTGGCCTTGGAAAATTCTGCGCTTTTGGGGGTACGAAATCAATGGGACCTAGTACAGGTTTCGGGATCAGGCGGCTCCGGAGTCCGCTGTACATTGACGCGAGCAATCAATGACGTACATTTTGCGGAGTTCAACAATCGAAGGGGGTACGAGTCCGTACGCTTACGTGAACCGTCGATGGCAGCTCTCAGAACACACGGACGGTTCTTTTGCGTCAATGTAACCTGACGCGTCTATGCCGTGACGGAGAAATTGTCGGGTTGAAATTCTTGAACCACGTTCGGTATCGGCTTCAATCGCAGCCGTTCGATCGGTCGTACGTGCAGGGGTAACTGTCGAGAAGCTCATCGGCCGCTGGGTGTCACCCGTGCTGACGTCACTGGCAAACACGTTCACCCCGCTGATACAAGGGGGGAGACTTTGAGGTGGCAAGACGACCCCCATGGAAAGGAGGGGAACGATGGTTGGGCTAGACCCCCTCCGGTCCCCGGAGTCCGGATGCAGTACGCTGCGTACGTGGTACACGTGAAAGTAGGTGCCCAGGACTCGGGGAGCCTGGCTCGTCACTGCCAACTGGGTAGCCGAAAATACCTGGAGACAGTGAAGACTCTGAAGAGACCCTTGACCTGACTCGCCGATTCAATAATGGATCTGACCCTGATCTGACGATCCAATGTACTGAAATCTGATAGGTTATAGGCACAGTGGGCGGGCCTACATGGTTTCCGCTAGCTGGTACGTGAGCCCAAAAGCGCTAGGCAGTACCTGCCTAGGTAGTACAGCTTCTCCTGAGGAATCTGCAAAAGAAAAGTGTGTAGGTTGGACAGTCTTCTGCTGAGTGAAATCAGTCTAAAACTAGTCGACACTGAAACTGGTAGGATGCTCGGGAGAAGCTGTGCTTTCAGCAGCAGTACTGCCAAGTAGGTACCCAGTGTACATAGGCACTCGTTATGCATGTCTAGCCGGACTGCGATGACCTAGGATGGCAATGGCGACGATGGATGCAGACGTGCTCTTAGCGTGGATATACCCATGTCTGGTTCATGCCGGCTTATCATTGGGCACAGGAGGTACTAGTTATACCGCACGAGTCAGCCCACACCTTGTCTTAGCGGAACGAGTGTGGGTGCCATTGGGTGGAGCCTTGGCAGTACTTGAGGCTAGTCGAGCAGTCGCTCATGTTAGACTGCACTGCCTGCACCGTGAGACACGTCTACCAACGAAGGCACTTCTAAGGGATAAGACGCATGCTACATTGCAGCTAAAATTCCATTTCTCCTGTACGATCAAATTTTAACGAACGTTACTCAATGCCAGGATTGGCGCATGATTCCGAATCCAGTATATATATAATTGCAGGGCAATCATTCGAATTGAAGAGGTGCGAAGGTGCTGTATGTATCTAAGTATGCATACATACATAATATATACTTCCGATAAAGTACTATGGCTGCCACCTCATCACTGACACGTCATGGATTGCGCTGGTAGATCGTGCTCACTGATCTACATCAGGCACGGCTCAAGACTGAAAAACGGCCTGGACCTGGGCGGTTATTTCAAACGTGTAGGCCACTATGGGAAAGGCAGTCTGAGGGTCTGCACAGACCTTCAGTCTAAGTGGAGGGAGCAGCTGTCTCGTCTCCTGTAGAGGACACCAGTAGTCTATCTTCATCAGAGGAGCGACCGTGAGCAGCTTGTAGCAAGCAGAATAGGAGCCAGAGCCGCGCCGCGCATGGGTGATTTCTGGCGATCTGCAGAGTCGAGAAGCTAGTTGCAGAGGGAACTCCCACCCGAGTACCGGTATGCTCCTCGTAGCTTGAAAGGTGAAGCACGACTAGTTAAGTTGCTTATGTGCAACTTGACAGCACGAACCTCAATAAGAGCCTTGCCGGTTAAAAGGGGAAAGCTGACCTGTACGCAGATGTTGTGCACACCGTCTCCATTGACTCAATTGTAGCAGCTTCGTAGCACAATATGCCCATGGCAGTCTCCCTTGGCGAGGTGTGCCCCGCCGCGTGCTTTCCAGCTCGTCCAGTGTGAGTGCAGCCGTAAAGACGCGCATGCGAACGGCTGAAGGACATGCATGCAAGGATATAGCATGTACGTCCGGACGCGGCCTCTCGCCACTCTGCACGGGCCCTGACCCCTATACACCTGTTGCACTAGTCCTTGCCTGGGTTGTTGCCAAAGTAGCGGGAAGCTATCTGTTGCACGCATCATGCATTTCCCGCAGTTTAACATTGTAATGTCAATCCTTTGCCAATGCGATCGTTGGCACGATCCAGCCAGCAGAAGTGGCTCACCCTGTGCAGGAATCACTGGTCTTGCAAAATTTACGCACAAGCCGCTCGCTCAACTGCTTGTAACAATATGTTCTCCGATCAGGTGTGAAATGGAATGAATTAAGCATGAATGGCAACCCGCAGCCGCGGCTCATCGGCATGTAGCCTTAATTTCATATGCAGTAGTCAGCCCAAGGCGAAATAATCTGCAGGACAACGAATTCATGTACTGAGCACAAAGTGCAATGCAGTCAAACGGTTTGTCTCATGCACTAGCTCCTGAGTTCCCTAGGGTCATGCATGGTTATTGAACACATGTGTAGATTTCAAGCTGGCCGCGCCTTTGGCAGACTACACGAAGCTGTCTATCTCAACCTAGGCAATGATGATTTAGCACCATCGTTGTTAGACAAGCGGCTCATAGAATAGATGTCAAGCTTGCCGAGCTAGCAGGCATAAAGAAGTTGCCTACACAAATGTCTCATGATAGGATGGCCCGAAAGTGACTGTGTCAAGACAACGTAGATAAACATTAAATGCATGAACTGGTCATATGGCACTCGCACACGAGCATTTATTGATATCATTTCTCAGAATGAAAAATGACACGGGCGCCGGTAAGCCGATCTCGATTTGGCAGTGCTGTGCGCGATCCATCATTGGTCAGGTCGGTCGATGCTACATAGCCTGGATCCAAGATTTCAATCGTACTTGATATCCGCTGTGCAAGATTTGACGCGGATCGTGTCACTTGAGGACTCTTATGAACACACATCATTGTAATTATGAAATTAAGGTGCAAAAAGAAGTACATTTCTACAAGAAAAGCAAAACTTAGAAACGAATGACACGTCTCGCTGCAGGACTTCTGCAGACGGAAACAAAACCATTCTACACTACGTATCTCAACACGCGGAGTGTTCCTCCTCCACCTCGTCCCGAGGGTCCGCCTCTAGCTGCACGCCCAGCGCAGCGCCTGTTGCGGCCGACACAGTGGGCCGCCAGTGCGGGCCGTGCTGCTGTCGGAAGACGCGCCACGCCAGCTGCAGCAGGCGCGCGCGCAGCAGACCGGCGTCTGTCAGGGGGTAGTCATGGCCCCGGAACTGCAGTTAGCGCGTGGGAGGCGGTCAGCACATAGGCAGAACGGCAATCCGGGCAAGCACGCAAGCAACCTTGCGAGCTTCCGCATAGAAGCAGAATATTGACCACTTGCAGTTCTTGCATGCAACGATCGCCCCGAGATTCTTTCGCAGACACAAGGCGTTTGTGAGAACAAGAGGGCGGCTGCTGCTCTCAACAACAGCCGTACACCGTCTTGGCAAGCGGTGCCACAAGCACGACGCTGGCCGTGACGAGGCTGCACTTACGACGTGGTCGACTTGGGCACAGTGGATGACGTCGGGCGCGGCCGCGAGGAAGCGCGCCAGGTTGAGCAGCAGGAAGAGGCCGCAGTCGCAGCTGTTGTCCTGCTGCGGGACCTGCCAGCGACGCACCCGCAGAGCAACGTCAGCGCGGCAGAGAGGACCATAAAGGACCTACTTAACCCTGCGGACGCAGGAACGACCCTTGCCCTCGTCCTGGGCTCCACTGGTAGAGAACAACACCGGATCCTGCCACCGAGCATCCACGCTGGGGCCACGAGAATTCGCAAGAGGACGCGGACCGGAAACATGGGAGGATGCGGAGCAAGTTCCCATGCGGCTGGCTCGACACTCCAACTGTCTGCCCTTTCCAACGCCCTCCCTCTAGGCTAGCCGACATGCAGTCCCAAGCCAGCATATTAAGGGCAGGCAGCGGCGCCCAGACCAAGCATTGCAGAATTCTTGTGACGGGGGCCTCACCTGGACTCTGCGCTCTTTGAGGTCCGGCAGGTGCCATGCCTTGGGCACGGCCCGGCCTGCCGCCACCAGCCGCGCAGCCTCCCGTGCACGCCAGGCATCCTTCACGAACCTGGCAACAAGCACGCAGAGATGGTAAGCGCAGAGCGCAGACAGCCACAAACGGGTCCGCTTCGTCCGATACGCCCTTGGATGAGCTGCAACAACAGATCCTGCGAGCCTTGCCTTCTGTTACGCAACAGCCGGTGAGCGAGTACCACAGCTGTGAAGCCCCTTCGCAACCAAGCAGTCCTGGTCTCTGCCGTCAGCGACACGTGTCCCAGGCTGTACGCTGGCGAAACGTTCACGTGCTTGAATCTACGAGGTGCCAACCTGAGCGCACCTGCTGAGGCGTCGCGCCACGAGGGCTGTGTCGTGGCCGCCGCGGCCCTTGGGCAGGCTGTCCAGGTGCAGGATGAAGGGCGCAGGGCCCTGCGCCGCCCTTTTCTTGCCCGGCTGTAGCGGCGCCAGCAGGCCGGGCGCGCACACCACCGCCAGGCTCCAGTGGCCTGCGCGCAGCACCGAGAAACGGCCACTCAGGAGAGAAAGGGTGGTTACCAGGCAAAACGCGAGCACGATAGGCAAAGCTCAAGAGAGCATTGTCTTGCGAAAACGAGAAGACACTTGCAGCTGTGAACGTCGTTACACTTGGGCAGGAATGTTGTGGGCAATCGCAACAACGAACGAGTGAGGAGTGCTGTCCAGGGGCATGCTCGCTATAGCAGGCGGCGCAAATGCTTGTTGGATCAATCAACAACCGAGACCACCCCTAACGAGCAGATAAAAGTTGGCCCCGTCAGCCCGGAAACTCCATCGGGTTGGGACCCACCGGTTGCGTGCACGGGTATGGCGATGGCGTTGTGCGCGAAAAGGTCCGGGCAGGCCAGGTAAGCAAGCAGGGAGCGCAAGTCGTGCGCAGCACCGGCAGGGGAGGGGCGGGCGGCCACCTGGCACAGCTTGGCGTAGAAGTACGTGTCTGCCACGAAGAAGCCGGGCCGCACCGCGCCGTGCTGCTGCAGGTGCCTGCGAGGCACGGATGAAAGCATTCGAGGGGGGGGGAGTCGCACACTTGCTGAGATTTGCGACACATGGGTCTGACGAATGGGAGGAGCTGATTTCAAGCTTGTTGGGGGCTCAGGTCCAAAGCCGCACAAACGCCTTCCAGGATGCGGGATGGTATACGATCTGATCCGTCGCTGTTCTTTGCTGCCAGGCGCTGGCGGCTTTCACCTCAATACGGCATGGATTGACGGTTGGTTCACGCAGGGCGCCTCCAAAAGATCTGTGCAACGCACCTGATGTAGAAGTTAATGAGAGAGCCGTTGAGGTCGGTGAGGGGCGCCAGCGCGAGCAGCTCCTGCGCGCAGCACGTGTGATGGACGTCAAGATCGGCAATACAAGTAGCGAGCAGCACACACTGGCGATCACAGGGATCTCAGCGCCTTGTTGAATAAGGTCTAGATATACAAGAATGCATTTAGGAAGCGAAATCGAAGGATTCAAGGGGCAACCACCTCAGGTCTGTCTCGAAACGGCTAGGCTGCGCTGCGCTGCACCTCATACTGACTGTCCCTGCTCACCGCTTCGTGCAGTTCAAATCCACCCTCGCCGGCGGGGTAGCAGATGCTCGCCGGGCTCACGGCCGGCTTCTCCTCTGGGTCCGCCACGTGTCCCGCCTCGTCGCCCGTCAGATCGCACAGCTCCACCACTGCGGGCGAGGAGCGCTGCCGCTGCCGGTGATGGCCCCTCGCGCTGCTTCGCCTCGCCTCCTGGCAAGCCAAGGCCACCACCTTCTTGGGCGGGCGTATCTTGACGACGTTCAGAGGAAGCACGCCTTCGGGAGATGCCGGCTTGCGCTGCTTGGTTTGCGCCAGCCGCGTGCTCCGCTTCAGAATGCCCTCGGCGCAGGCTCTTCCGAGCCCGGTCCTCGCTACTTTACTCCGCAGCACCATCTCCGCCGGGTAGCAGTCCCGCTGTCTCTTGCCACGTGTCTGCGGGCCCTCCTCAAGCCCGGGCTCTCGCGCCTTTCTAGTCCGCTGTTCTGCGGGTACCCCCGTTGCCTGCTCCCGTGCAGCCACGCCGCTTTCCCGTGCCTCCTGCTGGGTCACCAGCTCCTCGACAACCTCGCAGTCCAGAACAACGTCGCACTCCAGCGGTTCTACTTCTAGCCCCCTGGACAGCTCCATTTCGCCCCGCTTTCTTTCCCCCACAAACACCAGGTCCTCCTGCGGCCCCAACGTCACCTCCCCCGTCACCATTTCCGCCTCACGGTCGCTGGGCGCGCTCGCAGGCCCGTCCGCCCCGGCCTCCTCGTTATCCTCTCCCCTCTCTAGAACGACCTGCGCCCCGCGCTCACCCCCGGCCTTCCACCACTCGGACTTCCCCTTGACGACCATCCTAAGCCGCATGCCGTGCCGCCTGTGCGGGCGCGCCACTGGCGTTGTTTGCACCTTGGTCAAGCGGGCCGCCAGGCCGCTCGGGGCCTCGATGCGGCCGTACACGTGAGCCAGGGGCGCGCGCCTCACCCACGGACGCGGACCACCCGCGTCCGACGGGCCCCACCGCCGTTTGGACCGGCGGCGGCGCCGCGCTGGGAGCACATTCGAGAGACGGAGCCGTCAGGAAAGGATGAGGCACCTTTGCTGTCCCGTTCGACGGACTGCGGTCAAAATCAGGGAAGCAAGGCATGTGAGACACAAGATGCCTTTGGGACTCTGCAAACGCAGCAGAGCAAAGCGCAGGACCCGGTTCAAGTGGCCTGCCTAACGTTGGCTTCCACGAACCAGAAGTTTTTCATCAGCAGCTGGTTACACAACTTGACTGCTTTGAAAGTATCAAAGGTGATTCTTCGTCTTTCCGACGAAGTCGGCAGCACAGCGGCAAAATCTAAAACTGTCTCACCTGGCCCTAGTGTTGTGGGGTAGTTTGCGGGCCCGGCCCTACCCCCCCGCCAAAATCCTGGCCGGCAGGGTCGGCGCCCCCCGCCTCCCCGTCCCTGCCCCCCTCGCTCTCCAGCAGGTGCCGCAGGGGGTCCTCGTCCGCTTCTTCCTCCTCGTCCTCCCCCCCGTCCTCTAACATCTTGCGCCACCCCTCCGCGGGGCTCCCTTCCTCGGGCAGGCCCCCACTGGAGGGGCGCTCCCCCCGGTGGCTCCGAGCGTGGGCACTGCGCGCCTGCACCGTTTTGAAGCGCCGCTTGCAGCCGGGCTCCGTGCAGACGTAGCGGATGGACACCGTCTGGCCGTGCTCGTCCAGCCACACCAGGCTGTCGCCCACCTGAAACATACAAAATGCATCTTGTGAGCCATCGGGTACCACTTTTTGCAGAAGTGATGGGAGCAAACAGGAAGGCATCGCACAACGGTTCAGAAGGTGAAAGACCTCCTTTTGTGAAACAGAACAAGCTGATGCGGCCAGTCCTTTGAATGGTATTACTCTCCCTCCACCAATGCTTCAGGTGACCCCCTACTCACCAGTCGGCACAGTCCGTTCCACCCCTGTTCGGGCAGCCCCTCCTCCCCGTCCGCGTCACCGTCTCTCTCCCCCGGTTCCTCGTCCTTCTTGAGCCCCCCGAAGAAGACGCGGCTGTCCAGCACCTTCTCTCCGCCGCCCTGCTGCTGCGGTGGCGCGGGCGCGGCTGCCTGCTTGGTGGCCATCTCGGAGGCGCGGCTCTTGACCGGCTTGTGGCTGCTCATGTGCCCGCACCGCGCCTGCACCGTGGAGAACACGCGCGGGCACCCCGGCCAGCTGCACGCATGCACCGCCGCCCCCGCGGGGGGCGCCGCCTCCAGGGGCCGCCCCAGGATCGCGTCCAGGGTGACCACCTTCTGGGACTTGCCCTGCCCGCCCTTGGCGAGAGGGTGCGCGGGGCGGCCGGCGAGCGGCCCCGTGGCTCGTGGAGGAGGGCCCTGTACGGTGATGGGCACGGCGCGCGTGTTGATCGTCACCGTCGGGGGGGCGGGCGGGCGCGGCACGGCCGGCACGGGCGGCGCAAGAACGACTTGGCCGGGCGCAGGGAGCACGACATCCGCCGGGGTTATGGTTTGGGTGACGGTGACCGGAACAGGCGCCGGTGCCGCATTTACTGGTGGCTCAGGGGCCTTCGGCGGCTCCTCCTGGGAGGTTGGGGTCTGAGGATTGCGCAGCCGCTTGCTTTGCCGGGGGGTCACAGCCGAGGCCGGGCTGGGCAGCCCTTGCTCTGCCGCGGAGGCGAAGGGGCTCAGCGCCCCGGGAGAGGTGGCGCTGTTGTTCCGCGGCCGCCGGGCAATTTTCCTGGTCATCTCGATGCCACCCCCACGGATGGATAGGTTCCGTTCGCGGGGCTTGTCATCCTCTCGCCTCTCTGACAAGGGAAGCTGCACGCTAAGTGTCTCTTGCCCCCCACCTTTGGCAGCCCCGCCCTCGAGACCGACTTCGAGGAACTTCCTCCGCTTTTTCACGGCATGCTCGGGAAACCACTTCTCAGCAGGAGCCTCCAAGCCAGTTTCGTCCAGGAACGCCGCATCCGCGCTCCGCTTTCCCCCACCCTGGGCTGGGTCCTCTTCCGACTCCTCATCTTCACTGCGAATGTCAATTTCTTTCCTCTGCCCTTCTGTCAGTTCCCACTGCTCGCTACCCCCCAGGAGCCCCGTGCCCCCCCCTCCCCCTCGACCTCTGGGCTGGGGGGCCCGCTTTGGCTGCCTCAGTCCCTCTGCAGGCGGGTTGCTGGCACCCGTATCTAGAGGGAGCGCAAGAGGGTCCATCTCTCCTGTCAGGTCGAAGTTGAGAGTCGCAGCACCCCCCGTCGTGCTCTGGCTTCCGAAGTGCTGCGCTCCAGGGGCCCCGTACTGCTGCCCGCCCCACGCTGCGCCCGTGTCAAACCCCGGCCCTAAACCTTGCCCTAAGCCCGTGTCAAACCTCGGCCCCAAACCCTGCCCTAACCCTTGGCCCAGCCCTTGCAAAGCCCCTGAGGCCGGCATCAGATCAGGCGCGCTGCTTGCTTGAAACCCCGGGTCGAGCCCACTCTCTGCCGGGGCCCCACTGGCCCCCCCCATCCACGACAGCGACTCTGACCCTCCCTCGCTCGGGCCGGAGAGCCCCAGTGCCGCCCTCAGCTGCTCTTCCGTCACATCTTCTGCCGCCAGCTTCGCTTCTGCGGGTTGCGCCACGCCCGAGGACGTGCTCCCCGAGGGGGGCGGCGTCAGCCCCGCCGACGCGGCCCCTGCGACCGCAAGGAGGCCCTTCTTGGCGAGCGTGCGCTCCTTGGCGCGGCGCGCTTTGGTGACGACCTGCACGGGCGCCTTCTCGCGGCGCAGCAGCTGGCGCTTCACGGCGGCGGCCTTGCGGTACGGCAGCAGGATCAGCTGGTCGCCCACGCGCTGCATCACCTGCAGCGGGCCCACGCCGCTGCCCGTCACCTGCACGAAAAAGAGAATTAAGCTTTGCGCCATGGACAATACTCTTAAAGCGCAGACTGTCACACCGAATGGCTCGCATCTTGTTCCGGCATAGGTCATGAAAGTGAAGCTGAGTAATTGCCACAATTGCATTGTTAGCACGTTCGCCTCTGACCAGAAGGAAGAAGAGTACCACATCGAGACTGGTTCCCTGTCGACCGTCGAAGTGTTCGACTAAAAGAGCTTTGGTTCGGAAGACATGCACACGCCTCCCGACACTTGCACCAGGTTGCGAGGTATTGGGTCCCAGATGCTTTACTCACCTGCTCTAGGATTGCCCCCTCCTCCGACACGACCAGCCTGTCCCCGATCTGCTGCGGGTACTGGTCCGCCGCCTGCCGCTCCGACGTCAGCGTCACGGCCGCGTTCTTGCGCGGCTTGGTCGCGTACACGCTCAGCATCTGGGCGGGCGCGCGCGCAGCTGCCTGGGACACGGGGAAGTTCATCAGGCCCTCTAGAGGATCCGCCTTGACGGTCTTGGGGGACTTCTTGCCGCCGCGCTTGCCCACTTGCACCACCGTCACAGGGGGGGGTCCCTTTGCACCAAAGTCGTACACCCCCGCCACATGCTGCGCTACAGCTTGGCCCCCTGGGAAGCCCGGCGTTCCCCCCAGGTGTGAGTCGCCGCCCTGGCCGCTGTCTGGCCCGGCCCCTCCCATGGAGTCTCCTGCCGACTGCTGCGACCCCATGGCCTCCAAAAACGACGAGAAGCCCGCTTCGCTCAATTCCCCCGCGCCGCCGGCAGACGTGACGCCCTGGGCCCCAACGTCTTGCCACATCGGATCCGACACTGCCTCCCCCCGTGCTTTCTTTGCGGGTCCTTCCCCGGTGGACGTTTTCTTGGGACGGCCCCTCTTAGCAGGGGGTTTAGCTGCTGCCTCCACCACTTTGCTGGTCGCCTCCACCACGGCTGCATTAACGGCCGCATACTCGCGGTCGAACTCGGCCAGCACCGCCAGCAGGCCCGCCACGTTGGGCGCCGCCTCAAACTCGACCTCCCAGTCGCGTGTGCGCCCCTCTCCCGCAGTTGGCGTAACAATGAAGTCGTAGTCGTCCAGGTCGTCCAAGGAGCGCTGGTAGCGAACTAGGTTGGACTGGAAGTACTCGCGCACCTTATCCCGCACCGCAGCCGCCACATCCGCCCCGCTGCCCCCTTCGGTCGTCCGCCGGCTGCGCGCGCGCTGCAAGTCCGCCACAATGTCCCTGGCCGCGTTGTACAAGCTCGCCAGGCCGCCCTCCTGGCCGGCCTCGCTCTCAGGATTGACACCGCCGTAGCTCGGTGCCATTGGCGCCAATGTGTTGGGCGCCATGAGTGTCAGATGCTCCGCCTGCACCACCCTGGGTGGGGCGGTCGGCAGGATGAGCCCGCTGGCAGCGAGAAGGCGCTCCTCCTCCGCGCGCTGCGCCGCTTTGCTCTTGCTCTTCTTGGCGCGGGGCGCCTTGCCCGCCTTGTCCTTGGCCGCCTTCTTGGCCGCCTTGACAGGAATGATGGGCTGGTCACTCAGCCGCCGCTCACTATCGCTGTCGCTCACGCTTTCTCCCGCCCCGCCAGCTGGCGCCGGCTCCTTATCTGCGGCAGGCTGCTCTGTGGCTGCGGCAGGCCTGCCCTCTGGCAGCCCCAGCGGTGCCCCGCTCTCCAGCCCCACCACCGCTGCATGGTCCAGATTGCCTGGCTCCAGAGAGGTCTGGGGCTGGCTGCCTGTGCCTGCTGCAACAACAGCCTCCTGAGCGAGCCCCTCCGCGTCCTCCATTGTGACTACTTGATCACCAGGCGGATCCTCTACTTCTGGGTCACCTTCCTGCCCTGCCTCTTGCTCTGCAGCGGGCTTGGTGTTCTGCTTCTCCTCAGGAGTCGCCTCCTCATTCGATGCAGCCTTCATTTGCCTCACCTCCTGGCCTGCCCCTGTCTCCCCCTGCCCGGCCTCCCCCCCAGGCTCGCCCCTTGTCCCATCCCTCGCAGGCCCGCTCTCTAGTGTTGGAACATATTTGCTGGGTTCTGAGGGTCCACTCACAGGCTCGCTGCTTCCCAGGTTGGGCTCATCAACCGCCCCCCCTGGCCCCTCCCCCTGCATTGCGGCACCCCCCGGCATGTCTGCTTGGCCCAGGCCCCCTTCGGCAGGGGCGCTGGCCAGCTCGTGATCTGAGGGCGCCTTGCCCCCCATGGGGACCACCTTCTTGAGGATTCCTGAGAACCACCGCCCCAAGGAGGCAGGCCGGAGCGGGCCAGCCAACCCCGCCCCCAGGACAGCTGGCGCCTCCACGTACGCCCCCAGGTCATGCATCCCCTTCTCCGGGAAAGGCTCGAATGAAGTTGGGTGGGCAGCAAATGGCACCACCTCGGTGGCAAAGCCCCCTCCTGGCTCTGCGGTACCCACTACGGCGAGAGCGGGCCCGTCCGCTAGGATGAGCTGGGGCGAGGGTGCGTGCACCATGCTGGACTTGTGGGCGGTGTTGAAGCCCCTGCTACTGCTGCGCGCCAGGGGCTGCGCGAGGGGCGCATCCTCCTGGCTCTCGGACCACAGCGCGGGCAGGGGCAGGGGGCCTTCTGGGACGTGGCGACGCAGCTTGGGGGAGCGTGCGCTTGCCTTCTTAGGAACTGGGGCCATGGTGGCCTGGACAGGGGAAACGAGGAGAGAGGTCAGGTGAAGGGCGGTGCATTAGGTGCTGCATTCCTAGTTGCTGGTACTGACAGCAGTAGACAAAGTCTTAACGAGTTTGACATGAAAAGGAACATTCTTGCATTGAGAAGACAGACAGAGCTCTATTGAGCAGGTGCTCAAGTCCACAGCAGACTACTCTGACAGATCTCAAGTTGAACAGCAGTAAAAGCCTCTGGACTTAGAGGCTTAGCCGCAGTGCAACTGCATAACATGCTCAGGCTATGTTATTGAAGCCACATTGTCAACCAGAACTTTGCTGACTGTTCATCACTTACAGCGCTGAATAACGGTTAGGAAAAATCGACTCATGATAGGCAGAGCACTCGAACCATCCCCGAGTCGTCCTATTATGCTTTTATTGCGGCAGTTAGGAGGCCTCAAGGTGCGGTCACCCATAAAATCTGGCAGGGAAGGAGGCATACGAACAGTCGACCTATCACACACTGCTTTAGCGCTCACCTGCTCTCTTGCATCTCCCTCCTCCTTCGCTCCTCCAGGCAGGCCCCCCGCCGCCCCGCGGCGTGTCCTACCTTTTCCCACCGTCGCTTTCTGCTCGGGCATCGCCCCTCCCGCCACTGGTGCTGGCTCGATTGCTGCTGCTGCCAGCCCTGGTGCGCTCTGTTTGATTCCAGCAGGCAAGTCGAGTGCCACTGGCACCTCTGGCTCCAGCTCCACAGGCGGGGAGGCCAGCTCAAGCTCAACATCCACCTCCATCTCATCCGCAACCGCTTCTCCTTCTGCCTCTGCCATGACTGCATCTTTGGCTTCGGCTTGCTCGACAGCCTCTGTCACAGGGGCAGCTACTCCTTCTGACTGCCCCCTTGCAACCGCGGTCTCCTCTGGCACTCCCTTCACAGGCGTCGCAGCAGGGGGCTCACGCTCTGCTTCCTCAACCCCCTGAGGGCCATCAGTGTCCACCCCCGCTGGTTTTGCTGCCACTGTCACCCCCTCCGCTTGCTTGTGGGTTGGCCCGTCTTGAGGCTCTGAGGCTGCTACCTCAACAGGGGCAGAAGGCGCCACAGCATCCTGGGGGCCATCTCCCTTGAAGGCCCCGTTGGCGTCCTCCTTGGGCGCATCAGAGGTGTCCATCGATTCTGCCCCCTCCGGCCCCTGGCTACCCTTAGGCTCGTCGTCCCGTGCGGCGCCAGGGGGCCCTTCGTCCTTTGGGTCTTCCTTGCCAGGTGCTTCTCCTGCGGCCTTCTCGTCCGCTGCTTCCGCTCTCTTGGACGGCAGGGCCAGGGCAGCCTCCTCCACAGGGCCCCCCTCCTTGATCTCATCTCCAGTGTCCCCATCCCCTACTCCTGGTGTCTCCCCCTCCGCCTGTGCTGCAGTGTCCTTCGCATCCTGCGTCTGACCTCCGCCTGCGCGCCCTTCTTCCTGGCCACCATCAGCGAGCTTCTCGTCCTTCTCCGCAGGCCCTGTCGCCTTTTCGCCCGCTGCAGCAGGCTCCGCCTCGCCCTTCTTGCCCTCTGTCTGCCCCTCAGTCTCTTTCTCAGCAGCCCCGGTGGAATCTTTTCCCTTCCCCTTCTCCTCCGTGACCTTCTCTCCTTTCCCCCCCTTCTTCCACGCCTCCTTCTTCTCATCGTCTCGTTTGAAAAACCCCACCGCCATCAGAACCTCGGCCGCCTGCAGCATCTCCATCTGTTCATTCTCCTCTCCTGGCCCTCCCTCATCCCCGCTCAGCTCGTTCTCCTCTGCCGACACATACTCCTCGCTTCCCCGCCCCTCCTCGCTCGCCGCCCTTTTGCGGCCCTTCCCCTCGCCCCCGCGCCGCCGCACCTTGCGCTCCGGCCCCCCTGCAAGAGCGGCCTGCTTCTCCAGCTCTTGCTTGTGGTTACTGTGCACGCGCCCCTTGTGCCCAAACAGCGCCTTGTCATTCTTGAATTTCTTGTTGCAGATATTACAAACATTGGCGCCCCACGCCTCCCCCTTTGCCCCACCTTCCTGTGTCACCTCTTCCCCGTCGTCTTCCCCCTCGCTCGCCGCCACCCCCTCCGACTGCTCGCTCTTCACCCCCTTCTTATCGCTGCGCTCCGCTTCCACCACATCCGCCAGCAGCTTGTGCTTGCGCTTCTCCACTCGCGGCGCTTTCTCGTTCTTGTGGCCCTTCTGGTGCGCTGTCAGCGCAGGGCCGTGGCGGCTCTTGAAGCCACAGATGGAGCACACCTGCAGTGGCCCCTTGCCGTTGATGGTGGTCCCCGGCTTGGCCAGCCGCCGCTCTCCCGGCCGCTCTGGCGGCTGCGCCTCCCCCCGCACATCCTCGCTCTCTGCCTCGGACCCCACTTCCTCCACCTTGACTTCCACTGGGACTGCGGCTGCGCCTGCAGCGGCCCCATCCAGCACGGGGCCCTTCCACTTGGCCGCCCCGTCATCACGCGTGCGCATCTGGGAGCGCTTCTTCTTTATCGGAATTGCTGGGAGCAGGTCTGATGCAGCGTCTGCCACCACAGCAGAGCCCTCAGGCAAGGCTGAGGCGTTGCTGGTCTCGTCTTCAGTCTCCATGTCCTTGGGGTTGCTGGGAGGATCAGCTGGCGGGGATTCCAGACCTGCACCTGCTGGCTTTTCTGCTTTGTCGACTGCGTCCTCCATGAGGTTCTGTTGCAGATACCTGCAGATCAGGCAGGTAATCAATCACAAAGGGTACACCTGCCAAATCATAATTGAATGTCCTTGTGATTGGCTGAGTGAATGTCATTGAAGAGCATCTCTGTTTCCCAGTTGTCTTGGACACTGCTTCCAAGAGTGGATAGAAAGGAAGAATTAACAGAGAGTTCTGCAGACTCCGCCAGTAGAGGCAAGTCCTTGCGTCACAAGCCAGGTCGCATGCTCTTGGCTTTCATTAGCATGCCAGACAGCCAACTGAGATTCATTCCTGGCCTGAGAGTACGACCCAGAAAGCAGTTCACAGTCTCTTTGGCAGTGCAATCAACCCCGACACAAGAAAGCGCCCTTTGCAAGCATGAGCTGCGCCTAGCAAGGCTGACCTGGCAAATGCTACGTAACTGCCAGACATGATACAGAAGCAGCAGGGCAGCCTTCAGTCCATCCCAGAGCTCATTGACCAATGTATGGTTATACAGTTACATAATCCAATCCCCAGGGCAGGAACACCTGCCACAATCATGGATATTGCCCAATTGCAAGGGGTCTAGCGCCAGCACTACCAGCCTGCGGACATGCCGGTAACAACGCACATGGAATGACCCTCTACCCAAACAAAGGCCGCATGCTTGGCCTCCTTGCACATTGGCGAACCGCATGAACCTAATGGACCTTTGAAGAAGCCTGAAGTACTTCCTATTCTAAATCACAGTACCAAGCACCTGATCTGAAAGATGGAAAGCATGGCTGTTCGAAAGCTGCAACAATTGGAATGACACTAGGTCCATCTCTTGCTGGCTTTTGCCAGCAAACGCTGCTCTTTGAATCTGACCTCCCTGTCAAGAATGCATTGTCAACGAGCTTGAACTACCAACTTTCAAGATTGGAAAGGAGCTACGAAGCCTCTGCGAGCAGGCATTGGCAGAAACAGACCCCCACTGTCCCCATGCTGGACAGTTCCGCGCAGCTTCACTGGAAGGGGACAGCTATACAACTCATGTGATGCCAAGGAAATGCCGGGCGTCAGATTTGCAGCTTGCAACTAACAACAATAAGTAAGTTGATCGAGTCAAACTCATCAAAAGCATTGACATACAGACTGATGACTGGAGACTAGGGAACGGCTAGGATAATGCACGACCTCACATAATGGTACACAGGCAGCTCAGATAAACGAGATGACTCCTCAAGCTAGCTGAACTGTCGACAAAGTCCTCTGTACACTGACAGGTGAATGCCAGAATCACAAGAGAAAGCTTGTCCTAGCCCCTCTTCATGGTGCTGGTAAAGGGTGTAGCCCCAGCTAAAGCCAGCACACACTGACAGAACTTGTTTACGTTAGAGACTTATCTCTTCCACAAGACCTGCGGGGTGGTCTTGTAAAAAGCAACCAGACCAAGGTTTCTGGTTTTAGGAAGCCTCCAAGGAACCACAGCTTTCAGTATGTGCAAAGGCCCAGCACAGTAGACACAGCTGAAAGAGCCCAGTACATCTGGGAACTGGAACTCACCTGAAAAGTAGTTCTCAGAGTGCTTCAAGCACAACGCACTTTCGCTCCAATCAGCTCAGGCAAAGAGAGCACGCGATGCAATCGCTGTCAACTTCCTTTGGATGAATGGAACCCATAGCTCAGATTCTGTAGCCTGGGCGTTCTTCGGAGTCCCCAAGCGATGTTTGAGAAGCTTCAAACAAGGGAGCACACGAGCTTGCTAGCAGAGCGCCTTGCAGGGCTCCTCAGGCTCCATATGGCCAGCTTCCTGAACAAGATCTGAAGGGACGCCCTTTCCCATTGGAGGGCTACTGTTCAAAGCCTGACGAGAAACGGCAACAGACGAAAGATACTCTAGCGAGCGGATCCCGGAAACCTCGCTAACCTTATTTGGGTTATTCTGGGTGTTATTCACAATCCAACCAAGAAGAAGGTGGTTTGTACCGGCGGTTCGCTGTACCCTGTCGAGATAGCCGTCGTATGTGCCGGTTTCAGCGAGCAAGTGAGCTGCCCGTACGGCTTCAGTGTGAAAAGCCACCGCTTCCCAGATCGAAGTTTCAATAAACCTACCACTGTTTTTGTCGAGCCCGGCTAGCCCATGCAGTACGAGTCTTGTCCCCCGGTCACAAAAGGCCTGGCCGGAAAGTCACTCGGCGACTCTGCATGCCGTTAAGTACCTGGCGGGCCGCGCTGGACGGCACAGCCGGTCGCCTCGGCCCGGAAAATACATAAGGGCAGTGCCCGGTAGTTTTGCCCAGGGCCCCGAGCGGGTACGTTTGTTTGAAAATAACATCTGCGGTTAAAACCTAACCCATAAAGCTTCAACAATAATGGACTCCCCAAACCCTCTGTGCCGCAGAGCGGCCGCGAGCCGCCAAAAGGCGCGCCCGGCCCCCACGACTACGCGCGGCCGTACTACGTTGCTGAGTGGACGGGCGGGGAGCTCCGCGAGCGGACGGCCACTCAACGAGGCTAGTCCAGACCGATCAGAGTCGATCCGTCAGCTGACCACGGTTTGGGGCGGTGCCGTAGTGGCGGCCATGCATCCAGTGAAACAATATTGCGGCAGGCCCGGCATGGTGGGCCGCGCCCAAGGGCCTTGCGTTCATGCACGGAACCAGTAGCATAGCTTCGTGGATACGATGGTCACACGGCGGTTAAGTTGACCGACATCAATGCAAATACGTACTGGACGTACTGCGAGGAATTATGAGGTGGGTGCCTGATCGACTGTACGCGGTAGATAATCTGAACCTTTGAGGTAAATATAGGTATAGATGTTGATCGACCTCTTGGTCCTAGTAGCACGACGTCCAACAGCTCTCGGGCAGCTCTTAGAATCGAAATCTTGTCAATGCTCCTCGATTCTACGAATGTCTTTGTTGTCGATGACTTGTATACGAAACGTCAGTGAATGGAACTTCATCGGGTACTCAGCAACAGTGTTATTGTGTCGATGGGTTGTCAACAGACCAGCGACGTTGATCCGCGGAAAGGCAATTCATGATATCTAGTGTGAACACAGCGATCGTACGTCCGGGCGCAGGTCACAAAAGAAACGCTGCCGGCTTCATTCCCATCAAACATGCGAAGAGCTCAGGAGGCCGCTGATCAGCTGAAGCTAGTAACAAGCTGGACCGCGGCAACGGGCTAGGTCTAGTGACAAGGTTTTGGAAGTTTGATGGGCTCCCATGAGAAAGATGCGTATCTAAAGCTTCGAAAATGTCCATTTGCCTCAAAAGAAGACTTTTAGCGTGTCGTTATCTGCACGCATTTTCAGTTGAAAGCTGTGTACATGGGGCTCGATCCTGCCACGAAGCGACGTGTCAAATCAGTGGCAGTGCTTTTTGATTGACAAAACAATCAGAGGATCTCGCACTTTTTTCGGATCTTTAGATGCCAAAATCGTGGACTATAGATAGGATTGTGGACTATATAGGATCCAATGCATTGGTCTTGTTGATCAGGCGCGAGGCCTTCAGATTGACGGATACCAATAACTCTTCCGGCTTCATGATGTGACACCCTCAAGATTCGGGCACCAAAGTTCTCACCTAAGCTTCGTGCTATAAGGTTCGAGTTCTAAAACGCATACTTGTAAGCACTTCGTTACATCGGAGGAGACAGATTCCTAGCTACTTATAGCTTGCTAATCTACATTGCCGTTATACTGTTGTATTGACCTGGTGCCACATATCAACCAGCTTGTCAACCTCCGTTTGATGCTTCTCCTGGATGTTGAAGCCTTTTTCTCGTTCCGCAAACAGCACACCTTGTCAGCTGCCTCGCTTAATCTCTGAGACAGCAATTCTACCTTGCTTTCAACAGTCACTAGTGCCCTTTCCGTAGATATGAGATGAGAATCTCCCTTTTCCAAGCATGACTCTGTTGATTCCGCTTCCTGGCAAAGCTTCCAGATGACTATTTCAACGAGAGATGCTTTATGTCTTAGATCCATGCGCAGTTTGCTGATTAGCCCCAGCTTTTCATCTCGATCTCTCAGCAGAGCTTCAAGGCCTTCTCGCTGGAGCAAAGATTCTTCATCGCGCCTGATGGACGAGACGGGATCTGCTTCGTTCGCGTCCAGAAAGGAGTTCTCTTCCACCCCCTGGATTGCGCTTGTGCATCCACAGACGAGACAACCACTTCCACTCTCTTTCCGAGATAACAAGATTGATTCAGTTGAATTGCTCATTAGAGTGAAGCTGTCATTTCTAAGGGCGTCCGACATCTTGACATCCTCTCTGAATCGTTCTAGTGTCGACTCGAAGAACGAAGCCCGCCTCTGCTGCTGCATCAGGTCAAAGCTCAGCTTCCGAATAAGTGCTGCTTTTTTCTCTCGATCTTGCAGCAGTACTTCAAAGCTCTGACGATCTAGTTGCGCAGGTTGACTGTCTTTCCACTCGGTTTCTTGATTATCCAGATTGCCCTGAGAACTCAGCATCGAAACCCTGGGTCCTACTGCGTCTTCAGCTCCCTCAGTCACCGGATCACTTGCTGCGTGTCCTGTGCCCTGCGGATCCGTCTTACGCTGACCCCTCTCGACGGAAGCTGCGGGGGTCGAGCATTCTGAAACAGCCCTGGGCTGCTCCTTGAGCTCTCTCAACGCCTCTAGATCTTGCCTGAACCTTCGCACTGCAGACTCCAGAAAAGAGACCTGGTTCTTGTGCTGGGCCAGATCGAATTCGAGACCTGCCAATCGTGCAAGTTTCTTCTCTCGATCTTTGAGCAGGATTTCGAGACTATCCTGTTCAGCCTCTGCAATGGACATTTTGTCCAAGGAGTGCTTTGCTTTACTCCACCCTGTAGATGCTGATGATAAGGCTTCCTCATTCTTGCCACACTCCGAGAGGGAGGCCTCGATGCGTGCAAAGCTAGCCACCGTCTCTCCTGCAGCTTGCTTCCCGTCCGCAAGGGGACCCTTGGAGGTCTCCATGCTCTGCTGAGCATTGGAATTCCTGCTTTGATTTGCCTCCTCTTCAAGGGTCCGGTTGGACCTCTTCTTAAGCAAGCTGCGATCTTTCGGCTGTCTCCACCAGATGTCACACCGCGCTTTATGTACCTTTGAACATCCACAGCATCAGCGCACTGACTCTCCTGCGCTGTCCTGCGAAGAGAGGGTGAAAGATAAGCCAAACCTTCTTTCTCCTTCTCAAATAAGAGCAGGTTATGCAATTGCCACATTTATGATTTAAACGCAATGATGGCCTGTTTGGTGATCAAAGTCAGGCTCCTAATCAGCACTCGAAGGTTTCCCAATGATCCTCAAAACTTAGGAACGTAAGAGCGGGCTCAAAACCCTTTGCTCTTCTGAAGAAATGGTTTAAAGTCAAAAGCTGTCTGTCCTCCCGAAGATCTCAGAAACTTGAGCGGCTTACCGGCAATTTGAGGCAACAGCTAGGCATCCGTGCAAGGAACACGGCGTAACACACAAGTGGCAATCCATTTCAGAAAGTGCTCTGCTTTCTTGTTCCGTTCAACTGGCAAAACCATTGGTGCCAGACATGAGTCCAAGGCCGATGCTCACCTGCGGGCTCAGCATTCTCATGATCTGGTTTCAACCGCTCTTCCGATATTGCTGCGTGCATTTCAGCATTGGCTACTCAGTCGCGTTTACCCTCTGATCAAAGCCTAAGGATGCCGTTCTTCCCCAAATCTCAAAGCGAAAGGCGATCCAGAAGCAGCTTGGAGTCGTATCTACTAATTCACTAATAGCCAGTGCGGTACATAGTCAAGCACTAGAAGTGTAGCACCGCATGACATTGATATGCTCCCGCAGTCCCGGCCTCAAGACTCATATGTCACCGTCAAGGCCGTACACCTGGCAGAATTAACGGCTCATTGAAGCAGTGCTTCCAATCAACTGACGACACCTGGCACTACGAGTCGACGTGTAGCCTGAACAAGGGCACAATAATCTTGTCAATCGACACACCTGCGTCCTCAGTCCTGCACTCTCTTTTGTTTGGCTGGTTCAAATGGTTGAAAGTTAGGACGTTCCGTATTCACAACTTTCGTCCATTGCTGCTTGGAAGCAGGACCCGCTTACCGCCATGTGAAGCACTTCGATTACTTCCCAAGCAATCTTACTTTAATTGAAGAGCATTAGGATAGTAAATTCTGTCGTAGACTCGAATTTCGGACGGCTGACAAACGCCTGAGACGCTCCAATGCTTAATTCATCCTTGTAATTGATTCTTACATAATTCATTGTATCTATAGAGAATTGGGCCGGCCATGTATCATGTTGATGCAGAGGCCAACTTATAGTCGGAAAGAATATGCTGAAACCGTGCACGGCGGGTCAGAAAGGTCATGCCATATAGCTAAAATCAAGATCAATCGAACTCAGTATCATAGCTATAAGCAGATGTACTGGAGCATCAAGGCCCGGTCAACATGGAGTAACTTAAGGCCAATTCTAGCTGGCCATGACCTGCTTTACACCATCAGCGTTTGCTTCCCGCTTATGACTCACTCACACATATACAGCGCTCGTGCTCGATTGATCAACATTTGACTTCGTCGCTATGCATATGCTTGCATACCTCCATGCCGCTATCATGCATGCTTCAAACCAGCCTGTATCACTGAGTCAGCAAATTATATCAAATCCATGCGCAGCGCTCTTGCAACCTATTTGTGACGTTTGGGGACCCAACGAATGGTGCGTGAGACTCAGTCTGTTCCATCGTCAAACACCACGGCAAGGGCATGAAAATGGTGATGCACAAATAGTCATGCAAGCCACGCTGCGGTAACACATGTCAATTGACTCTGGGATGCGGCTGGGCAAATCCATATACGCATCATCTACGCTCATGAGCTAAAGGCGTGCGTCATGGTTGATCTAAGCTGGTAAAGGGACAAAGCGTCCAAAGGTGCACTAATCCGGTTTGCGAAGGGCGTGACTGTTTGCATTGAGGCACTTCAGCAGCAAGCGCATACGGGAGTCTTACAGCTGGCACTACTGAGCAAAGTGCCCGATCATCGACCATCTGTCAATCCATGCTAAATCACGGGTTTATTTTTATTTTCCAGTCAGAATCGCCTCTTCTTCAGCTTGCGTGCTAACGAACCTATGAGTGTATACAAGAAAGATATTGTTTGCTACCCGCAATTGGACTGTGGCCGTATCAGCCGTCAAGAATTGACCGCTCACCCCGACTACCGCCGGGCATCCTTCCATGCCGACTCCCTTTTTTGAGTGACTCTCCGTGCCCCCATACACGCACCCCCGACCGCTCTCCCGTCCTCCCCGAGCGGCACTTCTCACAGCCGCCCGCTTGTCCGCTTGCCCAGCGTGTCCGGCACCTCCTCCCGGTCCGCAAGGCTGCTCGCCCGGGACAGGGGATCCCCCGCCCCTTCCTGCCGCTCCTTGTCCCCGGCCCGCCCCGCCCCCCACAGCAGCGGGTCAGCGCCCTCTTCCTTGCGCCACCCTTCCTCGTCCTCCTCGCTCGACCCCCCTTCGTCGCTCTCCCCAGATGCCGCCACCGCACCGCCGCCGTGCCTCTCCTGCGCTCGCTCCTTGTCTCCTTCCTGACCTCCGTTCGCCTCTCCCTGACCATCAGAAGGTGCGCCGCTCTCGCGTGCTTTAGCCACGTCCTGATCAGCGTGAGCGGTCTTTCCCGCGTCAGGCGAGGCAGGGCTTTGCGCCTCAGGCCCCGGCTCGCTCTCCCGGGGTCCTTCCCCGTGCGCTTTCTCCTGTTCTTTCGACCCTGGGGTGCCCCCCCGGCCAGAGCCCGCCCTTTCCTCTAGCGCGTCCTCCCACACGCTGGCTTCCGCATCCGCCAGCGCCGCCCAGAGCGGGTCCTTTTTGTACGCCAGATGCGCGCCCACGCTCTCCTCCTCGTGGGGGGCTGCTCGCTGCTCGTCGTGCCCTGCAGGGGGCGCCTCGCTCACCCCCCCGGATTGCTCCCTGCGCGAGGGCCTTTCTAGGGGGGGTCCCTCGTCGGCGCTGGTGGTCGTAGTATCAGAGTCGTAGCGGGATGAGGAGAAGACGGTCTCCCGGGCGGGGGAGGGCGCAGGGGAGGCTGCGGACGCATCGGGCTCGACTCCAACGCGTCGCAGGTGCAGCTGTTGATGAACACAGCAGTCACTGGAAGTAAGATGATGTGAAGCGAATGGGAAAGACTAGCAGAGGCAATTCGACTTTTCACTTGGCTTCTCACAAGTAGTAGTAATGAGATCCGCGGCAGACAATGTTCTGTCGGGTATATTGCTGCAGCTTGAAGAGACGGGTATCGCTCCATCCACCTCACCGCTTCCGAGATGTTTTTTTTCCGAGCATTTGTTCAATCCGTGCAAGTTACCTGGAGGTGCAGGTTGACCTCGTCGGCGCGGCTCAGGAAGGGGAAGTCGCCGCCGCTCTTGAGGAAGGCGCGCCGCGCCCCGGGATAACGTATATACAGTGCATCCCGTGCGTCCTGCTTCACTGCGCAGTAGTCGTTCGTCTGCACACGTCAGCGCACCGCGCACCGCTCAGTCATCGACGTCCGAGCAAACAGCACTTGCACGGAACAGAGTGCGCTATCGAGCAGAGATCCTTCGAAGAAGAGCAAAATCTCGTGCAGTGAGTGCCGAAACCCTTCTGCCAGCGCCTTCGATAACAAGAAGAGGACACTCAAGAGCATTTCGAAATTCCTTAGGGCAAGCGTGTCAGGTGCCCGCTCATTCCGGCAGTACTCGGTCAGGCTGTGATGAAGACAGGGGATCGTTACTGAGCAGTGCTCACGTCCATGATGGTGATGACGTCATCTGACACATGGATGTGCCCCACGGCGCCCAGCTGGCTCATGAGCGTGAGGCGCGACGCTAGCTCCTGCTGGTGCAGCGTCTCCAACTGCACGGGACACGCAACAAAGTTTGAAACATGCACAGATTACCAAGTAGTCTCGATTAACGTGTGAGCAATTTATGCACTCTCAGACGTCGAGCCTCCAGGCGCTTGGACTGGCCTCCAGACAGTTGTTTACAGTGAAAAGCTCGCTGTCTACGTATTGTGGGATCAGTGACGGTCCTCGTTGCGTTTCACTCTGGAAAGCGTCTTTAAGCCAGACTGCCCAGATTGCTGGTACCAGACTGCGTCATATTTACCAAAATCTATCTCTGCCGCTGGCTCTGTGTTGCAACCCTGGCTTGGGAATCGGCATAAAAGCAGAAAAGCCTGGGATCCAGCAGGGCCTTCTCACCTGACTGACGACGAAGTCGATGGAGTTTGCAATATGTGCTTCTCGGTAGCCTTCCCCCAGGCCGGCCATGATGATGCGCTTCAGCATGAACTCGGGGGTCCACTGAAACCTGGCCCACAGGCACGAGAGGCAGACGGGGGTGAGCGAAGGCTAGGCTAGCGGCAGGAGGGCCCTCAAGGAACGCGTAAGACAAGGGATGCGACCATTACTGCACCCTGAGAATTGGCAATCGAGCGAGATTCCTGATGAATTAGTAATCCTCGATGCAAACCAGCCGGCTGCGCTTGCTTCCCACGTGCACCCCTGCCCAGTCTCAGGCTTCGGCAGATGATTCGTTGTACAATATTGATCATTTTACAGCCAAAGAGAACGTCGACAAAGGGAGGCGGAACTTACAAAGAGCTCCAGCTGAGCTCTTCGTGGTAGTTCTTGGTGTCCAAAAAGGTGTTGGAGAGGACGAGCGACCTAACGCGCCGCGGCCGGTATGCAGCGTACAGCTGGCACAGAAAGCCGCCCAGGGAGGTGCCATACAGATGCACCTGCAACGCAAACCTCAAACACCTGATTCTGGGGAGCGCGGCCCATTTTGTAATATAAAAGGGTCTCAGAGGAACTTTGCAGCACTCTGACGGAACCTTCCTACGTAAGCGTGATCTGCTGGGGAAAGATCCCATTGGAAAGCATCTGGGATAGAATTTTAATGCCAAGGCCGGAGGTCACGAGTAAGAATGCTTGCAAGTGGCCCCTTGACGAAGCTCCACAAAGAGTGGACCCAACGCACATGGGCTTCAGAGCTTTGAGACCGGGCCCTATTGTGAGGTCAAAGCGCGGACCTGGTTGATGCGGAGGGAGTCCAGGAACTTGTCGAAGGCCGCCATCCACTCCGCGTGTGTCCACAAAGCTGGGGCGTCAACGGCCATGATCCGGTAGCCCTGCGCCAATTGAGAAGAAGTAACTCAGACCTTGCGCTTTGCTAGTGTGCAAGTTGGAACTTTGCGGGGGGCCCGCTGACCCGCAGGTTGGTTTAGCAAAGCACAACCCACCAAAAGGGCAACCAGACAGACCAAACGCTTGGTCGGCACCTGATGGACTTTCAAGCCTCTAAACAGATTTCTAACTTTCAGACCATAAAAGTCAAGAACACCACCGGAGCATCGAAAACATGGACCGATGGACACTTTGTGGTATCCCCCAATCCTCAAACTTGTGAATGAGGCAGACACAAGATGTGGAAACATAGTACTCGGAACTTCTCTAGATGTGTCCACCATGCCACGGCGGTGGTCGTGCCCACCTTGGAGGAGAGCGCGAGCACTTGCTTGTAGAAGCAGTCTGCAGTGGAGGCGGCGCCGCCCAGGCAGATGAGGGGGTCCAGCCGCTTGGGCCCAAACTCGTAGTAGCGGAAGTGCTTGTTCTGATGCATGCCCACCTGCATCAGCAGAAACATTTAGCCGTGGTCAGCGCAAAAGTAGACATTTATAAGAACATCACCAAAGAGTGCGGGCACCGGGTGGCTGGTAGGTGGGCCCTCAGGGTGGCCCCAGAAATGGAGAACCCGTGGTGGCTGCTAGACAAGTCTTGAACATTTTGAGAAGTCTCCGCTTCGGCGAATGGCACCTCAGAGTGGTGTCATTGGCAGGTGCCCCGCACAGAATGCCACACCGTCGTTTTGCATATTGACATAGGATTGCAAGCTAGAGCCCCTTGAGGTTTCATCGAACTCCGACCTACAATCACTTCATGGGGATCTCACCTGGATCTTTCTTTCCGGGACTATGCCCCGGAAGTGTTGATAGTCACCCGGAGACGCCATGCTGGACCCCTTCAGAATAGCGCCTGATATTTCAAAGCTTTCCTTGCATCACTTCACTGCATGAGAATCAATGTTTCTTTCAATTGCTTCTAGCATCCTTGAATGTTGCAACGCTTAGATCCAGGGGCTGCCCAAAGGACATAGGCTTCATTGCAAATCCATGCTTCTTAGCAATCAGGAGAGATGGCAAGCAGAAGACAACATTGTGAGGTGGCCTCCAAGCCTGTGCACTCAAATGTGTTCTGAGGGAGACATGAAGCTGGCAATGCGTGAGACAATCAGGGCATGAGGCAGATCCTCCCTGTATTGCTGTCTATCTTGGATTTGGCATTGTTGGTTGGATATGTGAAGTAGCACAGCAAATCGCTCGTACAACAAATTAACCAATCAATGGACCATTGCAAACTGCAAATGGACTTTGGAAGCTGTTCAATTGCAAATGCCATTTACATGCCACTGCAAGTAGACCTACTCGCCAATCAAATACACCAAGCATTGGAAATGCAGAATATGGAGAAGTCATGGAGGGATACTCACCATCATGCACTCAGGTGCCCGCTCTACACGAGTCACAATCCATAGCTCTTCTGCTCCCATCCAGCGGTGATTCATGAGTCAAGAGGCCGCGCTCCCGCATGCTGGCCCAGCTGGAGCCTGGCAGTGGTGGTCACCGTGGTGGAGCCTGAGGCTGGAGCTGCTCCTCTCCTGCGCGCGAGTCTGCGGGGCACACGCGGACTCTGCACAGCATTGGCAAGCCTGGTGGTTTCACTGGTCTCTCAACAACAATTGTGCACTTAACCGCTCTTAACCTGACCTCCAGGCTGCCAACTCCGGAACCCGGTAGGCTTTTCCGAGCAGCACGTACAGTTGAATCTCAGCCGAAAGGTGACTGGTACATAGTTTCCGGGCTAGCAAGCTGCAAACCCAGGCCAAATCTGTGAATGACCCAAAAATTTGAGTCGGAATTAATTTTCCCAACCGTATCCTCGGACCTCGAGTCCGACTCCGACTCCGACTCGACTCTTGAGTCCGAGTCCCTCCTCCGACTCATTCCGAGTGGGTACGTTTAACTTCAAGTTGGACATTCAAGGACGCCTCTTGCCCATGCTGCAATCTCTTGAGCAAAATGGTTTACAAGTTGGTTCCTGCAAGCAGGCTTTGAGCAAGAGAGGCGTGCAAAACCTGACAAGAGCAATTGCAAAGAGACCTTCTGCGAGCCAAGTTATCTGATCAGAATTTGGGGAAGCTTGAGATTCTTTGAGATACTTCCCTCTGATCAACCCCCGGAATGCTTGATCAAGCTTCTTGGTCGAGAGCTTCTTCTTGAAACCAAGAATCAATGTGAAGTGCAATCGATGCTCCAACGGTCTGAAGCTTACATAGAAGCCTGCCTTTCACAAAATAACGCTCTTCATAAACCTCTGGAAGCTGTTTTGCCATAGTGGTTGATACATTGTGCTGGGCCAATCTGCAGCGCTTGCTCCGCAGGGTCTGCTTTCAGCTAGAGACTCTCATCACACATTTCCTTGAAACAGGGCTGCTCCTTCTGTGGCAGATCTACTTTTGGTGGTCCGACAATAGACCGCTCGTCGCAAAAACCCTCGTGCGTTGATTCTGACGCGGTTGCAGCTCCGCCCAGTGCATCTTTCCTGATTGAAAGTGCCTCAGATGGACATCATGGGTGCAAGGTTGTAAAGGGTTGCGGCACGTGCCAGCGAGACGGGGTCGTCCACTCCACGCACGTTCTGTATGTCGGGGGTCCAGCCCACTGACGATGACCCCCCCGCAACGCCGGCGGAGGAGACGGCGTCGCCGTCCATCTCCCCAACAAGCAGTATCGTCCGCTATGGGTGAGCGTGCATCCGTTGCACGGTTCAGAAATCACTAGTGATGTCACCAGCGGCAAGTTTCGAGTTTTAATCAAGGGTTTTTCGTTTTAAGGACTGTCTTGAAAAGCACCGGCATGTAACCATGCTGCTTGAACATGCTGGAAGAGTCCTGTTATAGGATAAGGAGGAATGTAAGACAATTGGCAATGCCCGTGAACAAACCCTTTCCCTTAAGAATACTCTTTGTTGTGTCCACTTGCTCATATCTTGGTGGGATTGTTCTATTGTCCTGCGTTGCGCTTGAGGCCAGGGCTACTAGACTCCTACAAGACATACTTCTTAGGGAATAAGAAATGCCACGTTTCTCAACTTTGTTTGCCTTCTTTTACATATCTGGCTACTTTCGTCAGATGTGGCAAGTGAATGTGAGGGACATCAGGGCAAGCTATCTGGAAAGCAATCACCCCCTTTGAGGAGCTTTGGCAGACTTGTTCTAAGCAAAGTTCAACCCTGATCAATCGACACTGGGCCCCCAGTTTCACAAGAGTTGCCCTTAGGTGGGCTCAGAGGGCCTTGGCTGTCCCTCAAAATGTTTTTATAGCAGGAATCGGCCGCTGAGGCATATGCTGCATTTATTCGTGCAGGGAGCGCGGCCACTCACGCACCAGCAGCTGGGGCAGCGTGCGCACCACCGTCGTGAGCAAGCAGTTCCCCAACGGAGACTCGTATACAGGGGATGTGGCTGCGGGCGTGCCACATGGCAAGGGCCGGTACATGTGGCGCGAAGGCAGCTCGTATGATGGGGACTGGTCCGCTGGGAAGAAGCACGGGAAAGGCATGTTCCAATGGCCCAGTCAGGCTGTATACGAGGGCGACTGGATGGGGGGGGTCATGGAGGGGTGGGGGACGTACCGGAGCCCCAACGGGGAGTCGTATCGCGGCAGCTGGCACTTGAACCAGAAGCACGGGCTGGGCAAGAAGAAGTATGCGAACGGAGACGTGTACGACGGGCTCTGGCAGAACGGCGCGTTCGAGGGCCCGGGGCGGTACATCTGGGCCAACGGGAATTCGTACAGCGGCAACTGGCGGGGGGGCAAGATGGACGGGCGCGGCATCTTTGTGTGGGCCAACCGTGACCGCTACGACGGGGAGTGGGCGGGGGGGCGCGAGAACGGCAAGGGCGTGTTCACCTGGGCGGACGGGGCGGTGTTTGAGGGGAGCTGGCTCAACGGGCTGCGCCATGGGCGGGGAGTGTACTACCCCCCTGGAGCGCTGCGCAGCAGAAAGGGCAGCAGGAAGGATCTGATGCCACCCAGGGTCCCGGAGGAAACGCCCACAAGCAGCGGGGACTTTGGGGCGGGCGGGCAAGCAGAGAGTGAGGACGGAGGGGCAAGCAGCCATGAGCAGCAGGCTGCGGGGAACGGAATGGACGAAGGGAAGGGAGATTCCATTGAGAGTGGAGAGGAACAGGCGCGGACAGGCGCTAATGAAAGCCAGGCTTCAGACGAGGCTGCGACAAAGGCGGCAGGTAGCAGTCTCCCTGAGGATAGCCCGGGCCAGGATGGGGAGGCCGAGGGCAACGCGCCCAAGTTGCGGAGTGCGAAGGTGACCAGCTTCTCGGACTGGAATGCCGCCAGAACGCCACTGGTTGGCGTCAGCGAGGCGTCGCACCCTGCGGGCATCCCTGAGGCTCCCCCGCCTGGAGACAAGACGATCATCTCGAGCCCCCCACCGGCCAGCCACCGCCGCAGCATCTCCGCAGACGGGAACTCCTTCAGCTTCCCACGGGAAGGCTCCGAACCCCTCCCAGAGGACGGCCGCTTTTTAACAGCGGCGAGCCCCTTTGGCAGCCGCAACTCAGCCCTGGGGCTGACATACGACTCCGACACGACTCTGAGCGAGTCCAGCTTTGGTGACTCTCAGAGCGGCGCCAGCACGCCCGTCTACTCGCCGTTGGTCCCACGCAGCCGCCTCGCCTCGCAGCGCCCGCCGGTGCCCCGTCCGGGCGACGGCCTGGCGCGAGACCTGTTCGGGCAGTCCTCTGGCAGCAGCAGCGGGGTGCAGAACGGGACCACTATCGAGAACGGCAGCGGCCACGCGACGCCCGAAGAGGACTCGGCGAACCGGCGGCTGTCGGGCATGCACGCGGGGGCCGCTGCGCGGCAGTCTGTCGACATGACGCTGGCGCGCAACTTTGGCGGGGGGAGGGGCGAGGGGGGCGTGCGGCGCGTGGTTGTGCGAGAGTACGTGGAGGGGAAGCTGGTGTCGGAGGAGGAGCAGGCCATGCCGGAGGCGGAGCCGCGCGGCGAGCGCGTGAAGCGGCACTCGCGGCGCGGGACGCGCGAGGTGAAGCGGCCGGGGGAGACCATCTTCAAGGGCCACCGCAGCTACGACCTCATGCTCAACCTGCAGACGGGCATCCGGTGAGGCGCGCCCTCGAGACTGAACCCGACAGATGCTGTTTCTTGAAGGTTACACCAACCGGTGGCGTTGTAATAGGTCCTTCCCTCCTGCTGGGGTGCTTGATTCGGCCTGCCTGGTTCGTGATCAAGTCGTTGACTGGTGATTATTTGGGCAGGGTGATGTTCAAAGCTCTGCTCCTTGAATTTTTCGTATAGAGTGTTCCCATGCGACAGAGACACCAGGGAGCTTATTCGGGTCGCCTTTTCCGCTTTGTTGACTACTCCAAATGCGCCTACCCGCTGACGTTCCCGTTTCCCTCGCCTCAGCCTCGAAACTACTTTGCAGGTACACGGTGGGCAAGATCACGCCCGAGAAGTTCCGCGAGATCCGGCCGTCCGACTTCAAGGCGCAGATGAGCCAGCGCTTCCCGCCCAACGGCTCCAGCACCACCCCGCCGCACCGCTCGCACGACTTCAAGTGGAAGGACTACTGCCCCATGGTCTTCAGGTAGCAAAGCTTTACTCTTGGAAACATGCTACCCGGAAGACATCGCTCAAGGCGCTTGCCGTGGCATCCTCACACTAGTGCTGTTGGATATTCTCCAAGTGCTTGCAGACGAACAGGCGAGGTTTGTCATTGAGATCCGCAGTCAAGCGGGATGTTCCGTTTGTTCGTACGGATTCGGCTTTGGGCCATGCCACATGTAGAATTCTGGCATCATTTCTGTCAAATTTGACGCCTGCCGTGGATATGTCAGCTGGCGGCTGACTGGCTGGCTGGAGACGCCCTGACGGAAACGGTGCCGGCCGAGAACAACAAGCACATGAGAGCCAGATGGTGTGGGCTTCAACGTTCCCAACCTTCGATGTTTGAGAACTACGAGGAACCTGCTCATCGGCTCTCCTCTGCTCTTTTGCTGATCAACTCCACATCGCGGGCTGTCGGAAGTATCCTGCTGACAGAGGTAAATGCGCACACCACAAAACGGTCGGATTATACTTCCACTCGTACTTGCCACCTTTTTGATCGCGCACGGCCGCTCTATGGGTGCAGGCACCTGCGCGACCTGTTTGGCACGGACGCGGCGGACTATATGATGTCGCTGACCGGCAGCGACGCGCTGCGCGAGCTGTCGTCGCCCGGCAAGTCCGGCTCCGTGTTCTACCTGTCGCACGACGACCGCTTCCTCATCAAGACCATGCGCAAGACGGAGATGCACGTGCTGCTCAACATGCTGCCCGCCTACTACCAGCACGTGCGCACGCACGACAACACGCTGCTCACCAAGTTCTTTGGACTCCACCGCATCAAGCCCGCGCACGGCAGGAAGGTGCGCGCGTCGCTTCCGCAGCGGAGTGCAGGGTGTCTAGGGGGCATCGATTCATGTTGAAGGAAGCACTCGAACGTGCACCAATAAATCGACCAGAGATTGCGTGGATGTCGCTCTCAGTTGCGTCTGGCCTCTGTCCCTGATTGGATCCTTTCCTTTTCTTTTCCTGCGCACGTTTGCTATCCTCCCTGTCTGGCTCTATGAGATGTGGTCCCTCCTCCTCGCACCCAAGTCGACAAGAATGTCGATTCAAGTTTCCCTCTGGTTACCAGAGAAGGCTGTGCGGGGATACTCAAATTGACAAAGTTTGTCAACTCAATTGTTTTTTGGGGCGATCAGCGAAAGGCTATGAAAGCTGTGCTGATCCAGGCTCTGGTGTCCTCCCTGTTGTCGCAGGTGCGGTTCATGGTGATGGGCAACATGTTCCACACGGACCTGCGCATCGACGCGCGCTTCGACCTCAAGGGCTCCTCGCACGGCCGCGCCACCGACCCCGCCGCGCGCGACGCGGCCACGACGCTCAAGGACCTGGACCTGGACATGGCATTCAAGCTGGAGGAGGGCTGGCGGGAGCGGCTGGCCCGTCAGCTGGCGCAGGACTGCGACTTTCTGCAGAAGCTGCACATCATGGACTACTCGCTGCTGCTCGGGGTGAGGCCGGCTTCAGAGATGGGGCGATCAACATCAGTTCCATGTTCTGAGGCTTATGTGTTTCTGTTACACCGCAATTGAGGTGGGTCAGCATGGTGCAAACTCGAGCCGCTCACCGCTTTGAGTCGGTGAACTCGCTGCTGCATAAACGGTTGACAGGTTCGGCGCTCACCGAGTACCTCTTGTAACGATATAACTTCACAAGGACGTTTTTCCAGACCGGCACTTCATTGGCAGTGTAACACCCGGTTCCGATAAAAAGCAGGACACTCATCTTGCCTTGACCTCGGCGTCACAGGTGCATTACCGCGACATCAAGCACGAGTCGCAGTTGTCCACCCTCACCGAGGAGAGCGCGGGTGGGGTGTCGACATTCAGTGCCGTCACGGTCGACGATGGCGAGGAGGAGGTGTCCACGTTGACGCAGCGGGGGGGTGCGTTCACCAGGCTAGGGACCCGGGGTGCGGCGCCGCGGCTGCCGTACGGGATGAACGGGCACGTGGTGAGTGGGGTTTAGCAAGGGATGGGAGTGCATGAGTGCACTGTTCGGAACTTTGCTCGTATTTGTTCGGTTGCTTCTCTGTATGAACATTCGCAAAAGCGTTGGAATCAGTTGATCTGGACGACTAGAAGCTGAGGAGACACGGTTACCTTGGCAGCGGCAGTTGATCTCTGTCTTTACAGTATTTGGCTGCTTGCTGATCGAGTATGCGGGAAAGAGGTGTGGGCGTGCCAGATGCAGAAGTGGTGCGGAGAAGCTGACGGTGATGATCGAGACTAACCAGCCGCACTAATCCACGCGATGGAGAGGAAAGACTGCATCATCCTGACCGCGCATTTCGTCCTTGTAGATCGCGGCCATGGCGCCCGACCGCACCGATACGCTGCGGCCCGTGCTGGGCAGCCGCGGCGGGACGGACGCGCTCGCGTACAGCTTCGGTCGCTCACGCGTGCAGCTGGGCGTCAACATGGCGGCCACCGCGCTGCCCAAAAACGAGCGCCAAGACTCTGCGGCGTCGCAGGGCGGGGCGCGCGACGTGGTGCTTTACTTTGGGATCATTGACATACTGCAGGAGTGGGACGTGTCGAAGCGCGTTGAGCACACGTACAAGAGCCTCAAGTTCGGGGACAGCCAGGCCATGTCTGCGGTGGACCCCAGGACGTACTCGCAGCGGTTCCAGGACTACATAGGGACGCTCTTTTTGTAGTGCGAGCGAGGGGGCGGTGGTTTGAGCGCTACATAGCCGCCGGCAAATTGAAGCAGCTTGTTGTACAACTTGCAGTGTTGCGAATATAAGAACGGTTTTGCGATATGGTAAAGAGCAGATCCTGCTGGCCATGCAGATTAGTTGCAATCTTGCAGATCGCGCCTTTCAGGTGAGAACTACGTCTTATTATCGAGAATTGAAGTACGTCCTTTCACAAGGCAGCAAAATTTCATTTGGGTTGATTGAGTCCATTGGAAATTCGGTGTTAGTGGCAAGATTTTCAGCAATGTTTCATATGATCCGCTGGGCCGGCCCCTGTATATGGTGCCGTACATGTGCCAGGCTGTCGTGTAGCAGTCATGCGCCTCTACAACGCTCAACGATCTCACAGAACCCGTGGAAGGAGAACGTGGACTCCAGTTTTCCATTCTGGACCCCCACAATGGTTGGTACCCCCTGCGCGTGCGTCTCAGTAGATTGGTTACTGCGCGAAATCACCCGGTCGCTTGTCTCTACATCCGGGAGGCCGAAACTGCACATCGATACCATGCGGCATACTGAAATGGAACCCTCGGTGAGAGTTCAATCGGTCGGTCGACATCAAGTGCAGTCGAGGTTACGTTACCATTGAATAACCCCTAGGTTACACGTGCCAGTCCGGAGCCTTCAGCTGCTCGCGCATAGGGGTACCAAAAGGTGTGGGGGTCACAAACGAAAACTGGAGTCCACGTTCTTTTTCCACGGGTTCTCACAGTTCAATTGACCTTACATGCAAACTTGCAATCTTCCCAATTATTCGATATGATCCGACATATGCGGCTTTGCTCTCATGAATTCTGCATCTGTGTCACGAATCTGCATGGGAATTGCCCTGCTCGTGTGTCATCGAGGAAAAAATGAACCGAGGCGGCTCGCCGACATGCAGAGTGAGCAATGTGCAAGGATTGTCACAAAAGTTCAATAGCAATGGCAGTATAGCTGGAAGAACGTCGCGCATTACATGATGATCATTATTTGATGATCACTTGCATAATAACGGGATAGGCTACAACTCACAAACACAGGCTATGTTGTCATCTCCCTCTAAGAAGCGATCGGACATCAGACGACTTGGGCTCCCTCCCTGTTTAAGCTCAAGACGGCCGCTGTTGACTTTAAACGGCCATTCTCCGCAAAAGCAGCCTGCATCGCCTCCCCAATCTGCTTCCCCTTTTCTTCCGAATCCGTAATTGCAACGGCCGTCGGACCAGCCCCACTGCAACAAGCAAACAGAAAGCATCATCTTAGTTGCAAGCGGCGGGTAACGTCCTTCTGCAACCGGTTTTCCAGCCAAGAAAGCAAGCAGCCGACGTAAAAACACCAGAACGTCTGGGTGAAATTGTGTTACGGGAAAATGACGAGCGACATGGCTTACCTGATGGTGCACCCAAACGCTCCTGCCGCCATGGCGCTGACTTTGACCGCTGCCAGGCCCGGGATGAGAGGTCCTCGCCGGGGCTCAACAATGGTATCGGAAGCTGGGGGGTGGAAACACGAAATGAGGATCGAATTAATGACTTCTTTCTGCACGATGCGACAAAAAAACTCTCACGGGACAGCGCTGATAGATTCCGCGGGGTCAGAAAGGCAGAGGTACAGAATCTCTGAGCAATATGTCAACGCTTGACCCGCACTAGCCTTCGCTTATTTTCGACAAGACGAGGGACAAAGAACGCAGGAGGTGTAATGCATGAGTCAGCCTAACGAAGATTCTTCTGCGTCCTCTTGATTTTCGCAGAATCACGATCTGACAAAGAGCGGAGCATACTCACAAAGGGCCGACCCCAAGAGATCCGCTTGCCCCGTCAGAATGGCCGCAACCAGGGCCGCCCCTTGACTACAGTTTGCGATGTGCTTCTTCAGAGTCACCTGCAGAGGGTAGCTAAGCCCGTTCTGCGCGGGCTTTCATCTTCCAGTTTGGAGCTTTGGAGGAGAGCGGAAGAAGAAGGGCGCACAGCAGATTAGGAGCAAGATGAGGACGAATTTCCGAAACAAATCTCAGCGTGCAGAGGCGTGTTCACTGACTGTTCTCTAGATTTGCTGTGGTCCTCTTGTGCTGCTCGCGTCACGAGCGCCGACAGTCAGGAAGTGGAGACCGTCCCCTTTGAGCGATGTTGAAGTTGTCAATCTACATCAAGCCCAGACACAAAGCAGTTTGTAGAGGATTCAGGATGGGTCTGGTTCGAGGTGGGAAGAACGGCACTCACCTCTTGTGGCAGGACGGCTCTCATCTCCCGCGTAGGCGCCTCAAACGCGGGTGTGACCACCACAAAGTAGAGCGAGCGGTCCTCCGGATACTGGAAGAAGAAAGGATGGAAGGTATGAGCCCGGAACAGGCTTCTGAAAGGCGTCACGGTCTTGCCAACCTCCATAGGGCCACCCTCTAAGGGGTTATCCAAGTCAAAAGGCATGAAGCATCTATCTTGTGGCAATCACAGACGTTATGGCGAAGATGAGTCGTGATTGACCGTCTGCAGCCAAAGTATACTCAAACCATGTTTTGTCATGGAACAGATACCGTCTACTATTACTCCGGAAGATTGAGACAAGCGACACAAACAGCTGTCTTACTTGCAGAGGGATCAGCTGCAGCGGGTTGTAACTCCTGACAAGCACAAAGCCGCCCATGATCGCCGGTGCGATGTTGTCCGCATGGTACCCGCTCACGGTCGCCTCCGACACCAGCCCCGCCTCCACTAGTTGGGCCCGAGTCAGCACCCCCCCAAAGAGCGCGTTCACGGCCCACGCGGCGGCAGCGGCTGACGCCGCACTTGAGCCCAAGCCGCTCCCCAGAGGAAGACCCTTTTCGAGTGTCAATGCGATGCCGACGTCCGTAACGCCTAGAAGCTGAAGGGTGGCTTTCGCGGCTATTCCTGCGCAGTTGTCGTTGGCTTCTAGGCTCAGCCGGCCACCGTCGCCGGTTATTGAGTTGATGACAATTGCACCCCCTTCGAGCTCGTCCCGCACCTGCACACATTGCACCCGGTCAAGTCCTGGCAAACTTCCTCCACATACGGCCCCCACCACAATGATGGAGCTGTCACGAACATGATGAAACATCATTTGCCATCTGAATAGGTTGCGCTTCTTATTGGCAACCTCCATCTCCAAACAATCTCCTCATCCTTCCTCTTCCTAGAAATGCTGAGAGCAATTGACGGCAAGGTCACTCAAGGAGTATGCTGACGCGACATCTCATGCGCAGCATCCACCCTATGGACCAGTATGTCTGACAAGTTCTGCTCACCTCCGCTGTTACGTAGTCCCCCAGTCCGTCGAGCGCACACCCCAGGTAATCAAAGCCCGGCCCCAGGTTTGCCACAGTCGCAGGCCCGAACGCTCGCACGGACTTTAGGGCCACCTCCGGAACAGTTTCTGTAATACGCTGCAACTGTATGATGTCTGCAGACTTTTCAGCAGTCACGACCAAGGAGGCCTTGCACACATGCCGTAGTTGCTTCCGAGAGACGCGCTTCAATGGGGAATGAAGTCTGCGAGGATAGGATGCAGGGGACACGCCCGTTGGAGCACGGAGAGGTGCTTCAGTGCTGAACTGGGGAATGCAAGGAATGGGGATGCTAGACTGGACAGGGCCACCATAATGGCAGCCCTCAGATAGTTGGTAACCGCAGGGGAGGAGACCAGGGGCCCGCAAAACGCCAGTTGCCGCCATGCTGTGCTCACCCTTCAGTCAGCCGGTTCTGATCAGCAGTGAGCTAGAATCCATTGGCATTATAATTTTCATATTCACAATGTATTTCGAGGTGCCTAGGAGATTAAAAACGAGTGTCAAATGTTGCGATCTAAGTAGGACCATAATAGATCGACACCAGGTCTCCCGTCGGTGCCCGGTTGGTCCAATTTTGGCAACACGCATACCTATGAGAAACTGTTTGGCAGGTCAACCAAGCAGAAGCAGGCGCAGACGAAAGTTGGGAACAGCTGGAGCCTAGAGCCTAGAGGCGCGAAGAGAGCCAACATCATTTGATGATCTAGCCATGGCTGCAGCCGGGAACCCCCTTCAGGAGCTCACGGAATGCTTTAGACAGAGCCTCCTCCCGGACCCTGTCCCGAGGAAGCGGGCGGAGGACTTTCTTAAGGAGGCGGCGAACCAACCAAACTACGGAGTGACGGTGCTTCAATTGGTGGCGGCACACAGCGTGGACCTTCAGATCAGGCTAGCGGCAGCGGTCAATTTCAAGAACCATGTCAAGTATCATTGGGATGCGTCAGAGCACGAGGAGCTGCAAGTGGCGCCTATGCAGGATGCAGAGAAGCAGCAGATCAAAACGCACATTACAACTCTGATGCTGAGCACCCCCCCTCAGGTCCAGGCACAATTGAGCGAAGCGCTGTCCATCATCTCAAATTATGACTTCCCCTCGAAATGGCCGTCTCTCTTACCAGAGCTTGTAGAAAAGTTGCGGTCTGCAACGGACCCCGTGGTCATCAATGGCGTGCTCCAAACCGCCAACTCCATCTTCAAGCGCTTCAGGTTCCAGTTCAAGTCAGACGAGCTCTTTGGGGAGCTCAAGTATGTCCTGAACCTGTTCTGCGAACCCCTCCTTGAATTTGTCCAGCGCATGGGCCAGTTGATTGCGGCTAGCGCAAACGATGCGGTTGCGCTGAGGGCGCTGTTCCCCTGCCTGCGGCTGGCATGCAGGATCTTCTACTCGCTTAACTTTCAGGACCTGCCAGAGTTTTTCGAGGATCACATGAAGGAATGGATGGATCAATTCCACTTGTATCTGACATATGACAATCCACGGTTGGAGGAGAGCGATCCTGACAAGGAGTCGGTGGCTGACCAGGTGAGACACCAAGCTTAGTGCTTCTATGAACGGTTTGGAAGGTGGTCAACGTTCTGATAGGAGTGTGCTCACCATTACCAGGTATGGTATGAGAAACAGCACACTGGTATGAAAGTGTTCATCGATCATCAGCGAGCAATAGCTCAGTTGCGACCACCGAAGATTTCCGCAGGTTAAGGATTGAGTGCTGGTATGGCTTGCATTGCATCTTCAAGCTGACACACAAAGTGCACATGCGTGGAGTACCTGGAGTCATCCTATTCCTCTCAGCATGCTCTTTTCAGTCGGGGTAAGACCCATGCCCATGCGTGTGGAATTGATGATTTTGGGCTTTAGATGGTGGTCAGTCAGTGCCACTGGATGGAATGCGACGATGGCAGCGTTGTTCGGTGCACCTGTCAGTCCTAAGCAAGTGGAAGCCGAGTGTTGTTTTTCTGACTGAAGATCGCATGCATATGTGCTGCGCAGGTCAAGGCTGCGGTGTGCGAGAACATCAATCTGTACATGAGCAAGTACGAGGAGGAGTTCCGGAGCTACCTGCAAACGTTTGTGACTGATGTGTGGAGTCTTCTGATGAAGGTAAGTTGGTGATTCATAGTGCGTGAACTTTCTACACCACTCAAGAATTGGCAATTCGGTGAGACACCGCAAGAGCAGGTCTGACTAAATGCCGGTTTGTATCAAGTTGTTTTGGACACACAATCACCCTAACACTACTAAAAGGGGCAGCTTTCGAGGGTGAAGCCTTGCGCAGCTAGCGCACTTCCATGCCATGCTATAACTTTGTTTTATATCTGCTGTTGGATTCCAACTGCTCCGAGCGCGGCTCTTGATCAACAACAATTAGTTCCTTGTCATTTGACAAACAAGAAGGGTGTCCGACGGTTCAGGATTAGGAACCATGCTCTTGGATCCCGATGACAAGTTCAACGCAATCAGATATAAAGGGAGGAGGATCAGCTACAAACCGACCATCTTGGGAGAAATATGCTTTGTCTTCCAACAAGCTGAGGGGCATCAGACAAACATACGGTCTCTGGTGAATGGCAGGTGGGCCTGTCCGCCAGCCACGACAAACTGGCAATTACGTCCATCAAGTTTTTGACGACGGTGGCCCGCAGCGTGCACCATGAGCTGTTCAACCAGGCGGAGGTGGTGCAGCAGATCTGTGAGAAAATTGTGGTGCCCAACCTGCGCATGAGGGACGACGACGAGGAGCTTTTTGAGATGAACCACGTCGAGTACATCCGAAGGTGTGGTCGCTTGCCCTCTCGTGTGTCTATTACTGGCAAGGCTTAAGTGCGCTTATGTGGCACTTGTGTTGCTCGCTGGTTTCTATAAAAATGTTCAAATGTATAGCCGCCATCTGGTTCGTGCAAGCGTTGCAGAAGGACCCGTCGATTCTTGTTTGCGAATCCTACGATCAATGAAGGTCCTGATCGAAACGAAGCGAACGAGGCTGCTTGTGGGTCAACCTACGTCAAACTCGGACGAGTTTCAGGACGAGCGCCAACGTGCGATCTGAGTAGCAAACAGTCAGGAATATGAATTGAACGGCATCGTTTTCGTGTTTCTCTGCAGGGACATGGAGGGCAGTGACACAGACACACGGAGGAGGACCGCGTGCGAACTGGTGAAGGGGCTGACGACATACTATGAGCAGCAGGTGAGCGGGTGTACAAACTCAAAGGAGCCGGGAGTTCTAGCATCTCCCTTTTCGGTTCGGGGGAATACTTTTGTGTCCACAATGGACGCATGGGTACCATTGTACACCGCACTCCGAACGGGCTCAAGTCGTCAACCTTGTTTTATGGTGCAGGAGCGGCCTTGGTTGGACATTCGCACTTTGTATTTTTGGGCCTGATCCGAGCCCGATCGGGCTTGGCTCGTCTTGTCGAGCCTAAACTTCACAACCAGTCATATGTTGTTTGATTCTGATTTGAAGCAATGATTGGTTTCGGGTGGTCGAACCCGTGAATGGAAAAGTCGCAGTGAGCAGTATCAAGAGTCTGGAGCCCTCGTCTCTCTCGCTCCCGTGTTAGCCTCGTCTTCGTTTTGTCCCCAGGTGACGCAGCTCTTTGGTCAGTACGTGACGCTGATGCTCCAGACGTACGCCGCGAACCCCGCCGTCAACTGGAAGGAGAAGGACTGCGCGATTTACCTGGTGGTGGCGCTGACGGTGCGCCAGAAGACGGCCGCGCAGGGCGCCACGGCCACCAATCAGCTGGTCAACATCGGGGACTTCTTCACGGCGCAGATCGAGCCGGAGCTCAAGAAGACGGACGGCAGCCCCGTTCTGCGCGCGGACGCGCTCAAGTTCGTCACCACCTTCCGCAGCCAGGTGAGGGACCGCCGCTTACTGAGAGCCGCGGCTTCATCTTTGGCTTCAAAACGCTTCTTCAAAGCGGTTGCGAACTTGTTTGGCTGCTCCTATTCCCGTACAAAGGTCCCGGGTCGAATGTCTGTGAGCGTTTACGTTTGGCGTTCAACTTAACTTGACGGTGACAGAGGGCATGGATTTAGCGAAGTGGTCGCAGGAAGGGACGCTAGCTTTCTGCATCGCAGTCTTGTCCAGCCCGTTAAGATGAAGGATCTTCATGAGGCCGGCTGGGCGATCTAGGTACCACTTACGCCTCGAGTTGCGTCGCGATTAAAGACGGTCGAGGTCTCCTTCAAACGACTCCCGTTTAGCTCCTCGTCTTTTTTGTAGTCAAGACCACATTTGCTCCATTTTAATCCCAAAGTTGGTGATGTTGCGTCTTTTCTGAGCTCGCTGCTGTGCATCTGCTGCAGATTCCCAAGGCGGCGTGTCTGTCCCTGTTCCCGCACCTAGTTGCCCTGCTCCTGGACGAGCACAACGTGGTCCACTCGTACGCTGCGCATGCGATTGAGCGGCTGCTGGTCGTCAAGGACGGGGGCAGGCCCCGCTTCACTCCCCAGGTGAGAACTCGTGGGGTGGCTACCCCGTACAGTTCATTCTGGCACTCTGTTACGGCACTTATGCAGTCATTCACAGGTCGCTTGAGGGCTTTCGACCAGCCTTTGTTGAACGAGGTTACATTTTGCTGCCAGTCGCTGGGTTACATGTTGTGCTGCTTCTTGGTTCTCACGATTTGACATGTTTGCAACGCGGATGCAAGCCCGGCCTCTATGTGGAGTACTGCGCGGCAGTCCGGCTTCTGGGTTTTCGCTGACGCAGCTGGGTTTGCTCTGACCCAACGGTTTGTTGCTTGTAGGACTTGGCCCCGTTCACGCAGCAGCTTCTTTCCAACCTCTTCGGGGCACTCAAGCTCCCCGACTCTCAGGTCAGTATTCGGCTGGATTTAGGGCCAGCTCGCATCCCATATTGCTTCTATGTCTCTTTGCAGATCAGTTAGGCCTTGACTCTTGGTTCGGACGCAACTGCGTACAGCTTCTGAGACAACAACGTATGCGCATGTGCTGACACCCTTCATCCTGCGTCAACCGTTTGTTGTTGGACTGTTCGACCTCCCTTGAAATAGTTGCTTCTCTTAGCCGTTCTTAGTGCAAATGTCGCAACAACAACCTCTGCCAAAGTGAGGGCTGCATATGGGTCAAAGGAAATGGCTTATGCTGACCTTGGCCGCCACGTGGTGCAGGAGAACGACTACGTGATGAAGTGCGTCATGCGCATGATCTCGTCGTCCCCCGTGGCCCAGTACGCGGAGGGCGTGCTCGCGCAGCTGGCCGACATCCTGAAGGCCGTGTGCAAGAATCCCACGCAGCCCGGCTTCAACCACTACCTCTTTGAGGCGGTCGCGGCGCTCATCAAGCAGACGTGCGCCGCCAACCCCGCGCGGCTGGACGTTTTCGAGAAGAAGCTGTTCCCCGTCTTCGACATCGTGCTGCAAGATGGTAAGGCGGGGATGTTGCAGCGTGCTTGGTATCTGTTCACGCTTGTATGGTTTCGTCTGGGCCTTCCACCGAGCTTCGAATCTGAATCATGTTACCTTGAGATGGTGGACTTTGCGCCTTTCCGCGTTCTCCTGCTGTCGACCGTACCTCGAAACTTTTCCCGGTCTTTCATTCAATTCTTGTCAGCATGGTCGCATTCGTGGCTGTTCAGGAAGTTAGATTAGTCAAATCAACCAAATCGCGCTACTGAAAGGCTTTCGAGGCGGCCTATAGGCACATGTTTCAACCCGCCAAGTCTGGCCACTTTGTAAAGTTGGTCATGAGCTCAATCACAGCGTGTGTTCGATAAAAGCGACCCTTTCCTCTTGACTTTTCCTACCACCTTTGGCCCTTGTCTGGACGTATCGCTCTGGGCTACAAACAACGTGCTACATTATCTTGGCCGCTACTAACCGCCGCCACGATCCCTTTGCTGACGCCCACTGTTGCTCTCTTCCTGCGCAGACGTGGCGGAGTTCATGCCGTACGTGTTCCAGATACTGTCGCAGCTGGTGGAGCTGCGCCCCGCGCCGCTGCCCACCATCTACATGGCCCTCTTTAGCCCGCTGCTGACGCCGCTGCTGTGGGAGCGCAGCGCCAACGTGCCCGCTCTAGTTCGGCTCCTGCAGGCGTACCTGCAAAAGGCGCCCCAGGAGATCATCAGCCAGCAGAAGCTGCCCGCCGTGCTGGGCGTCTTCCAGAAGCTCATCGCGTCGCGCCACACCGACCACCAGGGCTTCTTCATCCTCAACACCGTCGTGGAGAGCCTTCCCGTCGACGTGAGTTGGTTTCAACACTCTTGAGGCGTAATAGGGTTGTTGGGTAGGGACGGTCGCCTAGGTGCTAAGGGTTTCCGAGGCGATGTCTCTGGCAGCACAGGCTGCTGGTTAGCAGACGACGTTCTCAAGAAGCTCAGTCACATGCACGGAATGCTGCGCCTCCCAGCTTCGATTGGGTGTCGCATCCTTCTTTCGATCCTGGAAGCTGCCAAAACGATGGAACTCTTGAATATGTAGGATTTTCGTTGAATGAAAGGCAACTGTCATAAAGAGGGAAGGAGTCTTTCGAATTTAAGTGTCTATATCGCATTGTGCCATACCCGCTTCCAGACCTGGCTTTGGCTCTGAGGGCCTTGGCAAATTCGAAGTCTGTTCGAAGAGTTTGCGGCGACTTGCTGGCCGCTTGCTGCTTGCTTTCAAATTGCACTTAGTGACCCTCAAACTCGCTGTTACCCGATTTGCGTCTCTTCCGCAGGCTGTGCGGCCGTACCTCACCCCGCTGTGGACGCTGCTCTTCACTCGCCTCTCCAAGTCCCGGACCGTCAAGTTCGTCAAGGCGCTGGTGGTGTTCCTCTCCCTGTTCATACTCAAATACGGAGCCACGGAGGTAAGGCCACGCATTCGACGATCTCCTGTTTGGTAGTTTGTGGGCATCCTCGCACGGATCACGCGCACAGTCTACTGGGGAAGTGAGGCTACGCATATGATTACCCCTTTTTCAGGCATTTCCATAAGGATCCCGCTCATAGTCATGGCGAAGTATTTTTTGTATTGGCAGCGGAAGCACCTCAGTTGCCAGAGCGAAGATTTTGCTCTCAAAAGACGAGAATCTGGTCACTTCCGAGCATTTGTAAGTCATCGCGCCTTGCAGACCAGGTATTTCCGACAGCAATCGACTAGAGTGCACATATCTTTGTCCCACACGCAGCTGCCAGTGTTCTGCTACTTTTTCCGGAGCACGGTGTAACGACTTTTCCTCCTCCCCGTCTTGCAGCTGGTGGAGAGCCTGGAAAAGCTGCAAGCGGGCATCTATCGGGAGCTGCTGGGCGGCGTGTGGCTGGGCAGCACGGAGCGGGGTGGCGCCATCAGCATCACGGGGGACATCGAGGTCAAAGTCACGAGCGTGGCAACCACAAAGCTGTTGTGCGAGTGCCCCCCAATGGCCGACGACGCCTCCCTCCAACTGTGGGGCAAGCTGCTGGACACCGAGGTTGCGCTGCTAGAGCGCTCGGAGGAAGCCACGGTCGCCCAAGAAGAGAATGACGTGCTCGAAGTGGACGAGATACCGGGGTATGCGGCTTCGTACGCTCAACTCCACAATGCGCACAAAGAGTACCAGGATCCGCTTAGCGAGGTCGAGGATGCGCGGCGATACTTGACGGAAAGCCTTGCCAAGTTTACGGCGCAGAACCCGGGGAAGTTTTTGCCCGTGATCCAGCAAAGTTTAGAGAAGAAGCATCAAGATGCTTTGCTAAGATACTGTGCGACCTACGGGCAAAACATTTCTTGAGACTTGCCAGTAGGACCTGCAGACAGTTCGCTTGCTTGCATAGGATGCCTGAGCCTCACATCAGCGCTAGTACTTACGAGAAGCTTCGAAGTGCGCAAGCTAGATTGGGGCAATAGATAGAGCTGTAGCATGTTGTACTTGTCACTTGTATTCTTGATGCTGTCATGTTGACTCATACGCTGCATCGGATCTGTTAAGAGGATTCTATAAGATCGTTACCGTATCAGCATGGCTTGCATCAAGGTAGGTCCCTTAGCATGCAAGCATGAGGTGCAATCTATACCAATGGTATGGTGTTAAATCATGCTTTCTTGTCAACACATGACCCACATGGGGCGGCCCACGTCAACAGGCGCCGGCCTTTGTTTTTCAGTTCAAGACTTGAGTGGTGCATGGAAATGAATATAGTATTGAATCATTGCATGATTCTTCATTCGAATGATGGGCATCGTGTCAAAATTAACATGTGTGCACGGGCGTCCGGAGCTCCGAAAAGAAAACCGGCCACCAGCCCCCCCTCCTTCTCTCAATGCACCATTTTACCTAGGGGTAAATATTGGCCCCTAGATGTTGCCCCAACCGGCCACCAGCCCCCCCCCAACGAGGGCCGATTTTCGGAGTTCCGGACGCCCTTGCACACATGTTTTGACACCATGCCATGGGCGCACATATGTTCACTGGCATGCCTATGGCCGTTTGACATATTTATCGGAGACTGGATATCATGCTTATCAAAAATTTCAGTGCCGAAGTCATCAATTTAATTCAATCCGCGAAACGATATTTAGCAATATGCAGATTACGAAAAGCTCAGAACATGCGTAATTCGAGCAAAGTACGGGCCCATTTTAAAATGATACAGTTTTATGTGTTTCGCAGATCTTTTCAGGATTGCGAGAATGTTGGAGTCAATAAACGCCATCCCTCGACTTGAAGAAAGTAGTGACGATGGCAGATCGAAACAAGTTTGAGTAGGGCGAAATCAATTCAGTAAGTGATTGCACAACGAAACACTGCTGTCAATCGAAGAGTTCAGGATGATGCCCAACAACCATTGGTGCCCTAGCAAACACAACTCACTCAAATTCCAATTTATACAAACCCTCCAGCTGCTATGGTACCAAGACTGGGCATACCCTGGGTTCGGAGTGGCTTCCGTTGACGTCCTATATCCGGTTGTGCAAACACAGTCCTAGATCTACAACACACGCTGCTGGCGGGCACGTAGACTGCATGCCTACAGCATCTATATGGTACCAATCGTGTGACACTCGGTGAGCTCGGACCCTCTCCTTGACCGGAGGAGACGGAAAACTCGCATCTTACACTTATTTGCATGGCCCACTGAGAATGCTCCCACGCTCGAGACCCTCCCTTCAACATGACAACCTATGCAACTTGGAATGAATCGATGGCATTCCTGACGAGCTTCTCCGTCCCCTTGAACCAGCGCTTGTCTCCAGCCTGAGCCTTCATCAGATACAAAGTCCCGTTGCTAACGGTCGCCACTACAAGCTGGTGCCGGCCTCCCTCGTTGCCGTCAGCTGCACCATAGTACCCAGGATCCATCAGGGTACTTTGCAGTGGAAAACAAGCCAAGAGGCAAACCAAACAACTTTGTACATGGTCAGCATCTTGCGAACTGTTGCCCTACTACAGCGTATGTACAGACAACTCATTGTGGCCAACAACTTACGTAATCCTTCAAAATTGTGGCCGACAGAAAACTGAAGTTCCATAAAAAGTAACAAGAAATAAGACGAACACGCCTGATTGTCTGAAGATTGCTGAGAGGCATTTGCAAGGGCGAAGAGCGGCACCTGATCTTGTCAACACCTCGTACTTGTAGTACTTCTTGCCGTTGCTGGTGACTTCGCCTGCGTCCAGAATGTTGGCGGACGACACCTTGTTAGCGTCAAACCCTCCCTCCGACTGCGTCTTTCCTGCATACGCTTGCTTGCCCAGCAGGTATGAGATGCTCTCCAGGAAGGCCTCCTTGGATCCGAAGGCATCGATGCTGGACTTGCCGCCAGCAGGCGCCTTGATGACCACCATGTGAGAGAGGGCATCGAAGTTGTCTTCATACCTGCACGCACAGCACACGCGATTTGACTTGAGACATCCCCGCAATACACAAACACTCTTTCTCTGGGCACTGAAGAGGTTGAGAGAGGCGGCACAACTGCAAATTGGACAATAGGTATGCCAAATCCACAATGCTGGTTGTAATGTATAGGCAGAAAATATCAAATTGCCAAGTAGAATGGGCACGGGCCTCTACACAAAATCTGCAGAAGTATCTATGCCTGGTCATGAGTAGGATTGCCCAGGGATCCCCCTGTAAGTTATTCGTACCTCAGGACTGTGTTGGGGAACTCGGTCTCCTTGGAGGGGTTCCATTTTGAGGGTACGGCCACAGTGAACCCGTCACCCTTGTAAGGGATGTAGTCTGCACAAGAGGAAGATGCGTAAGGATTGGTCGAATCAAAGAATGACTAAAGGCAGAACAAGGTCTTTCGAACAGACCCAGGCTCGCTTGGTCCCAAGCAACCTTTAAAGAGTAGGATCAATCTGCCTTACATAGGGGAATGAACTAACAAGCCTGGTTTGAAAGAAGCACTTAACATGGACTGTGTGCAGAGCCACAAAACATACTATGCGGCCACGCATATTTTGTGCAGTAGCTCGCAGCGCCCTTGGTCACTTACCTGTGTCCTTCTTTGCCTCTGCAAAGATGTTGGCAGACTGTCCGTATGCTGCAAGCGCAGGCTCCTCGTGCAGGGTCACAGCGGCCACGCCAGCCAAGAGACCGGCGAGTGCTGCTCTCCTGGAGGCCTGCACAGGCTTGCTCTCAGCGGAGCAGATCACCCTGCTCTTGCTGACGACCTTGGAGGGGAGGGCGAGGGAGGTTCCCGCATTGCTGCGAGAAGACTGCAGGCTGGCCTGCCGTTGAGAAGAGGGGAGTTGGAGGGGTCAGTAAGGAGTCTAGCAGACAAATAGAGTGTGTTCTATGCAGTTGACATGAAACATGAACGCTGGGCCATTGCCTGCCTGGCAAGGACTTCTCATTGCAAAGACAGACTCTGTCCAATGGAAGGGGCAGAACCAGGACAAAACTCATGCATTCTTGCAAAAGTATGTGGCATAATTGGGAGAATGCAGCAATGCTGCAGTGAACCTGTTGTAAGGTAGTTTCCGTTAAATGCATTGCTTAAGAAGAAGGATTTTTCAAGGTGCCCCAATATGGGCATGGTCAACTCTTTTGTGCAAATCTACTTAGACACCTAATGAGCTTTACAGAACCTGTTACTTGTGGTCCATTGTGTAACCAGATACATAGATTTATTGACTCAGCTCTAACAAGCGGACAAGAGGATGCAACTGAAATTCCGGAACCCTAACCTTGGAGTCGGGCGTTTTTCAGTCCTTGTCATTTTCAAGAGGTTGTGTAAGAATCACCCTGTTCTAAGAACTGATTAAATGGCAATTGCTCAAGAAAAGCACTAAAGGACAACAGAGAAGAACCTTGAAAAGCGAGGCAGGCAAAACTACAAACATAAAAAGACATAAGTATGTGCAAAAGTCCGGATTCATATCCAAGTGAACAGGACAAAAGGATAAAGCGGGGAAAGTTGCTGCATTATGCAACGAAAATGCCTACTCTGATATAGTACAGCAAAACTCTGACAAACTTTCCACACGAGTTAAAAGCAGCATTTTCTTCAAATACATGATGAATGCTAGACGTATGCGATTGACTTTTCTGTGCATAAAACTCACCGCGCCTGCAAATGTCTTTGCAACGGTGGACGAAGCGCAGATAGCCTGAGCCATTTCCTGTGCCTGAAAGCAACAGTGTTGGAAACTAAACTCTTAAACTCAGGTGGCTCTGCTTCTTGATTTCTCCCTGCGTCTATGGTAGCTCTGGTCGTGCTTCCTTGCTCCTTCACAATGAAAGCTGAAAAGCCTACGGGGCTCTTGCGAGCACTCGTGAGAGCACATGTGCCGAGAAGACTTCAGCCTCCAGGTGTCTTTTGGCTCTTCTGGCAATCGCTACTGGTATTGTCAGCATAACTTGTAATGTAAATCAGCACTTTTTCGTTGCCCCGAGCAGCCGGACTATCCTGGCGGTATAGGTACTTGGAACCTATTAGCCCAGGAAGTAAAACATTTCACACCTCGCCATTGCAGCAACAAGCAAAGCCTGGACTCGTAGAGGCCCGCAACTTGGTGGCCACAAAAGATTCACCAGATAGACTTCTGCAACACCCGATTGGCCACTTCAGACCTTCTAACCAATCACGTGCGTTCAAAAGATCCTGTCTCAGAGCACTTTTCAAGACTGCGAGTTCCACGTCAGCTTCTGGAAGGCCTGACTCAAGGCTTGGGGTTTGGATTTTGTGAAACTTCAAAAGCCGCGCTCGGCCAGCCGCCCGCATTGAACATGCACAACAAATTTCGCGCGCGGTCTGTTCAAGACATATACGCGCGCAAAGATCAAAATTTGTAGGCACCGACGAGCGTACCATCAATATCCTCTGGCCTTCATTTGCCCCCCACTGCAGTGCCACGTGTTCATCTCTCTCCATAGAGGTCATGGCTGGTTGTGACGGGCACCCCCCCCAAATCAATGATTTGCATTCACTTATCTGCATGGTGCCCACTTATCTTCGAGAAAATGATGGAATTATTATGAAGGCCTTGATCTATTATGACAAAATATTTGCAATATTATTAGCTAGAATGTGATTTTGACCTGAGAAAGTTTTAGTTCCTGGCGTCTGGATCCAAGTCTGGACCAGGTTTAAGGAAGAGCTAGGTACCTATAGGCTATCTAACAAATGTTGAATACCTATGTCGGTATTTCCTCATGCGTATGCACGCCGACGGCGATCTCGATCGAGATCGAGCTGACCCGGCTCGGAGTCGAGGAGGGGGGGAGGGGTAAAACGGTGGCCAGCTCAGACGAACCTGAGCGGAGCACTTGAACACGCAATTGATTACCTATTGCATGTACACAGCACGCTGACACTGACAGTGAAAGCAGGGGTCATAAGTCGCGGGGCCCGCAAGGTGGTCGCCCGCATGGTGGTCGTCACCGGGAGCAGGCAGGTGGTTCGAGCCTTGAGGCTTCCATCCTGGTCTCCACCCTATGGGGGAATGTCCTTGTGTCCTGCTCGATTGTGGAGGAAATGGTGAAAGGAACGCAGATATGGTCACTCATACCGTTAGGCTCACTCTTGTTTGCGAGTCACGACTTCCTGCCTGCCCATCTTCATCCTTGAGCATGATTTGATGTAGAACAATCAGGTCGGTCAAATGGCGGGCTCGATAATAGGTCCAAACGATGTTGAGGAGGAGGATGACAGCGAACAGGTTGTTATTCAGCAGCTCAAGCTCAGACAGCGAGAGATTCATAAGAGTACATGGTCAGACAAGCAAGCAAAAGGTCCTGCGTCCAAAATCTCTTCCAGCGAAACCTTGTTGAGGAAAGAAAGAGGCCCCTGCACGTACGGACTGCTGAAGGACACTGCACTGAGCCACCGCTCCGTTGGGCACAATGAGACCAAGGAGCCATTGCACGAAGTCTTGAGCAAGCTGTTTCAAGTGGTGAGACATCCTTGTTTCAAGAAGCAGTGTATAAAACTTTAAGGAATGCTGAGGACTTGTTGTGCTTGTCTAAATACTGCTTGATGTAAATCGATGGGCAAAGACCTGCAATGCTGTGAGAAGTACTTTACGAAAGGCCCCTGCAATAGTTGCACGTGCAAGCTAAGGCAGAGGCAGCGGAATGAGTCAAGAGAAGGCGTGCAGAGCCCTAGACTTGGATTTCTTGAACAGCATCAAGGCATTTTTGCTTGACAGTGCGTTTTACCTTTTTATGCAGATTATCCAGAGTAGGCTGCACTTTGTTCCAACTCATGAAACAAGTTGCACAAGCAAGACGGTACGTACATGTTTGACCACTTTGAGCATCAGATTTGCATCATACCTTACACATTGTTGTGTGATGGTTGATTCGATGTGCAGTGGAAATCGAACATTCTCGTCCAGCTGAGGCATTGCTTTAGCCAGATGTTAGCCTATTGTCCAGCATGATTGTTCTGGAAAATGCAATGTGAATGGAAACCCACACAATCAAGCGCATTGGCTAGCCTAATCCTCGGTTGACCGACGATGGCATTGGTTGCAATCCTGATGACTTTCTCCCACTTGGTTGCAGTGTCTTCTTGAGATTGACTGTTACAACAGCCTCCAGCAGGGACTCGAGCCTTTGCTGAAGGAGGCAGTGTCAGCCACACGAGCAATCAAGCAAATGGTTCATCTGGATTTCTACAAAGAGCAGGAAGATGAGAAACCAGGAGTGAAGTTGCTTCTGGAGAGATGGAGGGTTTCCTTTCAACCGTCCCCTTCTGAAAGTAGCGTCGGCCACAGTGGCCGAGAAGAGAACATCGCAAGAGAGGAAGTTTCATCGTGCGGGAGTCAAGTTGGACTGATACAAGAGCTGCCGCAGACAAACGCCGAATTGCACCACCGCCACATGCGCCCAGACGAATGCTGTTTACGTGAGCGCACAGTTGAAGGGGCAGCATTCCTGGCTGCTGAAGATTCTGACAGCGAAGGCGTTCTGGCTGCCAGCCAGGAAAGCCTTGGGGTGGCGTGTCTGTTGCGGTCTGTTTACAGCTGCGTTCGGCTGCTGCCTGCTCCTGGAAGGATGTGGGGCCGCAAAGAGCGGTCTGAGACAGGCAACCTGCTGTACCAGGCATACCATGGACCGAAGACTTCCTTCCTTCGAGCATTCCCTGGCAAGTAACTCTTTCCTCACCCTTTCAGAACCTCCTTCTAGCAGCAATTGCCTCTTTCAAACCATTAAGTGGAACTGCAACTTTGTTTCTTTGCGCTCTCCATGTATTGCATGTTTGCAGTGTATGACTTTTGTGAAACAAAATAAACCTCCCTTCTGTGCTTCCACTGCAAACAACTTTGTCGACAATGTTGTTGATACTTGAATAAGCCATTTTTGGTGTCCGCTCATGTTTCAATAGTGGCCTATGATGCAATTATAATCCTGGCATTTTCTCATGCAGGGCAACCGAATGAGTTCACTTTTGCTCCCGTCTCCCTAGCCTGTGGCGTCCTACTTGTCTCTGTTGAATCCATGTCGACCGTTCCCAAGAGCAGTCCTGCAGCCAAGGTAGCGGCCGCACCAGAGGCTTCATCCATCAGCCAGGGCACCAACATGGACAGCAGTGCACGCAGAGGCACAGGAGTTCCGCGGGCAACTTCCTTTCAGAAGCCAGCTGAACCCGCCCTGCAATCAAGCACCCCCCGGCCGTCTTCTGTAGTTATCGGCTTCAAGACTTCTGAGCGCCCCTCTCCAGTGGCTGAGAAGCAGACGGTAGACCTGTCCAATTGTAGGCACCACCCGGCCGCATCATCATTCTCCTTGGGTCAGCCGAAGCTGCCAAGTACTGGCCCCCTGCAAAGTGCGACTAGCCGTCCAGTGAAAGGCAGCTTGCCTAGTAGCCCCTTTGGTGACGAGAACAGCAAGAGGCACGAGAGCAGACCGGAAAGAAAGGGTTTCGCCGAGGAGGGGAGACCAGTGGTTGGGGAACGGAACCCTCTGTCGCCCCTGCAGAGGATGCTGACGGACTGGCAGTCTATTCCCGTGATCGACCTTGACGGTGCTGGATCAGACGACCTGAACCTAGACAACGACAGCACTTCTCAGGAGGAGTCTGAGAGGTACAAATATCTCTTTGCTTTCTGTGGATCATATGTAGGCTCTGGTGTCGGAAGTCCCTTTTAGAGGAGCTTGCATATGCTTCGTTGCTGTACTTTCAAGCAGTCCTGGCGACTTGTCAGAGCTAGAGCCTTGGAAGAAGAAGTGACAAGCCTATTTCTGTTTTGGTTCCTACTATTCAATGATTGAAGCTTTCTCACATTTGCGAAATCTATCCTGCAATTTTTCGAACAAGTATCTTGATTTAGGGTCTTTCTGATTGCCTTCATATTGCCAATGTCTTTACCAACATACACGGCGCAAGATATCCCGCAATTGAAATCCTTGCCTGTCGTTCTTGCAGCTCTTCTCCATCTCCGGCTCCCCAATCTCTGCGGCGCTCCCCTTCGCAGAGGAAGAAGCGAACTTCTGGTTGGTCATTCTACCAAGAACGTTGATTCCTCAGATTTTAGGTCAAGTGTCTTTGGCCAGCTCCGGTATCTGCTTTATCCTCTCAGTCAGCTTGTCGAAGCAGAAAGACTGTTGCAAAAGCTTGACGCATCGAGAATTTTCTTGATGCAACCGTTTGGAACATTCTATGGGACTTTTCATGCACGCTTGGCATCTCATAACACTCTCAAACCGCTCCTTTGTGCTTCGGGGGCCCCTGAATGCTTGCCCAAGGGTTCATCGTGCAGACATGGAAAGACTGGAGTGCTCAACGCGCTTGCAGCTGCTTATCTCGCCGATTATGTGTACCAGCGGCAGAAACGATCCCTGTAGCTTAATTTGCCGGCCTTTTCCTGATTGAGTCCGATTACTGAGCACTTCCTATTTCACTTGCAGTGTCTCCCAAGCCTCCCGCCAGCCGCGCCATTCCCATCCCCATCCCTGCACCCCCTCCCCAAACTGAGGAAACTCTCCCTGTCCCGTTGGACGATTCCGACGAGCCCAGCACAAATGGCCGGCCCGAGCCCCTGAGCCCCCCCGCCAGCCTCTTTCGCTACTCCAGCACAGCGTCGCCTGTGCATCGGCGAGCGGCCATGTCACTGTCCCCGCTCGGCCCCCGCAGCCCCCTCCTGGCGGCTGTCACGTCGCTAAGCCGCACGGTCAGCAGTGGCATTCCTTCCATGCGAGAAGCACACCACGTGTCTCCGCCTTGTACATTCCCGTTGAAGACGGCTGGCCGGCCCCCGGTCGCGCCGATAGATGCCCGCGCTGGCGCTCGACGAGCGCTCTTATTCTCGGAGCTTGAGAATCGGCCTTGGGAGCAGTCGCCGTGGAAAGGCTACGCACACCCGCACCGTCCGGGCCCGGTTATGAGCGTCTCACCTTCGAAACTCGTGGCTCGACACCTAGACCCGTCGCCCGTAGAGGGGAGCCCCCTCCGGAACCGTGTCGCTGGGGCTGAGTCTGCGCACCTTTTCCGGGGGGGTATAACGCCGCCACAAGGGGGCGACTGGCACATGCTGGAGCAGGCGGTGTCGCTTCCTCCTAAGGGCACACCTCCTGGTAAGCCAGCGCCTCTTTGCATAGTCGTAAAAGTAGGAGGGTCATCCTGGGAAGTACGACCCGACCCAGTCAACCAGCCCAGCGTCGACTGATGCAGCTTCTCACTACTCGATGTATTTTGAACGGAAGTTTTAACGGAGAGGGGTTTGTCTGTGCTAGATAGCTCAGTGCTGAAGAACTCACCGTTGTATTTGTTGGTCTATACAGGGCCCGGATCGCTTGGATCGCTCAAGAGGTCGCTGGTCGGGTCGTTTGAGGAGTCCCTCCTGTCTGGCCGAATCACGAGAGCCGCGCCAGCGTTTCAGGTAACGCCTTTGCCGTCAAACCAGAAAATCACGATCGTGTCTTTTTCTTAGTGTAAGCATGATCCTCTTGTGCATTGGCCACTCGTGCTGGAGCATGCTTGGTGAAGAACTGCGCAGAAACCGTGCAAGCCCGCAAATCGTTCGAGCTGCCACTGCCCTCAGATGCGGGGCTGACTTTGGCTGGCTTTGTCCATGCTGCTTCAAACAACTCAAGCCCTCTGTCGGACATTCAAACTGGTCCAGTTCTTGTCTCTTGTACCCCTAACCAAGGACTTCTGTCAGGGGCTATCCAGCTAACGCGTGGCATCACTCCATTGGGCTGTACAGCGCCTGGATGGCTTCCAGGCCCTCCTGAGTGTCAGTGGCGGCGAGTGGACGCCCGAGCGCCAGAAGCTGCCCTTCTCAGTGGTCTGCGTGGATGGAACGTCGTCGCTCTACTGCGCAACAATTCACTTCCCATCTGGTGTGCCTCGTGCATATTTTCTTCGGCCATCTGAAAATGTCACGCTTCAAATGAAAGACACGTTCAGGAGGAAGGTGGTGAAGGGTGCTTGATCAGCGTGTCCTTTAGCTGGTGCTCCGCGTGGTGCGTATCCCATGGCGACGGTCTTACAGTTTCGCACAACGCATACTCACAGCCGCTCAGAAAGTAGTCTCCCAAGGCAGGTAGCAAACGGAAAGCATGCCTACATACTTTTCCTGCCCCGACTTGAACAGTGGCCCTTCTAAGAACGGGAAAGAGTGGCTCTTTTTGATGCGCCGCTGAACCTGAAAACGCACTCTTCTTCCATGCAGTGCCGCCAGGCAAAGCGAGTCCGCGCAGGAACAGCTCAGCCGGGACAGAGGACAACACCGGGCATGGCCACCACGCCAGGCTGAGGGTGCCCCCCAATGGGAAGGTGCAGCTGGTGAGCACCGGACTCTTTGTTGGCCGCTCTACTGGTGCTTGGCAGCTGTCAGCTTTGAGCACTGGAGGGCAGATAACAATCCAGCCAAACGGCTTTTGCGCTTGAGGGGGTTGTGTGACGCTCGCACATCGGCAGCAATGGAACATCTGGTAGTGCATCACTTTTTAAAGGCCTAAGATACGTACCGGGGCTTTGGGCATTCGAGTGATGCCCTCTTCTGCACCGGCGACATGGTCACCGTCATGGTAGTAAAGGAGGGGAAAGTGAGCTGTCCGTCAATCGCATGGGCCCCTTTCAAGTACGGTTGGCTTACAAGGGGGCGAGCAAAGTCGTTTGCTATCTGGCTAGCAGGAAAGACTTACTTCCAGACCAGAGGCTCGACTTCGCTTTCTGTCTCTCACCCCTTCTCGTCTATCGCAGGTTCTGAGCAACCCGGAGCAGACGCCGGTGCACACGTTCGTCTGCAGCTATGACCTGCAAGACATGCCGCATGGGACTAAGGTACGGTGACCTCTTCGAAGTGCTGGGACACTCGGCAGTGTCTTCCGTGATTGGATATAACCATCCTCATGTGCAGACTTTGCATCAAGAAGGCTGAAGTATAAGAAACAACCGAGTAACAAACCTATAGAATGTGCCATCAGCATGTGCTCTGCTGCATACTGGGGACGAACTATGTTCTCCAGTCGGACAATGTTGAAAACATATACATAAGCTGAAGTCCGCTGAGCGTGTGTTTTCCTGTCTGCAGACGTTCCTCCGGCAGAAGGTCCTCTCGTCGGGCCCCGCCAGCTCGGGAGCGGAGCCCGGTGCGTCGTTCGGCAGCGGCGCGCTGCTGTACGCCCTCCACATGCGGCTCATGTGCGCACCGGCAAAGGCCCGGCAACGGAAGAGCTGGCCGAGATCAAAGCAGGACAACGACACAGAGATCAAGCAGGGGGGCGAGCCTGGCCCGGAACAGGTGAGCTCTTGGAGTGTATGTGATCTGCAACCGACGTGCTCCTTGGCGGCAGTAGAAAGACTATCGGCACTCCTGCCACTGCTGCCGTTGTCAAGCCGCACACTTGATCTGGAAGTGCTGGTGCTGGGGCTTCGGAACATCTACGTAACGTAGTCGGTTATGATGAATGCACGCCTCTTTCGATCCTTTTTTCTTCTTTGCCTGTGACGCATATGCAATCTGGTGGTCGGTGCTGTGCGTGTGGTGTTGTGAAGGTGCATTTTCTCTGTCAATCATAGGAACCGGACTACTTGGACCGACGACGATTTTACCTGTACGGCGACCTGCGAGTTGTCTTCCCGCAGCGGCGGTCAGACGCAGACGATGTCAAGGTAAGCACTTTGGCTGCGCCTTGCAAAACTGTAATCGAAGGCGTCGCCTAAAAATTGAAAGGTGATATGCACTGGAACACACGCCGCTCTGGTCTAGCGCATTGTGTAAGGTCTTCGTCAGATCCGACTGTTGATAGCAGGATTGTTTTGTCAAATGTAAGAAGGGTGTTTGTCGAAGGGCGACTGACTTGTCTTTCCTGCAACAGTTGCACGTTGAGTACGACAGTCCTGGGGACCCGAAGTACTTTCCGTTCGACCCGTGATGTACAGTACCGAGTAGCCCAGGTCAGACAGGTTCGCATGAATGAGCAGTTTAGTCCGGTCTGTGGTATAAGTGGTGAACAGGTTCGCTTCAAGGAAGCACAAGCAAGGTCGACATGGCAAAGTCACTCCTCCATTGGACACAAGGACCAGCTGATGAGCACCTTCGCCTGCGTTAACGTTCTGTAATCTGCCAACGTATCTCATGAACTTCCGTTGTTCGTCATTGATTGATGAATCATGAGGATACCCGATTTGGGCCGGTGTCTCTTGCTGTCTGCAAGAATTGTGATGGTGCCAAATCGACATTGCTGCGCAGGCTTTGAAACCAAAGCGTCTTCCCGTGTGTTATCTAGTGTTCGACTGCGATCTATTTGACCTTTTGCTTAGAATAGCGCAACGGTTTCTTCCTCACCTTCCGACAATAAGCTGTCTGATAGAAGATGAGGTTTTGCATGCGAAGCCTGTGAGTACAGAGTTTGGCATGTGCCATGCGACGCCACGCTTCAAGCATGTAAGTGGAGACAGTACGTCCAATCAGTCGGGCCTCGACTTAGTGGGAGTCGGGCGTGGCGGCCCTAGCTCTAATTGCTCGCACTTATATTGCAGTCATTGCAGGAATACACTTTGTGACTTGTAGGTGGGTATTCGAATGACAAAGTTGAAGAACGATAGTTTCCACGATCGTTCAAGTGCATGATGCTCCATCGATCCGGGCGGCCTGTTTTGCGCACGCATTCAACTCAACGGAATGTCTTCGATCAGTCCCTTGAAGAACACTAACACATCACTTTAAAGTTTCTGTGGTCATACTTGGAAGTGGCGGCTGGCCCACTGAGCAATCCATGGAACTTCGGAGTAATATAGCTAAATAGTATATCTGCGTGGGCTCAAGGTGCATGGCAATCGACGTTGAGATACTGGCAACGATGCAGGCATTACTCTGCAGAAGCAGTAGTTTAGTGACGATCATGTACTCGTTTCTGCAGAGCGTGTATGGTAGAGACCTAAACAGAGTATCATAGAACAGGTTGCAACCGGTTCATGCGAGAACATTTGCTGACAACTTGAAGTGAGTGCTTTTCCACTCAGTCGAAATGTCCAATCGAAGCTCTTCAGCCGGACTCCGGGAGCCTATTTTGCTCGTTCTGGAAAAGTCGGCTGCAGATTTCTTCTGATATCGGCAGACGGCTGCTGCAATATACACGCAGCTGCGAGCGCTATCCTGTAAATGATCTTTGTACCCACAGAAAGCAACTCGCAACCCGCTTGGAGGGTTATATGGCGGCTTGCTCAACCCGACAAGATTATACCTTTGGTATATCTACATCCATATCTTTGCGCGAGCTTACTTGGTGACTCAGTATCTAGAAGATCCCTAAGTAACTCTTTACCTTGCTAAATCCATCGGTGCCGACGAGTCGCCTTTGGACGGGCACGGACGTCTAGATCCTGGAAAAAGCAGACATACTCTCAGCTTCTTTGACTTACATATGGTATATACCTGAGTCATTCATGCATACTCATTTCCGGAAGTAAAGCAGATTCGTAACCATTCGTAAGATGAACCCTTTTCGGTGGGCAGTACCATTCCGTTGGTCCTTTCGGTGAGCAGTACCGTACTAGTTCGTCATTTTTCCTTGGTTATTTCAGTTTAGCTGAAGTAGTTTTCGACAAAGAAACTCTACAGAAATTCTGAAGAAACGCCAATGTCCCCCGGAAAGAGCTTGTCGAGGTGATTCCTCAGATTTAAGCACCCAAAACCAGGCCTTTTCAGGACATTATGAAGATAGCAGAAGCCTAAGCACGTGTTCGGAAGGAAGGACCGACAGAGTGCTTCTGCCAACTTCTGCATTTCGCGCTGCATCTGAAACTCGCAGAGACATCTCGAACTTGTTGTGGTGACACTTTAAAAGGCGTAGCAAGGAGGTGCGAAGAGAAAGCTCACCGTCAGCACCGCGCCTCCTCAATCCTCTTCCAAGAGCGGAATGATCAACTTTCCAAGAAACTCAGCTTTCGCCTTTGCAACTCTGTCTGGGTCCCCAGACTGCTCCGCTTCCTTCCACTTCTTAGCAACAACTGTGGCTTCCGGCCACAGGACCGGAACCTCGACGGCCGGTGGATCTGGATCCGCTGCGGAACGTTCTGCTTTGCCAGCAGCGTTGCGAATGCCAGCTGTTCTGGACGTGGGCGATTGAGGTGGACTAGCCGCCTCCGCCGCAAAATCTGGGCTCCGTGTGTGATGGCTTCTCGTGACGTCGACCGTCAATGATTGATGCCAAGTAGCTGCCCTTGCTGCAGGTTTTGGGCTCTGTGCGAGATCAACTCTTGTGGCCGATGCCGATGGTTGCTGTAAAGCTGCCGCCGGGCCAGCTGCAACTTCTGGGCTCCGTGTGTTTGTGACCGCCGTTAGTGATTGCTGTGACCATTAGTCCGACCCAGTGCAGATTCTAGGCTCCGTGTGCGATCGCCTCTCGTGACCGCCGTCATCGATCGGTGCAAAGACGATGCTGCTGCTGCAAAGTCTTTCTCTTTCAGGGTCTCTGCGTTATCCGTCTGGAAGGATCGTGGTACTTTCTCAACTAGAGCGGACGCTTTTGGTGACCTCGGTGGAGTCCGGGTGGCCATGGCGTGGTATCAAAACAGCCCACAAGATAGCCTATCGTTCAAGCGTTCGAAATGGAGCTTAATTGTTAGGGATGCTTGAAGCGATTGCAATCCAAGGCGGCTGAGACAGCTTCCATCGTCCGTGACAAGAGTTGACGCTACCTCCTTGCCTTTCGAAAAGCTGCACATTCAAGCCTCTACTCTCAATCAATCCACATTATCCGGCTGACACTTCGTCAAACGAATGCGCCCACCAATGTATGTATGCGCACCTACAGCAGGCTGTTCCAACCTACTGAGGTGAAAGACTTAGCAAATCCTCTATTAGCTAGAGACAGCTTATGCCCAGCACTTTCGCAGAAGGAGTTGGTAGTGCTGCAAGAGCAATTATCCATTGTCACTGGTCGGGCCGTTTGAGTACCATCACCAGCGCGCACTGATCTGATTAGTAGAAAGGCTAGGTACAGTCTCAGCCACCAGTGCAGCAGCTGGTCATTTCTTGACATACAGGAATACAGCCTGGGAGTAAGTAGGTATAACCTGATTGATCAATCTTGTCAACTCAATGGTTGACAGCATGGAGGTGACATGGTGGCAGCTTGTGTGTTTCTAGCCTGGCAATTAGTGACATGAGGTCTACAAGCAGATACGTAAGAAATATTCCAACTTGACGTAGGCATTCATTGACCGTCCACGTCACTGCATGATGGTCAACCAAAGGAGGTCCGGGTGCAGTGCTGAGTGATGGCTACCGGGACGGTGCCACCGTCATCATCATCATTGAAGGATCATTGATGGCTGTCCACATCTTAATATCATAATGTAGAAGCACGTGGGGGGAGATCAGATGGCTATAAAGCAGGACAAGCTAGTCCTTGGACTGGACTACATTTTTAGCCGAATAGGCGGTCGCGCCATGTGACTGTCACGTGATGGTCAGTGGATCCAAAAGATCTCACTGTTAATAGTATTTGATAAGAAACGGTGAATTTGGGTGGATTCCCAGGTTCCTTGCCACAATTCTTTGTGCTCATCGAAGCTAGGTCTCGAATCCATGTTGACCAATGGAACAAGGGCCGTGTTGACTAAGGAGAGTGCCCGGGGGACGGCTAGGGTTGATTTAGGTTAGGGTAGGTACGGGTGTGGAGCGTGTCATTTCTTGGTTTAGAGTTTTGGTTTTGTTCTTTCCCCCGAGCACTGTCCTTCAATTCAAAATGCTCTACAAAATCGAGTAGGACTAGGTATTCGAAGTAGTCAGTATCAACAACACATTTGCAAGTCAACTTAAGCACGGGCCGCCCCATGAAACCGACTTTTCTCTCAATCGACGGTCAGTATTGCAAGTTGCCGGCGAAACAGCCGTCGATCTTAAAGTTGGTTGGAAGACTGCTGTCTGCCGGCGCGGCCGGGGCCGGGGACTCAAAGTCACTCAACTTAAAGTATAGCATGCTTTCCATTCATGTCATCACTGTCCCGCGTGTCGACCGGTATACTCTCGCTATTAGCCCTCATACCAATTACGTAAATACTTCTAACGATATTAATGCATATGGCCGGCCAACCGGTACATCTTGCACGGCATGTCCGGACATAATCTTAAATACCATCTGATAACTACCTTTCCTTTCACATGGACCTATGGACAGCAAGGAGTGAAGGAGCCATGGCGGCCTTGCTGATTACATCGGAAAAAGAATTAGGTATGCAATCAGTGTACGACGCATGATTCTCTCGAGGGCATTTGACTAGATATTTAAGCATTCAAATTGCAAAGTGAATGGTTGATTGTCCAAGCAGATTCCGATCTAAAAATCCTGCGCGGATGAGTATTTAATCTGATCGCCCGGGGCACCCTGCCTGCTTTGAAAACTCATCCTATGCAGCATGCCAAGTCGGACATAACACGATTCTAGATGTTTGCAGACATGTGCTTGCGGATTGGAGGACGCAATACCTCCGTGTAGATCATGTTTAAAACATGTCGCAGTCAACTGTCCAAGTGGCAATTGCAAACAGATGGGTGTTTCCCAAGTCGATTACACTCTTCTTGGGGACCCGAGCTACGAAAGCTCTGTTCACCCATCAGATCAACTGCACGGCTCTACAAAAGGCCGTTCGAAAGACTAAGAACTATACACGCTGTTGCGAGCGCTGTCCGTAGAAACTCTATGTACATACGACACAGCAATCCGCGAATGCTCGTGCGGCTTGCGCCGCCCGACGAGCCCGTAGCTGGTCTGTCTATGCAGCTTTACGCGAGCCTGACAACTGATAGTAACTGGACAATTCTGCGTCACTCGGTATTCTGCTGAATCGCCAATCCGTGTCGACGAGTCGCCTTTGGACGGGGACGTCTAAAGACTCTGAAAGGAGAAATCCGGAATATATTGATTGAGTTTTTCCATGCACCAGACTCCAAAGTCGTGCAATCTTGTCGGTGTGTCTATGAAGAAACTACGGGGCTTCAAATACCCGCGAACCCTTAGCCCAAGTCCATCAGAACTTTGAAAGTCAGTGCGAGTCTTGGAGCTTTCACTTCAAAAGTTTCAATCTACCGTGCGCCAATATGTTCAGATCCAATTACAACGTTATTAAAAAACGCATTTAAAAAGCCAATCCGTGTCTTGCCTCGAACCAAGGAAGAAATATCACTGCTTATATCGCTGCTTCTGAGTGCACACAACGCGGCCAACCCCTTGGGAATTACAAGATCAAGCGGTTTTCAACGCAGATTATTGGCGGCTTCCAATACTTCCCGAACGTGGCGACAAGCCTTGGGATTTAACAATCAAAGCTCACGCCCATTCTGAAACTGAATTTGTCTACGTCTGCAGGGACGGAAAACCATTTGACTGAACAAGTATGGAGATTTTCAGAGAGTCAGACTTTCCTACCTGCGAAGGCTTTTCCGCTGGGACTGACCGCCCGACAGAAGGGATGTGTCGCATTCCGGGCCACTGCCGCGCGCAGGTGCTGCCACGAAAGCGCGCGTTGCTCGCGCGTTATTTTGCCCATTTGGGCTATCTGCACAACGAGCTGGATGCTCTGAGGGCCCAAAGCCAGACGATGCAAGATGACAAAATTTGAGCCCCTGAAATTTTGATTTGCCCCTTTCTAGCCCGTCTGAAAAAAGCATAGGGGCAAAAAGATGCATTTAGGAGGGTTCACGTTCGCCCAGAAGATTCGCAGCGTAGGGTTTAATGCATGCACACCGAAGAGTTGCAGCTTTGGCTTGCTGCTCTTGGTTGCTACTCTTTCAACCTCCATCGTGCTCGACCAATTTTCAGCCAGATTCACGAGGAGGCAGAAGCCTGAGAGCCCAGCTGAACGAAAGGTGAAAGGCGCCTTTTTCACCCACCTTTTGGAAGAGATAATACGACGGCCGCGCGTGGCGTGTGAAGTTGTTGGCGCGGTCCACGGCCACCATGCCGAACTTCGGACAATAACCGTCGGACCACTCCCAGTTGTCGGACAGCGTCCAGTGGAAGAGACCGTCCACGGGGACGCCCTGGAAAGCAGACACGTGGCTGCTTAGCTCCTCGGACGAAGTTGGTGGCTGATTGCTCGAGTTTATTGTCTGGCAGGGAACAGAAGCTAGACGAAGAAGAAATTCTGGTTCGCAACATTTGGAGAAAGAGAACGAGATTGCTGAGGTTGGAGAGAAAACGCGCGACAAAAACTCGCTGAACTAACGTGCCAAAAGCATACTGCTCTCGAGTTCTTGTAGGTGGGTGCTATGAAACTCGACACAAAACGAGCGGAAAAGACTTCTAACCAGAGTTGCGCCCGGTTCATCAGGGCAAAAACAGCACCGTCTCTAGAGAGCTCAACAGATGCAAACGGAAATACCACATGCCCTTCTCAGCCGCAGCCAAGACCCGCGAGGATTTGCAAGCCCTCAGCCAGGCGTCCCGTTTAGGCCCTTTCCAGCTCCGCTCCACCGAGAGCCCCTCACCTCTCGCCGAGCAGCATGCACCGCCAGCAGATGCTCTACGATATACGCCGGCCGCATCACGTCGATATCGTCGGCCACCCCGTTCTCCGTAACGATAAACCGCAGGGGCGTTTTCCCCGGGGCGTTGTACCGGGCGTGGAAGGCGGTCAAAGACTGGTACAAGCCGTCGGGGAAGACCGCCCGGCCAGAGTCGCTGTACTCGACGCCGGGGGCGATGTACGTGGCACCGCCCGAGATGACCTCCTGAGGAGAAAGGCGTCGAAAGCGTCTCTGTCTGCCGGGTGAGAAAAGACACGTCTGGGTAGTGGCCGAGCTTAGGTGGCTGACAGCGGTTCCAGGGATGATGGTACGTGGCAATCTTCATCTTGTACGACCTGTCGAGATTGAGACAGCCGGAACCTCGTCAAAGACGCAATGATAAAGCGTGGGGTTTGAGCTTTTGAATCAACCATACGCTGGCCTCCTTTTCAAAGATGCCGGCGCCTGAAGTTCCTATCTGTCTCCTCCGTCGTTGTGCCTTGTCTCAATGCCTTCACGCGCGGAATACTTTCTTAGCTAGCTCAGTGGATGAGAAACTGACGAGCCTTAGCCCTTCCGCTCCTGCGAGCTCGGATTTCAAATAAAGCCCTGAGGTTTGTCAAGAGACCCACTTTCAAAGAGGGAGGTATGCATTTCGAGCGCGGCGCACTTGCCCCTCAAAATGTAAAGCCAGACATGCCGACTTCTCCTCCGTCCATCATTGTCTTTCAACCTCGCACCAAACTTCCAAGGCACAACTGCAGAAGCCTCCTTTTACTTTCTTCTCCAAGATACTTCCTGCGGTACGTACCTGGCCGTAGTAGTTGATGCCCAGGAAGTCCAGCTTGTCATGCAGGCGGTCCGGAATGTACCACGTGTTGACGAACCGCCCAATGATTGCAGCAGGGATGTCGAACGGGCTCCACGGGATGAACACTGACGTCAGGTGGGCGATACCGATAACCGGCGTCTTTCTGCAGTGGAGAACGTTCCGTCAGAACATTCCCTAGAGAGCGGGATGAGGCTCCTAGGGAAACGGACAGCAGTCCACGCCAACTTGTCCTAGGAGCAGCCACCTGAGGTGCAGATTGGGATGAAACTATGACTGGTTATCGCCAGAGTCTGCCAACCGGAGCCAGAAAACACTTGGCAGTCTTATCTCTCGTTATGCGCACCCAGTCATCTGATGCACTAAAGGACCGTGATGCCGTATCGAGGGAATTTAGAAGGGGCTCTTGGGTCCGACGTCTGAGTCAGTCAACGGCCAATCAGACAGGAGACCGTCGGCAATTACACCAATGCTTCCAGATTCCCCCTTCTCGTAACGTGCCGTCTCCGTCTGAGCAGGTGATGTTAGCAAGCACAGCTCCTCACATCACCAGACCGGAGAGCACGCCGTTCCTGACGATACGCGAAGTGTCTCACTTGCTTGGCAGTGCGTGGATCGCATCGTAAGCCGCCCGGTGTGCCGCGATCATGTTGTCGACCGCCCGGAAGAAGTCGCCGTAGACCGGAATCAAGCACTGGAAGAAGCGGAACGACGAGGGTGCAAAGCCGGGGGGCCAGTTGCCGGAGCAGTACGTCAGCAGTGCGAACACGTGGGCCTCGTTGAACAGCACGTAGTAGTCGACCAGGTCGCCCAGCTCAGTGTGGACGAGTCTGCGAAGGAAAGAACAGGGCCTCGAAAAAACACGTGAGGAAGAGAAGAATAGGGCTTGCATAACAACGCCATATGCGCCCACGGCTTGTTCAAGGGTGCCCAGTCGCTCGAAGGTCAGTGCATTGAGTCTGCAGAATGTGTGGCGATAAGAAGGAAAAGCGAGTAGGTGTCTGAGAAAGCCGCTTCGTAGCTCCTGACGATCGTGACGAACGCAGATCTGTTTGTCGTTGTCCGCTTGGGAGTTCCAAAGCTTAGGACCCTGGTGTCAAGCCCTGTGACGTCATTGGAGGACGCTGTTGTATGAAAAGACGACGCCTCATGCAAGGCGGCGTCGCTTCACGACCGGCATTTTGGAATGCACCTGTCGTGCTTCAGTTCCTACGTGTGATAGAAGTAAGTCGCGTCTCGCAGCATCCTTCTGACAAGCATACCCGGTCTTCCAGTCGTCATGAAGTGGTTCACACAACTTCGGATACAAAGTGGTCTCAGCAGAAAGAAAAGCAACCAATCGGTTCTCCCAGTTCTGTTCAAACCTACACATTCTAAGACAACAAAAAGCTAAAGAGAGACGGCCGCCTACGTGCTGAACTCCACAAAATAAGGGCTGGTCCGCTGGTTGGTCCAGCCACCGTACGGGATGGCCCACTTGGGCATGGAATGGTGGAACAGGGTGAGCAGGACGCGCATGCCGTGCGCTCGCACCTGCTGCAACAGAGCCCGGTAGTGCGCCAATGCAGCGCGGTCGACCTGCAAGGCAGTAAGCCAACCTCAAACACCGCTTTCTTTCAATCGATCGCTTCTGGGACTGCAGTCTTCTGAGAGCGCTGTAACGTCAATTCTGTGTGCAACTGAAGACTGGCAGCACCAAGAGGTGGATGGTCAGCCGCCTGAAAGTTGTATAACCCAAGCGCCATATCATAGCCCTGGAGGTATCAACGGATTCTTGTGCCGTACAAATGCACTGCTCCTCTGAAAGCTTTTTGAATGAGTTTTCAATTCTTTTGAGTTGGAGACATATCCACTCTTCTGCTATCAAAACCTGAATGGGCGCCCAATGCAGCGAGCTTGACCCTCAAGAACCTGAGTTTGAACGTCTATCTCTCCGTTCCTTGACCAGGCACCCATAAAGAGTCGTTGGCAGGCGGACCGCAGAAGATTGGAATGGCTGGGGGACAAAACAAAACCGCGTCGCTATCGTCAGATTTCTGAGGCAAAAAAATGGACGCCTCAGATTCGTTGTTTCCAAGCGGTTTTGCAAAGTTTACCCCAACCCCGGTCCAGTAACCTGTCCTCACGCTATTGAACCCTTTGAGGCTAAATGTTGCAGACTGGGTTTGAAGATCGGACGGCTGCAACGCGATATCGGCCATCTTGAGCTTCTGCGGTCCGCCTGTTGGCGAAGGATGACTTTGAACCTCTGGTGAACATCCGCCTGATTCAGTATCCAACGGTGTGCTACAGAAAGATCAAAGCACACTCACCACCGCTTGCGTCCCGTGCACCGGCTCTTGTGGAACCAGCCTCCCCCAGTCCACCCCCATGCGATACACCGTCACTCCCGCAGCGGCAGCCAGGGCAATCTCCGTCTCCGCGTCGGTCCAGAAGCGCACCCTCTGCTCAGGGACGGGGACATTGTGCCAGGCGGGCACGTTGAGGTGGCGGGGCTTTTGGGTTTGAGGGTCGATGCCGGGGGTGGTTGCTTGAGCAAACTCGAGCCAGCTGTCATTGAGGTGGTCTTCTACGTGCGCAGGCGCAGTGGCCAGGCCAAAGAAGAAGCATCCTGCATTATGTTGGGCGGTGCATTTGAGACCAATAGTGGAAAGAATGAGTGAGCGGTTGAAGGAGAGCCCAAACCCCTTATCCCCATCAAATGCTGGATGGACGATGTTGGACTCTATTCAAGCATAGTTTCAAACTGGTGTGTTATCTTCTCATTGATGGTTTGAGTGCGGTCAGGAATGAGTTTCCGCAAATGGGCCCTGTTCGACGATTCAACCAGCTTCTCGTCGATGACAACTTCAAAACCAGCAGACTCACTGAGATGCGCAGCCGATAGCAATACAAGAATCGAGAGGCCTCCTGTCCAACCTGACTCTCGTCTGCAACTATCTGGGCAAAAACCCCACCAGGTCCCTGAAGCTTTGTCGTCAGGAAGGAATGCACAATAAGGTTCCTTGGATCCAGCCCATTTGTCAGTCTATTGGGAATCTCAAACTTTAGAGTAGCAATTCACTGGGACCTAATTCGGGACAATCGCTTCTAAGTAGAGTTACTTTCTTATACCCTGATATATTCAATGTGAAGCAGCTGAAATGGGCTTGATGATAGTGATTTAGACGCAATTCACATCAGGCAATGCGCGCCAATAGCCACCATGTCCAGTGCCAGCTGGCAATGTGCTCACCTTTCTCGGCAACCCCTTCTGGCCCTGGGCAGAGCGGTCCAAAGTCTGCCAGCACTTCGTCCACAGAGTCAACGGTGAACTGGAGCTGTGGTGAGGAATGTGTGCTGCTGGCAGGAAACCATTTGGATACAGTCACAAGCAACAAAAGGCTGGAAAGCAAGACAAGAACTACAGCAAACGGCCGCGCAGCTAGCTGTGCCATGAAGACGTTGTTGTGAACAGAGGCGCACGTAGAGCACGTAATCTTCCCGTCCGTTCAGGAGCACTGGAAGGACGTCTAGCGCCCGTGCTCTGTTCCTTGGCCAATGCCACTGCCAATGGTCAGCTTTCTGATACACAGGTCTGCACAGTGCACTCCATTTGGCACCAGCCGGGCGGCATGAGAGAAAAGCAGAGCAGCTCCACTGCTTGTAGTAAAAGAGTGCGGTGCCCAGTGCCCGTCTACCGAGCAGCACCAGCATGCCGGTTTTGGTGGCCGAGTGACCCGTCAAATAGAGCGGTCTCGACTCACAGGCCTTGAATCGCGGTGCCGGAGTCGCACTGCCGGTTCCTCGAATGCGGCTAGCTTGGCACGCGTGAATAGCCCGGTTCTTAAATTAACCGGGAGCTGAATGAATGTATTATGGGTGACTTTAATACGAGATCTCCAGTTTCAACAAAATGCAAGAGCTCATTCGTCTGGTCTTGCGTTCCGGCTCGTGGCCTCGATGAGAAAAGAGGATAGAAAACAAAAATGGCCATGGATAAAGCGAACTCGAAGTGACTCGAAGCACTTTCGCGCGTGCGTTCATTCGACATTCGTGCTTATTGGTGGACCGATCGCGCGGGGCTGTAAGATATGAATATCACGAGCCGGTACTACTGCAGCGCACCCACGCGCTCAATGAGGAGGTGGCAGTTCGTAGAGCGAAAACACTGATTCACAGAATGTCTCGACGTACTTCCAGATGTAAAGGAGCGTCCATTCGATCCAGAAAATGCTTGTCACATGCTGTCCTAATATATGGTCACGATGTGAACGATGAGTCGACTCGCAGCTTTGATAAGTATCAAATCTAATCTGCTAATATACCCCCCATACGTCCTGTACGTATCTGGCTGCCCCAAATGAATCTAGAGGGAAGAAAAATTGTAGTTGGCATGGGCTCGATTTACAACCATCACGTCTTAAAACTAATTTAGGCTCTCAATGATAGTAGTGATACCGTCAAAGTCACCCACTTCGACGCGGACTCGATGCGCACACTAGTCAAATGAGGGAATTGCGCCTAGCTCGCCGAAGTTCATTCACCATGTTTCTTCTTGACTTGAGTGTCGTACCATTGACACAAGCTCGCGGCGTCATTTGATCATAATGGCTGCATGCACTGCGTTCGAGATACTGAGGAGATTCTGGGCAGCTGGTACTCTGCCGCAGTTTTCAGTGACTTCCACCCGCCCATGTTTGCATCTCATCACTACTTGCAATCGCCAGGACTGACTCTGATTACCTGATGAGCCCGCGACTGCAATCAGTGGACAGCCAAAACACATACATGCCCAAACGCGGCCGGCCGGCTACCTGGTGCCAAAGCATGAGCCGGCCGTGTGTTGAATGATCGACCTCCCATCTACAAATGAAATGGACCCGGGGACGTGCAGATTTACATCTGAGAAGCTCAAGCTTCAACATTTCTACTTTAAGAGGCGTCATCTAGGGCGAGGCAGCGGAGATGGTGGGCTCATAGAGTCTCACGCGCCTGACGCGCTTCGTCAGGTTCCGAACGGAGCTGTGGAAGTTACGGTCTTACATCACGTCTCAAATACTAGTATACAACGAAAGCTAGCTACGGTATCAATGATGGAAGTATCAGCTTTGCATCAGGCAGTGATGGTTGTTCAAGACGACGTCTGACGTGATCCCGCCAGGAACTTCGCACATGCTATGGCGAGGCACTGGCCGGCTGCAGAGAGTTTTTTTGGACAGTTAGTGAAGGGTTGCACCATGCTGACACAGTCAAAAAACATTTTTGATGTCATGAGCTGGAGGCGATCAGCTCTTTGCTTCGGGTGAGGACCACCGTTGAATCAGATAATTCAATTTGCGAATGCCAGTTATCTTGCACAGAGGATTCACGTCGTCAAGTTCTGAAGGCCGAGCTAGCTGATCGAGAAAAAGCGCAGTGGGGTGGCTCGCCACGAAACAAATGTTGAGCTGAAACACGAGATCGTCACAACACAGGGATTGTCTTCTACAGGCTATGTAGGTACGAGCTCGTTTAGGTTCAAAGGATCCGATACGCCAAAGAGATCAGCTAGCGGATCCAGCACACAACTAGAAAGGGATATCCCTACACTAGTCGAGTCAGGTTGAAAGTGCGCCAGCATCAAAAGTATGTGGAAGTCAGTTGACAAAGTCAGCAGACACATTCCAGCTCATTATGACCTCTAGGAGTTCCCTCGCTATCTTCGGAGTCGTTCCTCTGACTCCTCAACAGGCTTTCAAATGCTATTCAGAGCTTCATTTTCCTACAGCCCATTCTCCTGCCTTCTGAGTGTAAGACTGTGGCTACACAGTTGCCCCCATTGCTCAGATGTCAATTTAAAACAGAAGAGTTTCTCGAAGAGACGAGCTTGAGTTCTTTCTGAATGGTGCTCTGTCTTTTAGTTGGTGTGGAGTGCCAGTGTTTCTGAGTCTCGTCATCCCAATTTAAGAAACCTCTAAGGAAAAATCAAAGGATCACGGCAAGAGCTTGTCGAGGTGCATTCTCCATTTTATGCTACGAAAAATCAGGCATGTCAGGATATTACCGAAGATGAACATAGAAAGCGTCATCCTGTGGTGTGAAGAAAGGGTTTCCTGAGCTGCACTCATCCATGAAGCAGGGAGCTCCTGCAGACTGTACCCTGCGGTGTTCAGATAACATAAAGCGAGCCCAAACTTGTTCTGGACTTCCAGAGGCCGTAAACAAGGAGAGGAACGACGAAAGCCCACCCGCAGTGTCTCAACCCTCTTCTGTCACTCGAGACTGAAGAACCTTCCAAGAAACTCGGCTTTCGTCTTTGCGATCTTGTCTGGGTCCCCAGACTTTTCCGCTGCCTTCCACCTCTCAGCAAGCGTGGTCGCCTCAGGCCACAGCAACGACGCTTCCGCATCTGATGGCTCTGGATCGGTTACTGATTGCTTCGCTCTGCCAGCGGCGTTGCCTTTTGTAAAAGATCGGTGTAAAGCAGCCCCCTCTGCTGTAGAATCTAGTTTGCGGGCGGCGTCGCTTTTTGTAACCGTGAAGGATCGGTGTAAAGGAGAAGCTGCTGCTTTAGAGTCCTTCTCTTCAGGTCTCTCTCTGTGGTGAGTCGTGAACGATTTGGGCGACCTCTCAATTGTGAACGACTTTGGTGATCTCATTGCAGAGGTGGCCATGGCGTGATCTCTTGACAGCCCACAGATCAACCTGGATCCGACTGAACCTGAAGCTTGATTTTCAGCGAGGCAAGCATTTGCATGTCAAGGCGGCTCTTCAGCTTCCATCATCCAGGACGAAAGCTGACGCTATCTCCTTCGCTTTTTGAGTAGCAGGCTGCGCCTTGAAGTTGAAGATCCAAAGGCATTTGCATCAAACTCCGATCCGGGTAGCCAGTACGTCATAAAGAGGCGCCCACCAATAACCGTACGTATGCCGCACATTTAGTGCAGCAGCATGCAATTCCAACCTGATCAGGTAAAGCCTCTTGACGGCTCGACAGTGTTTAGGCTACTCTGTACGTAATCACGTACATACCTAACAAGCGCCAAGCAGATTAGATAGTGAGCATTCTCGACTAATTCTCTAAGGAGTCCGTAGGTACGGTAGGACCAGCTTACGCCGTTGCTAGAGCACGGGCGATCCATTGTCAGGTCTGACACTTCCAAGCGCGCATCGATCAGCTGAGTACATTGAACGTGCATGCATTGACTTGACAAGATGCAGGTGGCAGCTTCCTGCACGTATGGTACAGTAACATGTACCATCATGTAAGTTCGGCGGCAACATTCAAGGGGGCAATCCAACTGGTCTGAGTCGAGTCCACGCTAGATCCCGCTAGATCATCTTGATCGTAACGTGCGCGTGGCGAATCAGATTGCTTTGGGAATCTGCTAGGTTTACAGCTGGCCATACTGAGTTGATTAGGAAGGTACCGTACCTAGACTCAGAGCGTCGGAACGACTGACCGTACCGCTGTACGAGTACTCTGCGCTTCTGTCAGAGAATGTGGTTAGGGAAATGCCTCCCTGTTTCGCCATCATCGAAAGTACATTTGCCACGTGAAACCAACGGTTTTGGAATCGACGGTCCAAGTTACATCATGTTAGCCAAATCGGCCTTTCGACTGAAAAGGTCGTTACTCCGGCCGAAGTCGGGCCGAAGTCGGCTGCCGGCTTCCGGAATTTTGCATGCACCCGGCGGGGTACTGCAGTAAATACGAATTCTACTGGACTGCGTAAAGCCGTAGGCTCACATGTACAGCTACTTTAGTGGGTATACGGTACCTAGTATTAGGGAGTGTCCGGTGATAAAACCGCATTCCAATCCGATATTGATCTCCGGCACACAATATACGTTCACATTGGTTGATTTGACTGCATGGCAAGTGCTTAGCTCTCGCGCTTAGCTGCAGCCCCGGCCCCCTGCAGCGCCCCTGTGCTGGAAAATGGGCGAGCGCGCTTGGCCGAGTAACACTAGCTGGAGTACAGGTATAGGGACCATACCTGTTAAGTCATTCAGTCATCGATCCAGCCAGCATCCAATCCCTTATGCTTCTTTGCTAGCTCAATATACGTTCTAGACCTCGTCGACTTCCCTCCAGCCTCAATCCTGCGTACGTTCCATTAGAGACCCATAAACTAGTGCCCAACGTACTAGGGCGCCGTCCAGCAATTCAGCATGTCTTCACAAACAAAATGTAGATGGAACTCGATGCATTGCAAGTGAATGACGAGTTGACGGAATTGCTAAATGCATGTGCAGTGTGCTCCCAGCGCTACCGCTTTGTGTTTATCTTTTATTGCTAGACGGCCGTCAAAGTTTCAAATAGGGCGACGCAAGATGGTTGGTTCCAATGCTTTGGCACGATCTATCAGAATGAGACATAAAAACTGAAAGCCTTTTATTTTGAAGGAAGACGTTCGGCCTGCATACTAGCAGGACCACTGATCCTGGCTCATTGAGTCGGAAGTTCGAATAAATGAGAATTGGAAGGACCGGACCAAGTGGACATTTTTTCAAACCCTTGCCACTTCCATCTGCCACCCGATGTCAACGAGCTTAAAGGATACACGTCATTGTCGGACATCCCTTGACTGTCTTTGCACCAAAATGTATAGGCGAGTTTGTCCGACACCTTCCGCAACCAAACTAGACCGAATTTGAATTGAAGGCTGAGACAAAGTCGACATCGCCTTGATAATGTCCTGCCAAGTGTCATGATACAATGTTTAACCAGGGCCAAGTAAGTGTCACCACAACGGAAGTCCAAAATCCTGAGTGCGACCAGTTTCGAGAATCATACAGAATGCGAGTCAAACCCACAGCGTCTCCTTTCTACACGACTCGGTAGTGAGCCTAAGGGCGCGGATGAATGAAGACTAATCGCCCTACTGGTGAACCTTTTGTAAACTGATTATTGTCCTGAGTGTCAATCTACAAGAAGCGGTAGGCGATTGGGCAGTTAACGATGAAGCCGCTCGAGCCGAACGGGGCGCCTCCTGGCCCGGTGATGAAGCCCTGCTGCACATTGCCCAAATACTGCACCCAAGAGACGCCCCAAAGTCAGCAACCGGGGGAAATGCCCGAGGCGAGCCTAGGTTAGGAAGGCAGAGAGACTTGCGGACACTGACTTGGGGTTTATTTCTCATGAACGACCAAGTTTGAACTGTCGGCAAGAAGCCTGACTCTGGTTGAATCGCATCAGATCCCGTAGAGCTTTGCCAAAGGATAGTCCCTGTTTGCACACGAGCAATCCAGACTGACGCTCGTCGCTCCAGACGTTTTGGCCTTTTTTGGCGCGAATCAAGGGCACGGAAATGAAGATCGAAGTCTCTCGAAACACGCCCAAATAGAAGCAAAGTCACTATAGCTCAAGAATGAAATTCGTAAGACTTGGATCCTTGGTCTGCCCCTTCGTACAGTTTCCTGAATCCATCCGCATTATGTGTCCACATTGGGACGCAGCTTGATCACCGAAGCGTGACGTGGGCAGTGGCACGACCTCAGCGGGGCGCATTCTCACCGTGAACTCGTCCCTGATCTGGGTGCGGTAGTAGTTCTTGACGGCGTAGTCGGTCCACTGGCCCACGTTCAAGTCCCACAGCGGGCTGTAGTCGGTAGCTACGGTGGGAATGCCCCCCAGAATGTTCAGCGGGCCCGCGCCGCTGCTGTCGCCACGCACAGCGCTGCGAAGGGGAAGAACCGAAGGTTAGCAAGAGACACGGAGATATTTGGCTGCTAACCAGGCCGTTTACCAGACTTGGTCTTAGGTGACTGGATGAACAGCCGGTGTGCTGAACCTTATGGTTACCGTCCAATTCTGGTTATCGGACATATAACCACGTCGTGACCAGCCAGTAAGCATCCATGACAAACAGCCAAATAGACCTGTGAAAGGCTATTGCGCTGCTGGAGACAGGCTGTTGCGGGGCGCGGATGGCTCGAACAAAGCGCAGCGCATCAGACACGGGGAAGATCGCTGAGGAGAGAGGCTGACAGACGGCACGCACTTCGAGATAGCAAAGCAGCTCAAGCAGCGAGAGTTGTTTGTAACTCGTAAAGAGCTCAACCGTGAACCAGCTAACCTTCCCCGCTACTCTTTCCGAGTGAAGTCTCACATGCCGGCAGTGTTCTCCCATGAATTGCGACCAGCCGCTGCTCAGAACACGGCGAGCTCCGTTCCGTTCCGTTCCGTTCTCCGTTCCGGTTCTTTCCGACTCACCTGTTCAGGCCCTGGCGCAGAGGGTGGTTCTCCTCGAGTCCATTGGTGCTATTGAGTTGCGCGACGTTAATGTCGCCGTTAGTGTAACCGTTGGTGGTTGTGAAGAGGCGCTCTACGGCGGAAAACGCGCCGTCGTCCATCCCGACAACTAGGTTGGTCAGCGCGGGGGCCTCCGTGGCCAGCTCGAGGGCTGCCGGGAGAGCGGCGGACCCCTCCAAACTAGGCAAGGCAGAAGATTTTGAAATCAGCGCAAATAAGTGAGGCTTTCATGTGTCACGTGGGGCAGCGAGAAAAGAGGTGGACCCCTCGAAAGTGAAGGGAGGCAAGTTGAATATAGGCTGGATTTTGGTGTCGAGCAGCAAGGGGCGTCGGCAAGGCGGTCCCCTCCAAGCGGCAGAGGAAGAACACTCAATGAAAGAAGGAACGTCATGGTCAGGGGTGAACGGGCGGAGCTGACCGTTAAGCTGGACGGCAGAAGAGGGTAGCCGAACAGTGCACTTTATTAGGACGTGAAATTACTCGATGAAAGCGAGACGAGAGGAGGACCACTCGAGATCAGGGGAGAGGAGGGAACATAAAGGTGAGAGTCGGCGTGAAGTGTTATGCTTTCAACAATCAAAGCTTTAAGCCCTAGCAGGTCAAAGAGTATGGCAGGTTTGTTGGAAGCACGGCCAGTGTCTTCGCTTCATGGGCTAAGGGCAATGCAGGAAAGCGGCAGCCTGAGATTCTGGTTACTTTTGATTGTGCCTGGGGGAGATCACTTTGAGTTAAGTCTGCTGACCTGTGGTATAGTACCGGCTTGCCGAAGGAGAACCCCGGGGTCAGCTTGAGGGTCACGTTGCCGCCGTCGCCGTCGGGGCAGATGGAGACGATCTGCGGAAACAAACAACGGCTTACATTCGTCCGTGATACTACGATATTCATAGAAATCGGGTAGAGGCACAAACCGTCGAGATTGTACTGAGCGCTTCCTGGCACGTGCGTTTCATACCTCAAGAGTTGGATTGAAGTACGCAGAAACACGCAGAAATACCCAGGGAAGAGGCAAACATTAAAAATCTCCGGATTAATTAAGAGCTGCTCAGTGTTGATATGTCCAACTCGGCGCTTTGCTAATCTCGACACAGTTGCGAGCGCTTCCCAATCTGCTTCCGGAAGATCCTAGCTAAGCCGCGGTTAAGGAGAACCAACATCCATGCTAGGTTTCTGGGCGCTGGGGCTTTAGGGCTTTGGAATTTTAGGGTTCCAACCTTAACCACATTTCAAAATCCAGTCTGTGCGCCTCACCTTGTCGTGCATCATCGCGTATGCCTCGGCCATCATGTTGGTGGGGATCCCCCCGCAGAAAGGGCTCAGCTGGGCAGCCGTGACGTCACCCGCAATGATGGGGCCGTTGTATACGTGGCCACCGCCGTTCGTCAGCACGAACAAGGGGGAGTAGTTCTCGTCGCCTGCGGATGGAGGGCCGCCGGTTTAGTTTTGGTACGAACGCGATGATTTAGGTCAAACAGTGAGGTTTCAGTGCCTTTCCTTTCCCCACCCTCGGAAAAAGATGAAGGTCTTTCTCGCAGTCAACTGAAAAAGAGTGCGAAAAGGGCGTGTAACCCTCAGTCAAAGTCAAAAGCTTCAGAAGTCTCATCTATCACAAAAAGAAGGTCGTGCTTCCCTGAGCGGGCAAAACGTCAAACCTGAGCAGACTGTCGAGAACGTGTAAACCAAGTCGACGTCTGCGAGAAGGTTGTTGCTAGGAACTGGACAAGACGAGACTTTCGAAAAAAGGGCCATCAGGAAGCTACTTGCGCGGCAAAGCTGCGGCCGTTCCCTAAAGATCTGGGAGAAAAACACCGTACTCAATTCGATGACGTGGGGCCTCCAGGTTGGTATCGCTCTTTTTAGGCGACCGGTGGGAAGCGGATGTTTACAACAATTAGAGCTGTGCAGTCTGGAAAGCTCATTTCCGGACTGACTCATCAGACCCTTCTTCCAGAGAGATTCTCGAGGCTTGTTCAAAATAAGTGGAAGACACGAGAGCGAGCCAAGCCAGAAAAAGACAAGATACTTTCGGCGGGTTAAGATGACCCACCCTTGGAGCCGGCGGTAACGTTCTTCGGGGGGAAGTAGTTGGGGGCATCCCCCGGGACGATGTTGTGCACCGGGGAAAAGTCGACCATGCCAGAAGCGAAGAGAAGAGTGCCATCGTTCAGAAGAGTCGCCTGCAAGGTGGAAAAGGGAAAGGGAGTCAAAGACGGCGACTCGAGAAGCCAACTTAGTGCTTGAGCTTCTGGCAAGCGAAGTTGGCGCCCAATTTCCGAAGGAAGAACGTGAACTACCATTCCAAATCCAGCTGGCACGGAGGCAGGGCAGCGTAAGCAGCACATCCGGATCGAAAACGCTAGTCCGATCGTCAGCGAGCTCGACGAAGAAGGGGTGTGCTGGCTCTTTCGAGACTGACGTTGCGGTGTTTATAAAGTGACGTCAGCTCACCTGTCGGGCCGCTCCCGGGGCGTTGCCATACGTCAGCTTGGCGGAGGGGTTGAGGCCGAGCGCGGCGGCGTTCTGAAAGTCGCTCGTATCCGTCAGAACGTACCTGCGAGGAAACGCGGTGCTCGTGTCAGAACGAGATGCAGCTTGCGTGCTGATTGGAGACGTCGTTACATGTCGACTGTTAGAAAGAGCGTACATTTTGCCATTTAGAAGCAAAAATGATTGCATCTGGCTATGCATCCAGAAACGTCGGGAGTCATTGATGCTGATTTATTGTAAGACTTGTCTACGTGCGAGAAAAAGACTTCACATACAGAAAGACATCATACAGAGAAGCATGCTGAGCAGCGAGAATGTTGGGGGTGTGGCTTAGTGAAAGCTTCTTTCTTGTATGTGAATTTCAAGACTGGCGCACCACTCTTGTTCAAAGTCATCGAAACATGATTGTTTCGAAAAGCTTTGCTTCAGAAATGCTCCCACATTAGTCTCTCTGCTCACCAGACGGTCGCTCCGGAGGTCGAGGAAGCCGCCCTGCTGGCCGTCCCCGTTGAGTTGCTTGCTCCCGCCTGCGCATATCACGCACTGACAGCTGTCACTTTCTCGCTCCAGCTACGAGTTGTGATCTCATGCCTGAACCCCTCGTAGACACGATTTCTATCGTTCTGCAATCTCTCTTACATTTTCCACACCATCCGTGGCTGTTTCAAAGCTAAATTAAAGGCTTATCTAGAAGCAACCACAGAAGAACCCAAAAACAGACTCGAGCAACCGCCCTGGATAAGCCATGACCATTACACAGATTGTAGGCGCCACTACCAGGCCCGGCTCAAGGAACCAGTCCAGTGATCACCAATTTCCTCTATCCACCAGTGCCCCAGACAAATCAAGCATCAGCTTTTTAGCAAGACCCGCCTTTGCGCACTGCCAAAATCATGCAATGAGCCCCGGCCGACTTACCACCATCCCACGGTACAGGGGCATCGTCATCGTACCCGCGTCGAGGTCGATCGTGCCGGACGTGAGCAGCTGGAACGGAACCCACCAGCTCCTTCATAACCTGGAACAGAATTAGCGACCGAGCGTTGGTCAGAACAGCAGATTCTCAAGGGAGCAAAACTGATCCTGAAAAGCGTCCTCTGGGAGTATCCGATGCCTGATGTAACTCGGACAGACGTTTATAAGGACGCTTTTGAGGTATGCTTCATGTCGACTGTGACAGTAGTAGAAGAGGGGGTCCGGTCCTGAGGGCTTTGGCAGTCTTCCCTGCTCTCAGACGAGATCTCCCAGCTTGAGATCGATGTGACAGATTCACAAGCTGCTAGGCTGTAAGAGAGTATTCCAAGAAGCCAAAGGAGGAACACATTCTAGTGCCTAGAGAATTGCATCAGGACTCTCGAAACCACTGATTGAAATCCCAAGCAGACACAGTCTGCTCAGTCTGACTGACCGTCTAGCTGCAAGGAGATTAGATGGTGACCATATAGCAAGTAGCATTCAACTGATATTGTCCACAAACATAGACTTGTTGTAGCCCCGTATCAGTCAATTGATTTAAGATTCGGTGAGACATCAGTCAGTCTTTCAATCTGTACACAGGCTGCTGAAATTGACACCATGCACCAGTGTGCGCAATCAAATCACAATATGCGCAGTGCATGGTGTAATCTCACCATCGACCTAGCTTGACGCAACCAGGAAAGAGGTCAAGATCGGGCTTCAAAATGATCGTCAAGTCACACAATGCACTGCTTTCGCAGCCCAGACTCAACAACCACTTCTTGCAGCTGACATGCGCGGTGCGCAACTGCTTCCGCTGCAAACCCGGCCTTCACACAGAAACGGACCATTGTGAAGAAACCACTGGGACCCGTTAATTCCAACTCACCGAAGATGGAGCAGGCCCAAAGTAAGCCAGCGGGACCGCCGCGCCGATTGACGCCGGGGCCGGCTTGATCTCGTCATCCAGCAGGGAGCGGCGCGCTCCAAAGGCGCGCGACGCAGCGGCCGACTGGCTCAGGAGCAATGCGGAGCAAAGGAACAAAAGGACGGACGCCATGGTTTCCAGCTAGCTCTCGGTGTTGAGCGTTGAGAATTCACTAAGATGGCTTGTCTTCCAGCAACAGAAGCGATGCGGCGCTCTTCTGTCGTGCCAGCTGCGCAGAATGTGGAATTGGAGAATGTTGAGCTTAGGGGATTTATCGAGGTTCTGGTGAATGTGGAGGCGCTTTCAGATATCTTTTGTAGGCGGCTCACAAGACATCCAGCAAGCTGTACAGTAGAGCCGCAATTACTCAACTTGCTCAGCTTGTATCCTGTAATGCAGTCTGGCTAGTGCTGCTTCCGTCTCAGCTCACATCATAAATGCACAAAACCACCCATGCAGGTAGGATATCTTCACACTGGCTGATTCGAGCTCGTACTAAGGTACATGATAGACTGGCGTCGCATTGCCGCCCCCGGCCGGCAAATGGAATCCGACTCCGTACACCCGTACATCCCGGCAGCTTCGGAGTATTTGCCAATGCGCATTCACATTCGGACATCTTCCTGCACCAACCAACTGTGTGAATGTCAGTCTGCAGCTTCGCTGTCTGCTGCTGGGAACTTGGGAGGTCCCTCCACCGACTGATCTGATTGGCCGCCAAGATACCCGAGATCCGGGCGCGCATGCGACAAAAGTGTGACGTCGCCTCCAGCCGACGTCGGCGGCCTGGACGGTGGTCGTCAGAGTTTCATCACAGATGACGTCGGTACGGTACGGTAAGGTTTCTGAATTCCGCAGTTACCGGGACCCTGAAACCCTGCATTGGGCCCGCCGTCAGATGGCGCGGCCGCTCTGCGCGGCAGCGGCCAGCCGACGCGCCGCGGCTTCCAAGTCAAATTCTTGCTTGAAGTGTCGCGTTTCATTTAGACATAAACAGGACCGCATGCGATGTGCAAATTCTTGTATCCTCCTTGTTGAATTGGAGCAGCTATCTGAACCTTTTTAAGCAATCTCGTGCGCCAGCTCAGCATTCGTATGCTCTGCTGAACCAAAGTGGACGAGATGGGAGGCCCCGGCGGCCGAGCGGAACTTTTCGACCGACTCTGAAGAAGCTTAGAAGACTTCTCAGACTTCATCCCGCTGCAAATCACAGGATGCGAGCAGCCAAAAGCTGGACAGCACTACTGCCGCTACCAAAGTCTCTGAGCGTGCTCACGCGGAGACTGCGGGGTTGCAGGCCCCTCAGTCTGCCCAAACGGACTCGTGACGCAGACAGGCCGCGGAGAAAACTATGCGAAAGGATGCCGCGCGGCTGGCGGATAAAGGTGCGCGGATTCCGGCGGAGGCGACCGGAGACGTGTTGTGCGCGAGGGGGAAAATCCTCATGGAGGAAGAAGGGCCGGTCACGCTGCAAACTAAGGCGTCGCACAGTCTTTCGGGCGTGTACCGGGCAGATCAGAGAGGTCAGTGGAGAGCGGGAGAGCTTTCTTCCGAGGCGGTAATAAGTGTCCACGGCCAGATGTGGCCGTCAAACGGGGGGCCATCCGCAACCCGGTTCCGGAAGGCGCGATTAACCAAGGCCAGACTCACGGATTAGAAGGAGGAGATGTAACTCGTCCTGCAACGAGCGCCCCCCGGAGACAGCAGCCCCGTTTTACCAGTAAGCGCGCGTTCCGGTTCTACCGCGGAAGGAGCCCCCTTTTCCGCTGCTGCATTCATCGTCTCCAGCCCAGCAGCCATTCCTCAGCCCGCGCAGAGCACTGAGCTTGCGGCACTAGTAGTAGTCGTTCCAAAGATAAACGGCTCGACGAAACTCGTTCGCAACCTTCCTGAGGCTACAACCGTAGTTTAGGCGGCAGGACAATCAAGCCTGAACAGGCCGCAGAAGATTGGGTCAGGTGAGGCGCGCGCCGCGATTTGAGGAGAAAGAGGCCACCAAGGAGAGTTTTGCAAAGGATGGAAAAGACCCAGTCACTTCAAAGGAGACCAGAAGAGATAGCGAAAGAGACGGGAAGAACGTCTCCTTCCACTTTCCCCCGCCTCAAGTCAGCTCAGTGCAGGAATCTTCACAGACTGAGGGAGAACTTCCGGCGGATGTTACTAGAGAGTTTGAAGGAGAGTCGCTCGAGGGAGGGACCCTTCGCGGATGCGGTATCACAAGTTCCGCTTGAAGTAGATTCTCGGTTCCTATACTCGCTCTCGCTGCTCGTGCTTTCCCCTTGTCCGAAAACTCGAGCCTTAAGTAGAGCGAAGATGTTGCCTGCCAGTGGACGCTGAGAGTGGGATCGATGACCAGATCCGCTGCAGTGCATTACAAGACTGTTAGACACGTCTTGTAATCAAATTGTGCGTTGGTGCACTATCATAAAGCACATCAGACCAGGAGCTTACTTATCGATATCCAATGTCATGCCGCATGCACTTTGAAAAAATAATCAGCGGTGGATTAGTGGTGTGCAGTCAGATAAACATTCCCATGAGTAACCATTCATACTGGTAGACGTACACATCATCGGCGTTATCACGTTATGCAGTCGCTCAGATAATCGTTTGCGTTAATTAGGTCTTGTAGAAACAGCCAATCATTCTATGTTCTTCGCACATCAACGTTTGACATTCGAAGGCGGATGCAGTAACCGTTTGCCTCACGTAGGTTGAACCCACAAGTAAATGGGGTCCAACTTTGATGCCCTTCCAGCCTCATGTTTTGTACGGAGCCAACTTCGTTTGATGTCACTGGGCGGTTGATACGCTCTACGGCTGAGAAAAGACGATTTGTATCTCAAGAAATTCAAGCTTCAGACTTGGTAATTAGCCTGATCAGCCGGGGAAGTAGCTCTGGCTCATTGGAGATACACTCCGCAAAGGAATTTGACCATAATAAACGAGTACTGTCTATGGAAAGACAAATTCTAACCAGCCAAGTCGATGCTTGGGTTGCTAAGGACAGACGCCCTTCTCGTTAATGATGACGATTTGGATTGCCGTGTTGTACCCGCTGCCCAGCTGGCTGACAGCTGTCACACGAAGAGCAAACAAACACGTATCAGGACGAAGTTCTTGAGAAGTTTCATCTGTTCTACAGCCTGACGCCAACTCGTCCTTCTGCAACATAGAGACATACTTGGGAATGGAGGTGGTGTCGGTGACAGAATTCGAGACACATTGATTGCATGCCTGTGTGTAAAAGCTTGGTCAAACAGGTCGGACCAGACTATGTAGCTTAAGGGAACTCGTCTTACCTTGCTGCACTTGGTTGATGGTCCCGTCGGACAGCCCGTTCAAAGCTGGAAAATGAAAAGGACAAGTAAAGATCTGGCGTTCAACCTTGACCTGCTTGTCATGTTTAATATCGTAAGTTTGCACAAGGTTACTTCCCTTTGGGAAAGGCCTTGGGATCGTTTTAGAAACAAAGGACGATTTGCTGCCAACGGGCTTTGGCCAGAAGGAGGCGCCTCCATCAACAAAGTCATCCTGACGCAGAGAGCAAGCCTAAATCTAAAAAACCACACAATACGACTCCCCTCTCTCTGGAGCTAGGTGTTCTGCCGTACTTCTGGCTTCTCTGAAACATCTTTGGCATAAAACAAAATGTATCTCACCGATCTGGGTCTGGTTGATGCTATTCGGCCCGGGCGCCACCATGAACTGCGCCGTCTTGTGTTTGCCGGTGCCCAGCATCCGGTGCAGCTCAGCCGTGACGGCCGGGTCGCGCACTTCCTCGTACACGTACTCGTCCTTCAGGAGCTTTCTGCCGACAGCCCCAGTTTTCGATGGAACGACTGCATGGAATGGGAACCCGGTTTGGAGACTTTTGGGTTATGATGGGGCTTCATTCCGATCAACGCGCTCTCGAGACTTCTTTTACTTAGGATTGCTTTTGCCAGTCATGATTGAAGAGAGTGGGTCTCAAGCACTGCAAGAAAAAATATCCAAGCCTGTGGATGATTCTCGCGCTCGACTCTGTAAGCTGCGTGTGTCAAGGGTGATTTGGAATATTCGGAGGTGCCATCCGTACGACATATTGTTAATGGGTGGATGTTTCGTAATGGATGTACGCTCTTCTGATTATATTCGAGATCTTTGGCAGAAGGTTGGGGTGCCTAGGCTAATAGCAGACTAACCTTTGGGGCTACGACGTTCAGCGCCAATTTCGGTGTCCTTTTCCCCAGGGCCGGTCCCCGCCAAAACCTGTAGCATAAAGAAGGCAATCAACTGTTGTCAAGAGCGGAACAGATGGCTGACAGGTTATGAAATCAATCAGACTTGGGGTGTTTTCCATCTTGGATCCGGAACATTGAGAATGTGTAAGGGCTCTGCAAAGGATTAAAACGCGAACTTCAATACAGCATGGTAGACATCAGCCGGCGAAGGCTGCATGCGGCTCGAAGCAGCGACTACAGAAGCAGAATATCAAGCTAGTCTCCAAACTGCAGTTATGAGTGAACGGGTGTTCTGGAGGTGTTTTCCACTCAACAAAAAATATTCTGGTTGTAGCAAAATCTTCTTCGAAGCAGCTTGATTACAATCGATACTCACTCTGCATAAGCCACAGGTAAGAGACCTTTCGGTAGATTAGACTAAGAAATCTCTTACCTGCGCAACCCCTGCTGCAGCCATGAGGAGAAGGAAGCAAGCGGTGGCAGCAGGGCTGGATTTGGGCGCCATTCTTGAGACGGACTTCGGGATGCTGAGCAGACACGGAAGATGGTGGCTCGAAGCGAGTTGAAAATTGCTCTGAAAAGAGTGATTCTGAAGTACGAATCGAGGCCAGAAGAAAAAGCTCAGAAGCGTTCTGCCCTCTTTCAGTGATTGAAAGGTGACTTTGTGTTATTTGTATAGAGCATGGACAGCTATCAGAACGTAGGGTGCCAATCGAGAACGGCTGCAGGTCGGGTGGTTTCTTCCAGGGTTCCTGTTGTATGTGGTTGGTTTCAGCAGACTCTGTGAATCAGAGTAGTGTCTTTTGCATTTCATTCAAGAGCTTGAAACCGTCAACTCTCAGCTTATCGTGATTGACGAGATTGCTCCTTTCGCATGAAACCCAATGGTATCTGTGGGTAAGATAACATTTAACCAGATACAGATTGTCAATAAAAGCGCCGTACATCAAGCTTACAACATATTTCAAGCTTAGGTCATGATGCAAAGGAACCCATACTGGTTCCTCGTAAAGAGCGACTAAGAAGTTAGCAACTTTGTATGATAGGAAAAGGTATCTGTATTAAGAACTGACTACAAGTAGAGATCAGGATGGTTCCGGTTGCGATGCTTTTGCGCCAACGATATTATGTAAAAACCACATGCTCAAGATCACTATGAAATGCTCAATGCCCCGCATCTCTTTATGTGAGCTTCATGAGTCCAATAATCGTACAATCGATGTTCCGTTCTCGAAGAGAATTTTTATATCTACCTAAGCCGTGTCTTTCTGAGTTTTTAATCTCTATATAAATGACGCCACCGAGGAAATGAAGAGACACTTAGGGTCTGCTTCACAATGAGCTAGTAATAAATAGAGAAGACGCGTACGGCTCATGTTATGCTCTTCGAGATTCTTGCTTGTCGTAACTTGCAAGAGCCGAGTCTTCTGCGAGCTCCTCATTGCGTACAAGTGTACCCTCGATCGCTTGACGCCCATGTACTGCGCATCAAAACTCTGAAAGCTTTGCGGCTGACTAGTCGTCGAATCTCTTGAAGCTGTATGCTGAGAAGTACAGTGTAAAGTAAGCCCTAACGGCTCAGATTTAGCCGAGCTTGGACAACGATTATGCGGTGTCAGAGGGTAAGTGAATCCCACGTGATAGTTTTGGCCTTCAGCATTCCCGATCGTTTTATAATCTTACAAGGCAAAAAATGCGTGTTCAAATATTAACGTGGGCAGCCGTACCACTGACAGCCCGTTAGCAAGTACGCCTGCCTTAGGGGCGCCGCCAGTGCTTCACATTCAAAGATGGTAGTGGGTCTCCATCAAAATTGAGCCATATGAAATTGTCATGTACGAACTGAAGTGATTACGTAGCAAGCAAACCAAACGACCTCTTCTTACCCAATTTAGTGTGAGCGAGATGGGTCAACCGGCATTTAGGCGACGCAAGAGAGAGTGAAGAGTAAATCTTTCGCAGTGAATCCTCGCACATCAAGCTTCAGGCTCACAGATGACCCTGCAAATTCAACCGCATTATAAGGTTCTTCGAACAATATTGCTGAACCCTACACAGGGACAAAATAGATACCGCTTGACGCCTGGTTCTTGATTGTCAGTACAATGCTCTTCGTTCACGCCGATCGACCTCCGGCCCAGTCCGCCCCACTCCAGTTAAACTGCGCCTGGCAGCCGGCAGGTGATGCGCATATGAAATGATCACACCCGCCGGTTTTCTGCAGCCCCTGCCCACATTTTGGGCACCTCTTAACGCGCAGTTTCCTGAGCGCCGCGAGGCTTGCGGCTTCCTCGCGCTTCCGCGCGGCCAGCTCGCGCGCTCTTCGCTCTTCGGCGTCAATTGCCGCCCCCTCCTCGCCCGCCGGAAGCCGCTGAGCCCGCCGCCACCGGAACGGGCGGAACGCTCTCGCCGCCACTCTGAGCCATCTCCCCTTCCACGTGGCTAGTTTGTCGAAGTCGTCGCACGTCAGTCCGTCGTGGAAAAGGCTCCGGTGACGTATGCAGATCTTGCATTTGCATTCAGAGCAAGTCCAGAAGCGGCTCCCTTCAATGTCGTCTACGAGTTGACCGTTTCCGCATCCGTTCCGGGGGCACCACCGGAATCCGGGGTCCGCTTCAAGCGCGCGCTGAGACGACAGATGTTCGTAAGTGGCGAGCACCACGTGTCCTGCGGAAAGAGTCGAGATGTGTGACCGGAGTCGTCAAGCCGGCTTTCTGGATCGTGGACTGCAGAAGAGATCTAGCTAGGTGGAGCTGAAGTTCAGATTTAGAGGGAGTCAGGGGTGATTCCTGGACTTGAGGTCACTGTATTTCGCAAGAAGCAGATTCAGATGGTTGTGTCTCCTCGAGGAGACGATGACATTTCCAAAGTATCTCATATGTCTCTTTCAAGGATTGCCGGGTCCGAGCTTGAATTCTTCTCTGAATGTCCAACTTGAGAGTCAAGGAATACTCTGTAGAAAGCGACACAAGTAATAGGCGTATCTGGATTGCCCAAACTGGTACCAGAAGCTTATATTTGCAAGTCTGAACGACGGCAGATAAGGCTATTGGTGAGAGAAGGAACTAGCCCACTAGGAAGTCTCAAAAGGGCTCTTCAGGAAGGCCAAATATTGGAAAGTGTATACACACTCCCCAGCGATTCACGAAATGAAGACGCACCTTCGTCAAAGAACGCTGCAAGTCCGTCAACTTGAATGCTGACGTGCAGTCGAAAGACGGACACAGAAGCGCCTGATCAGTCACACCGTTTTCAATCACCGCCACGACGAGACTTCTCTGAACACATCGCCTGAAAGATGAAACGAACATATCTTAGTCCTCTGACTGGAAGTTACCCCGCAATCGAATAAGCTAGCGTGTCGGATTGGTTCCCTGCGGCATATTCCGATTACAAGGCTGTGCCTCCAAAGATATCTAAGACAAGCTGTCGGAAAGGTGTGCTAGATAGGTGCTAGATTGCTTTTTTCTGGGTCATAAGCTTAAAGATGCGTACTGATTCAAGCCGAGCAGCCCGTGGGGATTGAGAGGGACTTCTGGTTACTGTTCTTTACGCCGCCAAACCGTGTTCTCAGCTGAGAGGCCGAAGTGGGGTCTCAGCAAGCCCCTACATAACTCAGGATCGGAACCACCGTAAGAACCGAAATAGGTTGTCACTGAATCGACTCGCGTTATGTGGGTCCCGCGATCTTACACTGTCATGCACATTCAGAATTGTTGCACAAGAAACTTCTTCTGACATCTTCGGTGATCCATAACGCCTTCTCACCTGCAGATTATCAGAGCGTGGGAACAGAGAGTTGTGGGCCGTTCAAAATCGGCAATCGGCTTCTCTTCGGCGCAGACAGCGCACTCTGCAACAGAAAAGCCACGTAGTCTTTTCTAGACTTTCCTTTCTTGCTTCCGCATGTTACATCCTGTGCGAATGAGAGTAGGTCACCTGAAAGAAACCCCCTCTGAATGAGGCTTGAAGCAGGAAAGAAAAGCGAAAAGCAAGACCTGATCCAAGGACAAGGACTAGATGGACGTCAGATTTTATTCTAAGCGCGCTAGGCACATTCATCTGCTTCAGATCTGATACTTGGCTCCTGGTAAAATGCAATTACCTTTGCAGAGGCTTGAAACCCAGTTTGAAGTCTGCTCGACTGTCGGCTTGTACGGCATCCTTCTGCAAATACAGACAGAAGAGCACAATCGTCTCCTCAGAACTTCAAATAGAGCTGTTAAACGACATGGGGTCGACCCAGATGCGACCGCTTTCTTGAGGCAAAGGACAGTACGAAGAGACCAAAATCTGCAGAACCAATCAGTGGTTGAGAAAGGTACAAATTTTTCATCATGCTCAATTAAGCAACGGGGAACCACAACCGCACCGTTGAACATGCCACGGTGAGAGTTTCTAGGAACGGATACCCAGGCTAGATGCTGATTCAAAACCAACAAATCAAGTCAAACTCCATACCAATGGCACGTGAGCTTCGAGTGAGGACTGATTTGAGATCAACCATGCAAGTGTCGCACTAAGGACCCTTTTCTGGAAGTAGAATTCGCAAGAAGGCGGAAACGTGATTGACGTACCTTGCACTGGGAAGTGCGGAGGCTATGCGGGACCAAGCTGTGGGAAAGAGAGTCTCAAAATCGCTCTCATTCGACGAGCCAACAAAGAGCACTTGTTCAGATTTCAAGCCGGGCCCTGGCGCCGGTAGAAAGACAGCCGCACTTCCGCTCGTGGATTCCGGACAGGGAGACGGCGGCTTGTCCGCCGACTGCATCAGAAAGTTGAGCGGAGTCTGTTGCAGGTACTCTTTCAAGAGCTTCGACCAGGAAAGAGAAACAGGTTCATTGAACGCTTAGGACCCAAGTGCTAGAAGTTTCTATTGGAAACAAAAGCGACATAACTTAGAGAGCCAAAAGAACCTAGTGATCCAGATGAGATAGACCGCATCCAACCACTGAAATATCCTTGTCAGTCCAAATGCCCAGCAGTCTTGGACCTCCCCTTCCCTCAAAAAGTAAATTGCTAAATGAGGAGACTGTTTGCAGGACTGTGCGGTTGTGAAGAACGTCACAAAACCCGTTTCATCTGCATCTTTCCGAGACAGCAGATCACAGTCACTTCATTGAATAACAGCCGCACGGTGAACTCAAGGAAGTTGTTCTTGCGAATTGAAACGTCAAAACCCAAAGGAACATTTTTACAGCAAAAGTGAGATCAAACACGAAAGACGAAGCTTCATCCCGAAGCCGAAGTGCACAGATGAAGGGTGAGGCGAACAAGGCCACACTTTACTTGGGGAAAAGTAGCAGTGCCGTCCTGAAAAGCTAGCAAAGGGAATGGCACCGCGAAGGTCTTTGCCTCACTGTTGGCGGCGAAGGTGTCTGCGCAATCGCGTTAACTGAGGCCATGCTTCTGTTGGCTCTGAGAGGCGGACAGGCTCAAATTTTTGTTACTCGCTGTTCCGAAACAAGAAAGAGATGTCAATCGTTGAGATAACTTAGAAGTACTGCAGCTTTGTTTGGTGAGCCGTCTGATCGCTTGTCCACAACTGACATCTTGAAGGCCTCCCTTCTTGTTTAGGAGCACGTTCACAGATTGCAAACGACAGCTCTGACCACCACGTCACGGTACATGAGGGGCAAGAGGATTTCAGAACATGAGGTGGGCCAAAGGACATTTTGCAGGCCGCCTCAACTCTTCATGCCACTGAGCTTTTGTTTGATCGTGTAAGACGGCAACTCAAGACGTCTGGAAGCTCTTGACCAGAATTTAATTAGGTATGTAGCAAAAGTAATACAGAGATTGGAGAGAAGGTGCTAAGCTGACTGCAGATGGAACGTGCAGATACGTCTCAGCTCAAAGTCAATTATCGCCTTGATGAACTTCAAGCTCTGTAGTTCCTTAATACTGACTATATCTTACAGTGGCCCATGACCTGAAAACACATATTTTGATCAAAAGAAGCTCTCCTTCACCGTAGCCCCATGAAAGGGACTTCAAAGTGGCAAAGTCCAGAATTTCACGAATCCATCTTCCGCCGATGCAGGAAAGCTTACAGGTTAACAACATTGAACGAGGAGGTGCGCCTAATGATCTCCTCCTGAGAGCTACTCCTTACGTAGCCCGCCGCTTCCTCACCAGATCCTCCACGCCAACAGCCGGCTGTAAACTTGGTTCCCGGATTCTCACAACGCTGTTGGTGTGTGAAGAGGTCAGAAGTACCACGAGGCGAGAGGACTTAAAGCGACACTAGAAGGGCTGTTCAGGATCTGAAGAGAGCACTAGAGGAGCTACTCATCAACCTGGTGCCATCCACAATGATCATCTTTGGAAGCCAGCTAAAAACCTCTCTGTTTGCTGGTATAGCACAGGACCTTAAGCTTCTCTACCAGACGTTCAAGCAGGCTGCATGTGCCTGAACAAACCCACAGCATACCTTTGATCACACCCCGCGAGAAGCAGTGACTGCACTCAACCACTTCAGACGTCAGTAGTCGGCTAGTAGAAGCGGGCGCGCGCGGCCGGCTGGACAAATCTTGACCGTCTGGTACGCTCAGCCAGGGTTTGACGGGGTTGCGTTGCGACATATGGCCGTGTTCGCGGGGGCGGTCCGCGGCCGCCGCGTACGCACGACCGTGTGCATGATTGGCCCTAAAGCGCTCGCCTAGCTTGTGCCAGTTTCTCTGGATGTTTACCTCGCAGCTAGCTGGTACATGCTTAATTTTGTAAGCATGCCCAATGGAGTGACTAAGGCGCGGCTGGGCCCATGCGGCTAGCTATTGCTTGAACATGCTTGGTGTGCGGCACCGGCGGCGTAACGTGTCCATAGATGTGAACAGATGCTGGATCAATCTTGTCGATCTGCAGTATATACGGTACGTAGTAACATCGTGAATCATGAATCTGGCTCGCGCCGCGTGTTCAAGTTGGACGTCAGCAATACATGATCTTTGTGTACAATGTGCATCGCGCCTCCGCGACTGATTGCATGAATGCACGCTTCCAAGCTTGCATATAACACTAGGCATTCCGGCTTATAATGCAAGCGCGTTATAGCGACGGTACATGCTATGTTACAAGCCGAGTACAATAGGAGCTATGGTTAAACATGATTTTTTCGCGATAGGCAACATAGTTTGCAAAGAGAAGCCTCAGAGGGCTGTTTGACGATGCAAGCTGAGGAAAGAAAGCTGTAACATTACACAGGGGCCAATCTACATACTACAAAAGTTTCTCGTTTACTATCTAGAGGCCACCACGCACTGATGATCACGTCTGCTTTGTGGGGCCGATTTTAGGACAAGCTCAGCTCTCGCTCATAAAGCTCAACTACCCGTACTCTGACCAGCCTACATCTCCATATTCTACGTATGCTTTGCTGCATCTACTTGGAAACCTCTGCCTGAGCCACCAGGTATGTGCTCAACACTAGCTATTCTCTACGCCGACCGCCCCTCTCATAATTGCATACATCTGCCGAATCTACGTTTGCCTCCCTCACTGTGTGCTCGTAGGTTACACGATTCCTCTCAAAGCATCTGCCTCGTTTGGTAACGAATTCAAGCATGGCCGTCATACACCAGTGCCGTAAGCTGTCATTGTACAAGTCCCGTCCTCAGTTTGTTTTTCATTTTTTCTGTTCAAATTACAAGCTATTGTCCTCACTTATGTCGCCGCTGCTGTACACCTGCGAGGCAAAAGCCAGACAGTGTTGTGGCCTCCAGTCTACGATCAAGTTCAGAAAACAAAGCCCGAGACTTTGATTGTGTCCAGTTCGACGAGTGCCGCGATAGGAACCGCGAAGGTAAGAACATGGGGAGTCTGGAAATTTAGCGCCAACATTCAACCCCGTCATATCCGGGGAATTAGCCGCAGGTTCCGAGCTTCTAATGCGCAAAACAATTCAGTACGATGCCGGAGTTGCTTCGTGATGGACCATTGATGCGAAAGGGTACAGGAGATGTTACCCCGCTTCATCCTGCCAACGTGGCGACGCTCTTGTTTACCGTGGTTTACGCAATCACTAGCCCTCAGTTAACCATCAGAAGCTCTCCGGCAGCTGCATAAAAAGTCGTTGCGGAAGCCTGCAATCGTGAAGCAAAGGCGTACCTTCATTACCCTCTCCAGGCGGGTCCAGTTCCACCGGTTGCGCTCGCCCCTTTTCCTGCGCCCTTCGGCGGCTTCCCGACTCCCTTCCAGCCGCCCTGCGCGCCGCCCGGGCCCTTTTTCTTGTCCTCAGCCGACACCCCGCTTCCTGCCGTCTTCTTGACCACCACCACCTTTGCTCTCCCGGTCACACTCACCGCCTCCGCAGACTCCTTCACCGCCACAGATCTCGCTTCCGTGCCCGACGCCCCGCCCTCGATAAATCTGACCGTGCCTCCGGTTCTTCCGACTCCGCCCTCCGGTGCCCCTTCCGGAACTCTTCTGGTCAGCCCCGGGTTTGATCTTCCCGCCGTCACGCCCCCCGACACAGTGGGCTTCGCCGGCGCAAACTTCCTTCCACCGGCTGCCGCAATCCCTGCAGGAACAGTCAGCTCTCGGCCCCCCTCTTGCGTCTCGCCGCGGAAAAGTCCCCCGACTGCAGCTCTCCTGAGGCCCCTCTGCATCGGTTGCTCGGCAGGCGGGTTTGGCTGCGTCTGGGGGGCTGACTCTGTGGCGGGCTCGTCCGGGGTGTCAACAAATAGCGGCTTAAAGGGGCGGTGTTCGGTCGGGATATGGGGACTGCTTTCCCGAGAGGCCCAATATCTGTCGATGGACTCACGATCTTGTGGCTCACCTTCTGTGGGTGGAAATGAGGAACGTGCGACTTTCACTCCAGCATTAAACTCTATCCAACCGGGGCTAGAGTTCCCTTCTGCAGGTCCCAACATCGTAAGACCATCCCCGAAGCGTTCGTTGGCGATGCCTCCCATAACTGCGCCGCTATGTTTTGCTATGCCCCTCGATTGCCCCGACCCCTTGCTTCCCTTAGACGGCTTGGCTCTGGCCGGGGTCTGCTCGACAGTCTCCGACTGCGCCGCACTCTTAGCTCTCACCCCTTCAGCCGCTCCGACGCTGATGGCGTCCTTCCCCGCCGTTTCGTCAGCCGCACTTTCTGCCTCGCGGCTCGACTTGCCCATGTCGTTGCACTTCATTTTACTGGTCAGCTTGCTCCCATCTCTCACGGCGCTAAACCCGTTCTTGCTACTGCCATGAGCACCTGTCAGTCCGCTCGCCTCCTTCGCTTTTGCACCCGGTACGCTCTTCTTCGCGCCCTCGTCCAGCTCGTCCGTCTCACGCGTTACCGCAAGGGCTGACACTCCCTGCAGAACGCGCGCTATTTCCTTCTCGCGCGCTTCTCCTCCGTCTCCAGGAACCACAAGCACCCCCTCCTCGACCGGTTTTCCGGCTCCTCCAGTGGACTTCTCGCGATTATCTGGCGCGACTTCCTCAATCAAGTCGCTCTCTTGAGGCTCCCCATTGGTCCAGACCCATTCCTCTTCCGCCACCTTCTCGTTCTCCCCTTCCCCCTCAGCCACGCCGGAGCTATCCTCGCCCCTTTCGGTCCTCTCGCTACTTCCCCGAGCGCTCTTCCCACGGCGCAGGAGATCTGGCGCCCGCATTTCATTACGCGTCGTGTGCAAGCCCAGCGAGGGCTTCATTGGCGGCGGCGCGCGTCCTGCTAGCGCGTGCGCGCTTGCTTCGTCTCCACCCTTAGCCGTGCCGGTCAGGAGATGCTGCGGCGCTTTGACCTTCTTGTCGTCCTTCTCCCAAGCCTCTTCCTTCCAAAGGCTTCCGTTTCCGTTTCCGTTTCCGATTCCGTTCCCATTTCCGTTTCCGCCTCCACCGAAAGGAGGGGGAGGGTTTCCAGCGGCGTCGGGGGAGGGTGTGCTGAGAACGTGACCTACTTGGACTTGCTCGCAGTTTTGTTTCGCCAGCAGCTTATCGAAGGTTTCTCTCGTCTTGTCAACAAACTCAGACCACGTTGGCGAAGAGCAGAGGGTGCCGTCATTCTGTTTGGAGTCGCTCTCCCCCGTTGCAGTACTCTTGACCGGCGTGTCGGCTGCAGCGTCCTGCGCGTCCGTGGCATTCCCGTCGTCAGACCGTGGACCGACGGGGGCTTTCTGAGGGGACGGTTTGGACCGGCGGCGTTTTGTCGTTGCGGGGCGGATTGGATGCTGGCCGTTGTCAAAGACGAGAGCCGTGGGAAGAACTGGATCTTCTTGCATCGGGGAAGCAGCCTTGGGCAGAGACCGGTCGGTCAATGCAGCGGGGGCAGGCAGGTTTCCGGTGGGCGTGGTCGTCTCGAAGTTGTGCTGAGCTTGAGGCAGGCCTTGTAGACCCCCCGAGAGCTGCAATCGTGCGAAAAGACAGGTTCAGGGATCCGGCCAATCTTCTCGAGCGAACGCGATCAACCGCCAAGTCGTTGTTGAGCCTCCTCAAGGTCCGGCGCAGAGCTTCAAGTCAGGAATCACAGGGCGTTATCACGGAAAGTATGCCCACAGAGGTTATCATTGGAAAATGTCAGTCATTGACTCGTAGAGAGAATGCGAGCAGAGTCGAAAGGCACTCACACCGAGACAGCACAGGATAGCCGGAAAACATATGCCCGACGCAGGACAGTCGAAGGAGATTTTGAAATCAGTCAGGCCTGGTGCGAGTTTAAAAGCATGCAAGAAGTGGAAGTGCTTCCTCACGCATGACCAGAACCTGGGGTCGCTCGAGTTTTGTGACAACGTGTTCACTGAAGGCGTTGGGTGTGTTGACATTCGAAACCTGTACGAATCTAGAAGGGACATGCCAGCTTCAAGGAAGCAAAAGTGAGCTCCTTCAATGTTTACGCCCACGCTCGTCCAGAACTAACAGGTGTGCAACCACCTCAAACCCTGGAGCACGCGAGCGAAGACTTTTACACCTAGCCGTGTCACCAATTTCGTTTAGAATAGCGGCTGACAAACGCAATCTCGACCAACATGACGATGGATTATAGGATTCTCACGTTGTGCAATATCCTCTCGCCCGCCTGCTCCTCCGCCGTGCTCCAGCGCCCGCCTCCCATGCTCCTCTTCTTGGCGCCACTCCCAGTGATGCTCCCCGCCCAGTCTCTGCCGCGCTTTGAAGCGGCGCTGCTGCTGACCCGCCGCTCCCCCGAACGCCCGTCGTGAAAGCCCCCCTCTCCCCCTGGTGGAGCCTCGTTCTGCAAATGGCTCTCGATCTGGAAGGTGCTGCCCTCGATTTCGGGGTCCGGGTGATCAGGCGGGCTGGCAATGTCGGTCTGCAGCAGCTGCGGGTTGCTGACATCAGCGGTCACGACTGCCTCTCCGTGGCCGCCCTTTCCAGCATTCGTGCCGCTCTGGTTGTCCGCTTCCGAGTCGCTGGCCTCTAATCCCCGTGCAATTCCCTCTGCTTTGCGTGCGGATCCGTCTGCAGGATCGCCCGTCGGCTGCTCCTTTCGAGCATCTCCCGCTGCTTTCACTGCGGTTGGTTGCTGTGCGGCACTCAGCAGGGGCTGTTGGGTGTTGACTGAGACCTCGCCGAGAGCTTCCCGCTGCAGGGAAGCGGCGCTGCTGCGGGGGGCCGCTCCAGGAGGGGGCCGTTGGAGGTGCGCCGGGGGGAGCTGGTACTGGGGGGTGCGGGCAGGTGGCCGTGCGCGGGTTGTGGGTCGGACCCTCCGCTGCAAACGAAATGCGTGACAGCTGTCAGCTTGCGTGGCTCGAGCGACTCTTCTTTGCAGAAGTGTCGGTAATAAAAAGCGGGGCCCAACCTTGGAATACAAGGAACATGAAAGCAGACTGATATGGTGGGGTTTTGCATGAAGCAAGCTTCTAACCTTGAGACAAGGCGAGGGCAAAAGATGAAGAAGAACAGTGAGGAACACAACTTAAACAAGTCAACCAGAGGGATGTGAGGCTGGCGAAGCAACGTCCACCAATTGAGCAGTGTTCTCTGAAGGTTTCTGACGGATTCCTTGTAACGACGAATGTTCGATGGAAAATGTTTAAAAGCCTCAAGGCAAACCGCCCCAACATGTATCTGGATGCTAGGACATTCAGTCTGCCTCCCAATCGTCCTGGCCAGATCCTGGGCCTTGAGCAGGTGTCTGGTCCACAACTTTTCAGCATTGACTCATTTGAACAGAGCGGAAAGGCGTTTCCCAAAAGAAGCTGGAGTCCAGGTGTACAAGTTCCGGTCACAGACACATGTTAACTTTCAGAAGTACGCTGCAGCAGCATAGACTCTAAATCTACCCCGCATTTTGGAACCCTTCGTCCCTGGCTTGTCAGGCTTTTGTCTCATATGCATCAGTCAAGCAATAAGCCCGATATGCGACAACGAGCCACGCTGTTTTACAGAGTTGGTACGGACTACTTGAGGCTCCCACCTGGCAGTCATTGCTTGTTTCTGCTGGTCAGGATGGCTGTGGCTGGGTCGTCGTTGGCCACCTGCCTGTACTTCCCGGGCGCCACCTGGAGTGCCAGGGCCTTCACATCGCTGGGCCTCAGTACCATCTTCGTGTTGAGCAGGCTTTGACTGAAGATAGAGGAGGATATGGCGTTGAGAGGCATTTTCTTTGGACGGCCAAATCCGACAAGGTCACACAGCACCATCATATTATGGCTACTGACTCCTATCTGTAAAGGGTTTCTGTACTGCAGAAAGGTGAGGCAGAAGGCATTGCCCTGGAGCACATTGTACTTCATGGCAAACTGAGTGCTGTTCTTGCCGAGAAAGTCTGGTAGCATCAGCGAAAGCTTTCTGAGCAACAACTCTACCGAAAGGAAGCAAGAGGGCATTACAGCACTTGTCCCTTCTAGAAGGAAAGCAAACCTACTGCCGTGTGCTACGAAGGAGTCCCATGTCACGTCAGTGAGGGACTGAGGGCTGGTACCTCTGCATGTCATTTCCCGCAGCTTGATGTCCTCGTCCCGAAGGTTGAGCATCCGTGAACCGCCAAGAGCCCCTGGGATGGAGATCTGAGGCAGGCGGAGCACTGCGCCCTCTGCAGGAAAGGGCGAGACACAAGGGAAATCAGATGGTCCTCAAGCTCTTTGCTTTGCTGCTTCTCTCAGATCGTAAAAGGAGACGAGGGGAATCATAAGGATGACTGGACAGAACATGCATTTGGTCGCAGACATGATGTAGGTAGTCAGAAGTAAGGTTGACCAAGTTCGATACAAATGCGAATCGCAACCTCCTGTCAACCTCGGTGACCATGAATGGAAAGAGGGCAGGCATGTCCTGAGCTGTATGCTGATAAGGTGGAGATCCCCATACTGGAACCAGGGCTAGACTTCAAAGTGCCTCAGAGCACAAGATGTCTCCAGAGTACGTACAGCGCACCGAATGGTATGGAAGGAAATGCTAACCATTGTCTCCAGCTTACCTCTGCTCATCTGGTGGGAAGTGGCTCTCGTAGCGTCCCCGGCCGGAACTCTGAGCTCGCTCGTATCTCCTGTTCCTAGACTGCAGGCAGGAAGGGTAAGCACAAGCAATTATTGTGGGAAAGAGCAGCAAGCTTTGAGGCAGGAATGTGATGTCCTCCAGAAAGGACCAAGCGCGCTCTCAATCAGGTTTGCTTTTGAAATTGGGTCCGCTTTCGGGATTGGATCTGGTCTTGCATGCACTCCATTGAGCATGCAAGAGCGCCAGAATTGCAGCAGGGCCGACTTCTAGACTGCTGTCACCGAAAGGGCAGACAAGGCCGCTAAGCCTTTCAGCTCTTTGCGCAAGCCTCACCTCTGCTGTCGCAGAGGTATCCTCCTCAACCTCCTTCCACATGAAGTGTGCTCTTGCTCTTCTCTTTGAAGACTCATTGATGGAGTTCATAATCTTCTGAAGGCGGCTCTTCAAGAGCTTCTTATCGAGGCCCTTGTTTACAACCAGTTCCGCACACTCAATCTCCAGCTCGAGACGAGCGAGGCTAAACGCCGGCGGGGGATGCTGATCCAAGCATTGATTGACATACTGCTTGATGACCGCCTTTCTCGACATTGTCGAGGCTCTTTCCTTGCACCCGCTGTGTTGCTTTCTGGCCTGCCAATTATTGAATCAAGCGCCAACAGAGCACTCAATGGACTCAGCTTGCGCTTCCTTCAGAATGTTGCCTCATTTCATTTACAAGGCACCACGATGAAGCTCGGAAACCGTGACTTACATACAGGCCCCTGCTGCAGACTTCCGCAACCATAAAGGTGAAGGTGCAACGGGGTGGAACACCAAATAAGCTGGCCAGAGGGTCTTCAACAAAGCAATGCCGTTCGCTAGAGTCAGCAACTTTCCTCAGGACTTTCAAAGGCGCAATTCTGGAGTCAAGGAGCCTGAGCCTCTCAAGCAGAAGATGGAGCTCGGAGAGCTTGGCTCTGCAAATTGCAACGTGCAGAGTGGGCGTTTTCCTTACGATGCTTCGGAGCATCATTGTTCGTACGATGAGATTCTGCTGCTTTCATCGACGGCTTGACTGGTAGAAGAAGAAATCGCGCGCGCAACAAACCGTTACTTGTGCTTCAAACGCCACAGAAACTTGCCGCGCCGCGGCCGGCCAAGCGCCCTTCGCGTCACAGCTGAACTTAGAGGGCATTGTAGAGCTGCAGAGGGCTTGGTCAAACGCGCCGTGCTAACGCTCGCCCCTCTGGCCCGACCCGCTCACACCGCGCCCTCGGAAGCCATCGACCACCTAGCTAGTGCTTCGATGTTACTCGATCTTATCATCGAAGCGTGATTGGTTTACTAGTCTGGGTAAACCCGGTATGAAAGGGACTTTGATTGCCAGTAATGCCTCCAGGATGGTGGTAGCCCACCTCAGGCTGTTGCGCACGTCTCAGCTTGTTGATCGAGGATGCCGAGACACCTCACAGCGTTAGAACCAGGGCCCCACCAGGGGCAGTATGTATGCGCCGGTGCGAGTAATTCTGAATGTATCCGCCCAGCCGAGAATGCCTGGTCTTCCTGGGCGTTCAATACCCACTCTACAGCGATTTTTTTCAAACCTGTCTGGTTCATAAATAGCTCGATTTGTCGATTTGCGCGGTGCCCGGTACTTATGTTTGACTCAATGCGCGGAAACAGTCGGTCCCCGTTTGGATCGGATATGTAGCCGGTCGAACCCACTGGGCCATAAGCTCAACTCGGTAGGTCCCTTTAATCCTCGTGCACCGCCAGCTCGTGCACCTTGTCGAAGCTCGATACCCTGCTTGAAACCACTTCGTGAACTCGGACAGGTTCGAGGACCGGCCTCCGAGGGAAGAAGGGAAACCGCTGTATGCAAGCTCTCGTCACGACTAGCAAACGATTGACCTGATCAAATGCTCAGAGCAGAAAAGCAGCGACGCAGAAAGCGACGAACGACTGGCCTTAGTCGCATAACAACTGGGTAACATCTTGGCAGCAACATTTGGTGACAGTCAAGTTGAAGTTACGCTGATCCGTCTGCACCATGTCACCTTGAGGTCGTATCCGGGACTGAGAGTTCAGGCCCCTGGTCAGGAGCAATTCACACCTCTTCGTGCGTCTCATGCACCTAGAAAGGATTTGTTACATCTAATTGACTTCAATTTTTGCAGCGGCGACGATTGCCAATATGGGATTGCGACTGACCAAGGTTGAGCGCGCGCTCTTTGTTCATTACAATGATACTATCATAGCATGCCTCTTACGACCGCGAAGCTGGTTCCGGTTTAAGGGCACCGTTGCCTTCTTTGTACGTTTTGACATTGTCCTAGCGGCGTCGGGCGTTCATTGACGTCAGGCAAATGCAGGATCCTAGACTCCGGAGCGTTTCGGTCCCAGCAAGAACTCGGACTCTTCACGTGAAGCTCGCTCTGAAGTTGGGTCCGTTGAACAGCAATGACGGTACGCTTCCCAGTAGAACTGACAGTTCCTGGGGGGGGGATTTGATAAAAATCATTCGGGAGTGGTCTGAAGAAGTCTACTTCGTGCACTGTAGATCTGATCTGACGGTATCTACCATCTTATAATCTGTCAAGACTTCAAAGGGCGGAAGGTTGGTTAACCCTTCATCATCAAAGGACGCCTCTCTTTGTCACGGTCTCCTGCCACAACGAAGAGACCAACAATGAAGGAGCGAAACTTGTCCCCGATGGGCTGCAGCTTGATGATTCTGTCTGAGCGCGAGCACGCAAACGAGACACTAGACCAGGATGCGAACAGAGTCTTTGAATAAGCATCTCCCGATTCTCTTGACCAGCCATAGAGAATTTGATTAAAGACAGCACAGGTGACGGGCGAGAACCGAGACGGGCATTCATGTGGCACGTCAGCAGGTCTATCGTGGCGGGAGCATCCCAAGCTTGGACCCTTCCAGTGTTCGAAGAACCTTTGTTTCTGTCGTTGATTTGGGGGACATGTACGTGCACACACTGCCTTCCCATAAAACCACCGACAATTAAGGGCCTCCTTCAGGAGGCTGATAGAGAAGGAAGCGCTCCTCCCCAATGGACAGGACCTCACTGAGGATTGAAGGCTGTTCTTGCTCTCGGAACCAAAGGTAGCTGCCTTGAGGGATTCTTGGTCCCGCTTACTACTGCTTAGAGGATTGAATTGGATCAGGACAGATTTACTTGTACGCCGGATGTTAGACCGTGAACATACTTACACGCTTTCCTTTCCGGACCAGTACTGCTCCGAAGACGTTGCGCATCACAGAGAGAGCCGCTACCGCGCCATTTAGATGCTCATCCGATAAAGCGGACACCGTAATCATGATGTCATGACACCAAGTGCAGAATATTCTGTGTAGATAAATCGTTCTGCAAGACTTTTGCAGACGATCAAGACCAGATCTCGGCCCGGAAGACACGGAGTCATGGTCTTCGTGGAATGCAGGATGCTGGCCACGACGAATGCGGTCTGCAAGTACAGGACTCTTCTTGCTGGTCATCAGCTGATCAGTTATGGCCGGAGCCAGAGTCTGCGTATGTATGCAGACCCGTTTTAGCAATGTTGAGATAGTATACGAAGCTAGGCTGACACCGGAAGCTAATCTATGAAAGTATCTGATCCGTCAAGGCATCAGATGGGGCGCTCGGAGCAAGCTGAAGCCGTTGCAAACTGCAAGACCGAACAGCCTCTTCCCCGGGCCGTTATTTACTTATCTGAGCCGTTTTTAAAGCTTTTCAAAGAGCTGAATGAAAGCTTTTACCGTGTGCTACGCATCAGACAGGAAGGACGTTCGAGCTTGGCAAGGCGTCAAGTTCCTGGAAGCGTCGTTTAATTCCGACAAGCGTTCTCGGTCTGACTCGTTTGACTTAACTCCGCGGAGTCTGGCACTCCTTTCGACGGAACCGTCGATGAGATGACACGTGGCAGTATCGACGGCTGCGATGCGGCTTTTGGTGTGCCCTTAGCCCACAAGGAACACGGTTTCCTCCTTCATACAAAAGGGTGCGAGATCGTCCTCGTTTTTCAGTGGATCGATCCGGGGCGCCCCCCGGCCCAGGGGCAGGACCTCTGTCCAGGGGTGCTCCACGAAGCTCCCCCGGAAACATCACTCTAAAACCCTCACACCGTCCCTCTACACCAAACTTCACACGATCCCTCTCCCCCCGGCCCCAAACCAACACCCCCTCTGACCAATATAACACCATCCCTTATCCTTCATGATTGCAAACCACCGCTTTCCCTTCAACCCAAGACACCACCGGTACTATTCCTCCACCATCCAGAACCACTGCTCTTCCTTCATCTGAATTTGACCCCATTCCTTTTCCTTCAAACTCAGCACCACCACTCAAAGTCCTTGTTCGACTTCCTTCAGCGTGTTCACCGTGGCTCTGGAAGAGCATTCGTCGTTCTGAAGCACGTAGTCTTGATGAGTTTGTTCAAAAGCGGGCCGTTACCTTACTTTCGACCATAGGGCCACCATGTCAAGTTTGACGAGATCAAAACTCATGAGTCTGTTCAGCCATTTGGTTTTGTTCAACCATGCCGACAAGCTGAGTGCTGAAAGTAAGCACCGCATCCATGAAAATTGAGTCCAATATTGCTCAGTTTTCACACCAACGATCAGCAAGAGTTCAGTCCGATGACCATCGGCTTCCGACTTTCAGCACATACGGATGCAAAAGACGAGGTCTTGCGTCACACATCTGCTCCGGTGACACTGAAGGGTCAGACGGTTTTGGTCGAACGTGTTGTTTGGGTTAGCAGATGGTCTGCAAGATGATGGGGAATGGAAAAATTGATGGATTGCATTTGGTGGGGCATCTGGTTTGGTTGGGAATTGTGTTTGTGGAGGACGGGAATGTTTCCGGGGGAGCTCCGTGGAGCACCCCTGGACAGAGGTCCTGCCCCTGGGCCGGGGGGCGCCCCGGATCGATCCGCTGAATGACGGCGGGCAGAACGCTGACTTATGTATGCAACCCATATACGGATCATCTGTGGGCGAATGACACTTTGTCGAGGCAATTTTGGCCCTCCGATTGTGCCACGTGGTGTGCATTGAACGGCCTCGATGCAGGATCCAGACGAGGCGCCGTGCGGGCTCGAGAGTTTCTCCGACAGCCGCCACACTCTTTCCAGAGCAAGCGCGATCAAGCGAGAAGGACTCGTAGAATACCTACTAAACTTGATCTGAAAATACCAAATCCTGGTAGCAGCTCAGCGCTTGTTATTAGAAAAGCACAGGCTTATATTGATGAATCTGGAGGCACGTGGAGGCTCACCCGCTTGCACTTCTGCAGGTCATAGAGAACAGATACATAGTGATTGGACGGTTTCTCCGATTCACGAAGTGGATCAAAGCCATAGCGGCACATTTGATCGAATTGCAAATCTGCGGTCGATCTCATGAGAAGCATTCATCATGATGAGATCCTTTAGCGCTGACCAAAGGCCGCATGTGCGCGGATGCTGAATGCAAGTACGGTATTCTGTGGCAGGTGACACACACATGGAACAAAGCCAAGGGAACAATTGGCGGCGTTCTGAAAGCGCGGCTTGACTTGTCTGGTTCAGAGCACTGCAGCAATGCTCTCATAGCATTTGATATGGAAGGATCGCGTCACTGCAATATCAACGACGGTCATGTTATCTTCCGAACGCTCCATTTAGATCGATGATCGAGATTGTCAAACCATCGAGCTTTCCATTATAGCGATTTCTTGAGCGATGCCTTGACGTGTCTGGGACGTGAAAAGATCAGCACGGAGCAGCACGATTAGCCTCCCTGATCGTAAGAGGCACTTCTTGTGGTTGCAAGAACCCGCTTGGATCCCTTTAACTCAGTTTTCAGGTCAATCCGAACCCGCTTATGATGAATATATTCGACCGTCAAAAATACAGGTATACAACAGAGCAATCGTAAAGCTGTTCAGTAATAGCGGAAAGCATGTAGTGTCCCACCCCCGAACTACTACACTTGAGCTATCGGCTCGCTCAAGTCAGGCACGTCACTTATTTTACAACTTCCATGTACAAGCAGGGCCCCACTATCCTAGTCTCACAATTCTCTTATTGTCTCTTCTCCCTTAAACAAGCACCTCTTGCCCCGTGGTCCTCTTGGTTTCCTCTGTCATAGGCCCCGAGCGGAGTCTCCCTAAACGCGCCCATGAGTCTTGTCCTGTCCGGCGTGCGGCGGAAATGCGTCCTTCTTGTCATGATCCCACTGCACACCGCGCAATGTGGGGTCACTTCACTTGAAAAGCTCCAACTGATCAAAGTCACAATTAGACCTCAGGCTCACTTTCCGGCGATCATCTCGCCTGAGTGGAAGAAGCAGAGAAAAACACTGAAAGTTTCGCGTTGAGGTCTTATTCTCAAGCTAATATGACAGCTTCGGGGATGTCTAATTTTGCAGAGGCGGCCAGAATATTGAAGAGAGACGCCTAAGGCGAAGCGAAGGGAGATACTCCGCCTTGAAGGGATCAACGTTTCTGAGCGTCTTATAACAGGGTACGCTAGCTTGCATCTTTAAAGATTACGATTGGGCAGCAAAAAACGGAACGTTTAGAGTCGCACTGCTTTCCTGCAAGCTGTCTCCATTCTCGTCTTTCCCGACCTTCCAGATGAAACCCGATCTTCGAGATGAAAACTTTCACTAATTGTGACTAGAAAAGTGCACAGATGGTTTTTACTCACTTCCGCGCACCCCTCCAGCGTGCCCAGCTCGCCCTCCTCCGCTCATCCTCGGGCAGGCCCTGCGCCAAGTCGGGGCGCCGCTCCTCCCGGTACATACCCGCGGGGCTGCCGTAACGCTGGCTGAACACTTCGCTCCCTGGGAAGGCCCGGACGTCCCGGGGGTCGTACACGGTCTGGTGCACGGCCTCGTTCTTCACCCAGCTCTTCCCGCCAGATACCTGCCGAAGGTGCAACTTCAGGATGGGGTCGCGAACAAAGCGCAGACCGTGGACCCGCATAGTCCGACCATGTAGGGAGTGCTATGCTTCGATTATGTTACAGGCAACAATTGAGGACTCCTTACGATCCAACGCTTCGCGCAAGGCATTCGTCCGTGAGCTGCAACAATCACTTCGCAAGGACGATGATGACCACGCCCGGGGCAAAGCATTATTTTCAGCTTCAACCGATCCTGAGAAACCCTTGATAGATTTGAGTGCGGCTTCGTTCCTCACCACCGTGCTGCCATCGCGCTCGTCGTGCTCGCGCACTGGCGGATTCCCGGGGCGCCGCTCCGCGCGATACAGCTCCTCGCGGCTGCGGTAAGGGCCGCTGGACGCGACGCGCCGCGGCAAGGCGGCCGCGGCTCTGGACTCATAAAAGCGGTACACGTGCTTGGCATCCGCCCGGGGGTCATCCCCGACCACCTGCAAGGGGGAAAACGAGATGCTTCAAGATGCCATCAGGTATTGATCAGGAAATCCCAGTCTGTTCTTTACTTTGCAGAAATGAACTGAATGAGGTCAATAGCTTCTCACAACGTGGACGTTGAGATTCTGCCATCAGACTCCGTTGTCGATAATGTTGACGCGATTGGCACCTGTGCACGCTGCCTGCAGGAAAGGTTCTATAAAAAAGCAAGTGAAGAGACCCATGGACATACGATCGAAATAAGAAGTCTCATTTTTTGTGCTCAAGCATGAAGCGACGACTTTCGAAGCTCAACGTTAGGCAAACGGAATGTCGCTTCAAGTTACTCATATGCAGGACTACCAGTGTTGCTTCCGCAGTCAGTATCTGTTTAGATTCACAGCCGCACTCGTGACGCTCGGAACGCGTCTATGTTCCTGCCAGTAGAAGAAAATGAGCTTTCAATGAAAGCAACGTAAAGCCTTCGAGTACCACGCTACCCACTTGTCAGCCGCATGTTCCATAAGTGCTCAACCAAAAGTTTCGGTCATGAAAATCTTAAATTGCAAGCAGAAGAGGGCGAAATTCACCTGGAACGTCTCTTCGTACTCCGTCCTGCCAGCCGGCACATCCAGGACCGGCTCCAATGGTGGCATGTCCTCATAGACGCCGTCGCTCCCTCTCTTCGCGCTCGCCTCAAACGTGCCGCTCCCCAGCTCCAAGCGCCTCTTGGCCCGCACTCCTCCGCTGTTCTCCACGCCCTCGTTGCGCTGGCTCTTGACCGGCTGCTCAAACCAGCCGCACTCCTCGTTCTCGCCCTCTCCGACCTCTTTAAAGGGTCTCTTCCGGGGGTCTCTCCAGAGAGGCTTTGTGTTCCCCTTATTGTGGTCGCCAAGCCGCGCTCCGTTGGGTCCAAAGTACTCCTGATTGACGGGGACGGGGCGGAACACTTGGGGGTAGGGGGGGAACTGCGGGTCGTTCTGGAACATTTTTGGCCGGGGGGCGCCGTGGTAAGTCAACGGGGGCAGCCACAGTGTCTCCACGTTCCTGCAAAGGAAGAGACGAAGTTGGTTAAACTCGATCTCGCTCAGAAACTTGCAACCGCGTTAATTGAAACTCTGTGAGCGAAGCGTCAACTTTGGCCGTCGCTAAAACGGATATGGGGCAACCCAGGATCCGACCGAAGGAGCTGCACTCACCATTCTGACAAAGTGAAGGGCACCTTTGAAGGCAAGGATGCCTCTGCTGCTACAGGCACTTTTGATTCATGAACGCCATCTGGCCTGTCGCAGATTTGCGTAACTGGTTGCATGAGTAACCAGAACTTTGAAAGAGTTGACCTACTTTCTTAATGCAAGTTCACCACAAGCAAAAACTCTGCTCTCATCACGATAGAGCACAGTGGCCTGTCACTAAAGCAAGGAACAATTGAAATGCCACCAAGATTATAGGGGCTTCAAGACCTTCCTCATTATGTTGCGGGATGAACAGAGCCAACAATAGCCTGCCATCATTCAGGATATGACATGCTTTTGAGTCTACATGCAATAGCTGCACTTTGAAACTAACAAGCTCAATTGCTTCCAGCCAGCAACCCAGACTGTATCATGAAGTCATTCCCGGGTCCTGCGGCAGAGAATCTCACCTGGGCTCTCTCAGGTTAGCAATTTCTCCGGTTGCCACGTCGCGTTCATGGGTGTCATACGTTGCACGGGGGGCCATCCTGTAAGGACACGGATTAACCAGAGTGTTTTTGAGATTCTTGTGTTTTATGGAGTCCTGCTAATAAACCACAGGATTCTAGATGCTTCAGAAAAACTCCCAGCTGTCGCATTTCGCCATCAGGGTTTGCTGACCACTGCACTAATAGGCCATGGTATCCAATCAACATGCAAACTGCAAGAGAACAACGAGGTCAAGCCCACTTTTCATGCTTTTTTCAACCGCCGGTGTGGTAAATTTCTTCTGAGGAGATCACTCAGTAACACATCATCCATGCCGAGTGGAGTGTCTTCTACCTGCGCCCATTGTCCTGCATTTGCGGCCAGCTCCGCTCGCTTCCTTGTTCTTCAGTAGCTTGGCCATCATTGGAGAAGATGGCTGCCGTTTCAGCTTGCATAATCTGCTGCGGCGGCGCTTGCTGATACCTGTCCCTGCGTCTCTGCAATTCAACGATGGGCAAGCAAGCTTGAGAGATGATGCACATGAGCTTCATGCATGCCTTCGTCTCTTGCGTATCTGTGTGATTTCTGCATATCCTTAGAGAACCTGCTAATCCTAAGAGCAAATGATGCTCACATACAACCAGATCTGAATCCTGAACTCCACACGAGGACAAGTGCAGATTGCGGATGGGCATTGCCAGCTGGCATTGTGTTTTCACCTGCAACTTGTTGGCGGTGTCTGCATCAATGACAAGTAGCATTGCACGCGCCCGTGCCCTGCGGCGTGGCAGTTCCTGCTCATCCTCGCTTATCTCCACGAATGCTTTCTTCAACAGCTGCTTGTCTACCCCCTTGACCACCTTGCCTCCCCCCCAAAGGATTGCTGCTTCAAGCTCCACGAGGCTGAACTGCGGGGGTGCTTGCGAGTCGAGGCGGTCAGACGCATACTGCCTGATGATGTTTAGCTTGTCCATCGTCCTTTAACGCCTGGCAGAACGGCGCGCTGGGATAGAATTTGGAAGGAGCACTCCTGGCACTGATTGCTATGCATGCATGGACAATTGCGCGCAGTATCAACCCGTCTGCTGATTACGTTTCCAGAGTGCAAACTAGCGGCGCAATGCTCGGTGCAAAATGGTGGCTCCAGCGGCAAAATGGCGGCAAGCAGCGTTTGAAGAACCTACAAGACACGCAATGCCGCTCTGATTTCAACCCAGGCGTGAAGGTACGCTGAAGAAAGTGAAGTCCGGCCATGCAGATTGGCCAGCACAGTGCTCGAATGTAGCTTCCTGCTCAACTATCAGGGGCTGACAGTGAAGGCGTACATCTATTAGTTTAACTAGTAATACATGTATGAAACAGAAAATGCAGCCCAGCGTCATGAGAGGCTAGTACACAGATGTTGGTTCTTCTTAGTACTAGGTACTGTGCAGTGCATACTGTGGGACTTGTGCTGGTATTAGGTATGTCATCACGATTCAGAATCACCTCGGCTTTCATAAGCATTTTAGGTAGTTGGAAAACGCGCGCGCTATTTTCTGAGACATCTGGGGCGTCGATTGGGCCTAGGAGCCTAATCGAACGGTTCGAAGGCCCCGGGGTGGTGAATCAATCCTACGACTGACGTTCCAAATTTGAAGCTGGAGTTGCGGCACACATTTGCCTTGTTGCATTTGGATCTTTGGATTGGCTGATCAGGTTCTGCTTTTTTGCTCAGTTTTTAGATTTATGACTTATCAGCAGCCGCCTCGATCTATGACATTGATATCAATAGGATCTAGGATATGGTGTCTTCGTCTCAGCCAGTGGCCTATGATTCCCACCGCGCGCTCAAAGATTCCCATTGAAAGGCGATCTGTTAGAGGACAGCAAATGTCCATTCCGCTCTTCCCATGATTGCTAGTACCGCACATACATTGGCGTGATGATGTTTGTGAAGGGCAGTGGGGGCAAGACCAGAATCGCCGCCGGAGGCTTAGTGGCTCCCTTAGCACAGGGTCCCACAAAGGTGAGGGACGTGTGCTATTGGTCAGCATTCAGTACCTGCATTGCAACCCTTGAGCTTACGGACAGATATCTGCAAAACGAACAGCTTCTGTCCGTAGCGGGGAAGCCCCAGAAATTCTGAAGCTTCTCGTCATGCAGCAAAACGGTGCGTACGGACTTTCGAGTTTATGAGATGATGATCAGTGGCGTCACTCAAGCGATCAGTTACTGCGAGAATGCTATAGCTGATTGGACTCGACTGGTTGATTTTTCCCTTGAGAGCCCTTCTAAGGACATGGAAAGAAGTGCTGGCAATGTGTGCAGCAGATGTTTGCTGATTGGGAGTCTATGTGAAACTTGCTCCTGTAGTTCAGCAATGCCAAAATTTGAAAACGGGGGTGGACCACAATCTCTGCTTGCTGACCTCGACGCAATCTGAGCTGCGCCTCTATCCATTCTTTGCGTATTGCAGATCGAATTGGCCGTTCCAAACTTTCAAGTTGGACATGAACCAGTTCGAGTTTGCTGCAGAAGCTGCATCGCATCACTAGTAAAGAACTCTACAAAATCTATACAGGCCAGGGGGCTGGTGGCACTGCATTGGCGGACAGCAGAAATCCCCTCTTGCCCAGAAGCGAGGATGCGCATGCCGCTGAAAAGCAGCACCTTAGGGGGTGAGGGTGCACAACTCCATTTATCATTTTGCTTGAGGGATCTGTAGCGCTGGCAGTGGGACATGTCGTGAGCCCTTTCGATTTGTTAGGCTGCGTATGCAGGTTGGCTGGCAGATATTGCAAATCTACAGAGGATACTGCTTAGCTTCCATCTGGTATCTGTGATCTCCTTAACTTGAAAACCGTAATGCATGGGGCCTTTGCCAAGCTGCAACTGAAGCGCTCCATGTCAGTCGATGGGAAATATTTTAGCAGGCCAATTCGCTTCTGATTCATTCAGGGCCATAATCTCCTCTCACGGAGACTGTGACAGCTTTGATTGTTAAAGCTTTAGCCTGCAACTTTCGAAAAGCTTTGATTAAAGTTGGAAATGTAATCAGGTCGACTTTCCAGAATTCGTCAAGCAGAATGACTCTCTGAAGTTACGGGCGCCAGCTTATGATCAGCCAGCTAATTCTCCCCACGGCCAGGTGCAAGCTACCAGAAACTGTGCAAAGATGAGTGACATCCAGGAGTCCAGAATCATTCCGAAGTCTTCTGTAGACGCACAAAGGCTTCTGTTATTGCAGGATGTCCGTGCCTTCTAGACAACGGCCATGTGGACGAAGCCCCTCCGCCCGACTCCTCCTTTCACAAATATGCGCAGCCACCCCCCCCTCCAAAATCTTCGGGAGTCCGACTTCCAGAAGGTCCTTCGAGTGCGCGATCTTAACCTCCACCAGCAGGCATGCGGGTCAAAGCGTCCAAACTGTGTGTCCAAACCACCGGAGGTAAAAGAAAGAGGGGGCCTGTAGACCTTTAATGAGCCAACGGGCGCATGGCAAGCCAGTCAGCAAAGGCGGGTTTGAGCTGGGGCAAGAGCAGGCCACAACGCGGCAACAGCTGGACACGCTGGAGGAAAGGCGTTGCTTGCGGACCGGTTGGCACAGCGCACTGGCGGGCTGAGAAAAAGACGGAGAAGAAGGTGTGTGCAGAACGATGTTCTGGATTGCATGCGACGCAAAGATCTTATTGACACACTGGCGGTTATTGTTCGTGGACAAGGCAAATCCAACCATAGCTTGTATCAGAGAAACCCGCATCATCTCAAGGCTGGTGCACGACAGACGGAAAAGCACGCACAGAAGTTGATGTCTTGTGGGGACTTTGAAATATGCCGGGTCAACGATCTGCCAGGGGCTGGTCTAAATCGACTCTGGAGTTCCCAGCTTTCTCCCAACTGCCAAGAGATAGAGGCCCAGAAGAAGGAAAGCGGCATCTGCTTAACAATGCACAGAACTCTCATACCATTCGCCCTTGGTCCTCCAGCAATCCGGAGCTTCATGGTTACTGCCAATCAGATGCTGGACTGACCGTGGATCCCTAGATTGGTGTCAATTTCGCAGCTGCTGACGCTCTCTTGGAAAAATGGACGAGGAAGCAGTTCCTGAGAAACATGCACCGGCCGTTTCAGGAGGGCCGTCTTTTCGTCATCTCCGTTCGAGAAGCTCTTGCGTTGATGCTTGTTCTCTCCCTTTTTCCAGCGAGACATCGTGCATTGCGCTCTGCTCGTGGGCGGCCTGCTTCGCGCTGTTGCCGCCAGTTCGATAGCGCTAGCAAGTACCACTAGGGACGGGGGGCCCGTCTAACAGTCCTTCAGGTGCCCCGGCAGCCCACCCATTTTTACGTGCAATCTGAAACTGTCCACTGCATGACCACTTTGCCAGCCCGTGTCGTGTCGTGGACATCTTGATAATGCTCGACAAGCGCTGCCTTCAGTTGCTGAGGTCGATGCCCGGTAAATGGCGCTTGCCAGGTAAGGGACGGCGCAAAGAACCCTAGGGGCATTCGGTCAGCCGTTTGCGGATATATGGGTCTGTCATCTAAAGGCATCCTAGCTCAGAATTGCCGTCTTTTGACCAGCTTTTCAAGGTCGAACAATGGTTTGCTGGTGCGTCAGAGCGGTTTTCAAAAAGTGGGGCCAGTGTGTTGAGCCTGCCGCCGAATTCTAGGGCCCCGACAAGCACTCCCTCCAACAAAGATAATTGCGTGCAGCCCATCGTTGCTGACGTCAGCGCCAAAGGCCGGGATCCCTCGCAGGTGGACAATCATGAGGCACGCGCCGTCCTGGCGTTTGTAATTCAGCAGATCGGCGCCACCGTCAGGTACGCCTTTGGCTTATTTTTTTGTCGGTCACTCTGGCCTAATGCAGAACGATTTGAAAGACTCGAGGCGTCTGACAATTTCGGATCGGCCCGCGGAAACGATCACTTGAATGTCCGGCTGACTGGCTTACTGGCTTGCGTCGTCAATGGCTTGAAAAGACTGTGTCTGCAAGTCTGGTTTCATGTGGTTCCTTGTAGCAACTGGTCGCCGAAAGTGACGCGCCCCCGCCCGCTTGCTTGCCATCCGTTGCGTTTGTCAGGGTTGCTTCCAAGCACGAAACGATGAACGGAGTGTGACCGGTTGGTTTCCTTTCCAGGGTCGTTGTTTTGCGCGACACCACACTCGCGGGCGTTTCACGCCTCGCCAGCTGCGCAACGCTGTACGTCTGCGCGCGTACCTGTTGCGCGGCGACCCTGACTTCCACGCGCGCATCATCGACCGTGACGTGTTCGCGCCCGCGCTTGTGGGGTCTGGCGCCCAAGCCGGCCACGACTCCTCCCGCAGCGCTGTCGTGCAGACCGGAATCCTAGAGGTACGGCAGTGGAACTGAACGGAACGGAACGGAACGGAACGGAACGCATCCGTCAAACCTCTAAATTGGCTGTCGAAACAAACCTTATCTTGACCAGAGTCGATGTAAGGGAACGGCTGATCCAAAACCTTGAGAAGGGTCGAGGATTTTGGAATGACAAGCCATGTTGGCCAGCGTGTCCTGCTTCCTTATCCGAAAACGAGACTCCTCTCCAAGCTCAGGAGAAGTACACGAATCCCGTTGGCTCAACTGTAGGCTAATCCGGAAGGAACTGCCTCCAAAGAAGAAAACAAAGCCTTTTTATTAGCATCGAGTCTTTTGCAGGAGCGTTCAAAAAAATTCAAGGCAATGAGCCTTCCTGTCCCTTCAAAGGCTTCTTCCGAAAGATGCGCAGTATACGATTTGGGCTTGCACGATGCTTGATATCCTGAATACCCGCCCATGGTCCTCGCGGACGCTCATCGCTCTTGCTTCCGAACACGCAGCACGCCAGCGAAGACCTCATTGGTGACCTTGAGAAGACACTCAAGGTCCGCGCACTTCAGGCGCGGTAATAGGTAATATGACAGTGCTTTCGCTATAAGCAGACAGCAAGGTTGTTGATAGAAATATCCAGGATATGACGGAAGGAGAAAGTTTCTTGCATGCGTTTTGTACATCAAATTCTGTCCTAGTTCGACACAGGGAAGACTTGCATAAGAAGGACATGGGGAGTATGGCCGAAAAAACGTAGTCAATGAGCTCAATGCCCATTTGTGAGATGATCACCTGAGACCTGCCAGCAGAAACACCTTTCGATCAAGTTGGAGAATGAAACAGGTTCATGAAGCTCGATCTTGGATCAAGCGAAGTAGGAGAACGTGAGCATGCTCAAAGACGGTCAACGTTTAATTATAGGCCGCGGCATAAGCTGCCCAACTTAATCATACTGCGCATGGTTTAAAAGGCGTTTGAACGTCCTGAGATCCGTCGATCGTATCCACTGCCATGCTTTCAAGGGACATGCATCCCGTGTAAGATGAAGCGCCTGTGAAGACACATCATATGAGCGATTGAAGTGCGGGCTGGTTTTCAACGTGCCATACGAACCGTGATTAAATCCTCTTACACGTTGATATGCATGTATCAAAGACTGAGAAACGCAGACTCTCCATGCTTGAACATTAAAAACATAGCTTCAAAAGATGCAACTGCCAAAACTGTGGCCACTAGCGGCCGCGGCCTAAGCGTAATTTCAGGGCCCGTTTCGATCATTCAGATGCAAGCTATAAAAGTGAAAGCATGTGACACCCGACATCCTCTACCAAAATCACTCCTCACAAGGTTCACGTACTCGCAACCATGATGAGCCAAAACTTTGTCCTTGGGCATCTTTTCTTTGGAGGCAGACTCAGATCATGAGAAGTTTCCTCGCGACCATGGCTCAGGGCGGCCGACCACAGGAGCGCTGCCGCGGGGCTGGCCGGGCTGCTGCCACGAGAGCTTGGAAGACATCTACTCCTGTCAAGGTCACCCTTGCACGTTATCATCCCCGTCATTTTGGATCGGGGTTCGAAAGCTGCGGAGAATATCTCTTCGTTTGCCTTTACCTTGACAACAGAAAAGATTGGATGATCAGCGCCCGACCCTTTGTCAAGAAGACGGGTTTAAGTTTATCCATGTGCTAATCTGTTAACACTCTACAGAATTATCAGATCACGGCTGTGGTGCTCCCAAGGCCGGAGACGGACGTGCGCTGGCAGAAGGAATGTGGCAGAAAGGCCGCAGATGTATACACGATTAATCACTTCTCTTTCAGCTCCCTTCCTTCCTGCTTCCTCGCAACTTGGGCGGGCTATCTTAAGCGGGCGTCGGTCTCGTGCGCGCCCGGTTTCGGCGACTTCGTGACGACAGCGGTCCCGTAGGTACCCCGTGGCACAATCGGACCGCTCGAAGGCGTTCTATCGATCTCTTCACTTTGCCCACAAGACCTTCAAACGAGCAGTGCATACATAATTCAGCGCCTGCCCTTTGGTTTTCCCAGTGGATCGATCCGGGGCGCCCCCCGGCCCAGGGGCAGGACCTCTGTCCAGGGGTGCTCCACGGAGCTCCCCCGGAACAAACCATAACCACCATCAACACCACTCCCTCCTTCTTTCGCACCAATGTCAGACCAACAAACCATCCATGACTCGTCATACTGAACAAACCCAACCAAACCAAGCGCCAACCAGCATCACTTCTCCTTGCCGACGACGTTTTGCCAGAGGGACCTGCTTTTGATTTTGACACAACCGAGTCCTATGCCTAGTAACCACAGAGCAGTTTTGTTCAGAAATGAATGGGATACAAGCATGCTCTTCACTTCAATAGCACGCCTGACAGATTTCACGAGCCTCAAAGGTCAAGCGCTTTTAACAGCAAGTCATTCAGGTGCTGGAAACGGTTGTCCGACGTTCCAAATCGCGAGAGCAGGCACAATATTCTGGCACTTCTCGAACGAAGCAGATGCATGCAGCAGCACTGCTTAAGCAGTGTATGGATATTCATCTCCTAATGACGCTTCATGAGACGTGTTTGTTCAGCCGAATTGAATGAAAACATGCGGCTCTTCAAGAAGTATGAGCACAGTCAGTCGTATGAATGTCAAGTGAGTGTGTGACGTTGGGTGTTGCAGCATGATAGATTTGAGAGATGTGTGTTTGTTGTATTGATTGTAAGAGAGTTTGGGAGGTCTGTGTTGGTTTAAAGATTTGTTTGGGGGAGGTTATGTAATGGGTGGTTCCGGGGGAGCTCCGTGGAGCACCCCTGGACAGAGGTCCTGCCCCTGGGCCGGGGGGCGCCCCGGATCGATCCGCTGGAAGACGAGGGCAGGAACGCCACCTTATATACGCCCTGCTTGCCTTCATTTTCTGTGGGCCGGCCCAGAACGAGCGGAAAGATCCTACCGCTCAAGACTGCCACGTGGCTTTCATCGGACGGTTCTGGCACAACGACGCGAAACCGGACGCGCGTTGCAGCGCATCGCCGTCCGCTTCGCGCTGGAGCAAACTGTCCGAAGCAGGGAAGTGATGCCGGCGCTTTGAATATGAGACAGCGGAACTAGAAGCAGATCGAGACGCTGTTCTCTTGCTTTCAGATTCAACTATTCGCCGGAGCTTCCTGTCAAAGTGCGCGGACAAGCGGATCCGGGCTTGCTGCAACCTGATCGAGCGTCTCGCGGCGGTCATGTTGGTAGAGCCCACACGTGCGTCTGACTTGCTGGGAAGCAATTTCTTAAGGACCCAACATTCCTGACGTCCGAGTCAAAGGGCATAAGAAACGGTACTCTTTCTGGTTGAGAGCATCTGACCAGTACTATCTTCTGAGTTGATGCGAGTCATGCGTGCCCATGCCACATTGCCCATGTCTCGACTTGATCTTGCATAGCAGTAATACGAGCATTTGGCGGATTGAACAAGCTCAGAAGGAGTCGCACTTGCTTCTTCGATCTGATAAGCTTGTTCTTGTGTAGGAGTGTCCCTTTGGAATCTGGAATTTACTGACTTACGAGAGCCGCTCGCTGAGAGTCACTTACTGTGAGAGCCGCTCACGAGAGTCCCTCTGCTCACGATAGTCATTCACGGGAGCGCTCACGAGAGCCGCTAGTGCGCAGTGCTGCCCCGATTTTGCTCGTCATGGCCACTGAGCAGTACATGTGAGCTAACGGACTATGTTGGAGCCGGCTTTCGATTGACCTTCGGTTCATGCACGTTCAATCAACGGTCGATATTTGATGTGACCATTGACCCACAGATATTCATTTCTTGGAATCGGCGTATTTATTTTCAGAAACCACACATGACGAGTCACCTTACGATGGGGCTGTAGCTTAATCGGTAAAGCGCCAGTCGCCGGTTCAATGAACCGGCCTGAGGTCACGTGCACAATGACCTCGAGGGGCCGCTTTCCCTCCTAAGGGGGGTGATCCCTGGGCGGCACGGAGCTTGACGTGCAAGCTCCGCGCAGCCTGCCGGGCCTAGCCCGCGCAATGCTCAGGAGCCTTAGGAGGTTTCCAAGGAGGACTCCCGAGGACTCCCGAGCATGAGAGATGCGGGTTCGAGCCCCGCCAGCTCCAAGATGTTTTTCTCGACCCCTGCTGTCCAGTAGGATGCACTTATCTCTGAAGTAAAGACTTACCGTCAATTTCTCATTCGAGCGACTGTCCTCCGTATGCACCAACTTGCATATACCTACCTACTTCGCTGCATTCAAACCAACGTATTAAGCCGCAAGCTACCTATGCGACGTGGGCCGTCTGCGCACCGGCGAGAGACACGTGGCAATCAAGCGAGTGCACCGGACTTCCATTGAATAGCCATGGAAGCGTCAGCCAGGGGCTTTAATGCCACATAAGAAGATCAGCTGACGGCGTTCCGATCAAGGCCGTGGTGGCTATTTCGCACGAATTGCAACCTCTTCGGTTGACATGACTAGATTGAGGAAAATAGATTCCAGATTGTTGCAGGGGTAACAGCGCCCGAAATGGGGCACGTATACATGAGTTGAATAAAAGCTCGAGAAGCGAAAGTAGAGCTAGTGCCCAACGGAACCCCCAGGTGTCTTGCCAGAGGGTCAGTTGCCCCCACAAAAGGAAGAATCTCATCAACGAGGAAGGAAATTTTCGGAAGAAAAGCTTGCCTGAACTTGGAGAATGGAGGTTCCCGAGCTTTGCGCCAACCCATCTCCCTGAGGCTGCGAAACATTTCAGGTAGAGGGGTTAAGGTTTTGCTCTTTAGAAGCAAACCTTCCTCTTCTGTGCTTCAAACTACGATTGACAACGTCTACCTGGAGTCTTCAACGTACCTGATCGCGTGCAAAGTCCGTCACTGATTGGTAGTGTAGGCGAACTGGGTAGCTTCTTCCATTTGTGCAGAGGCGCGAAATCCGGGATGTTGATTCTCTCCCTCAAGAACCAAATCAACCGCATGCCCTGAAGAAAGGGCAAGTTCTGCTTTAATACAAGACGTCGATACTTAGAGGTTCAACCCCTCTATACGCTAACGAACGATTTCTTATGTGGTTGCTGCATGCGGTCATATCAGCAGCATCTACAAACTTGCCAGATGAACACGGAAAAGGCCTTCCGCGATCGGCGAGGGCCGTTTCGACGAGTGGAACGACCTTCAGATTGCTGTGGAAGTCGTCGAGGCGCGCGCGCAGCAGGAACACAGGAATAATAGCAAACCAAGATGAAACTCACAAAGTAGGCAATTTTGATTGGCGATCTTGATTGGCTTCCTAGTCGCGGGGCGGGGGAGTGACAAGGGTGATGGAATCGACTGGGCCCTTGTCGAATAGCGAGCAAAGTAAGGCGCCCGCTGAGAACAGGAGTCATTGAAGCGGGCAGGACAGAGCGAAGGAACGAGGGAGGGTGGGAGAACGGGGGACGGTCAGCTGTCCGCCAGATTGGAAAGACTGCCAGCTGTCAATCCGTTTACTCAAAAAGAAGACTGTCTGCGAGTGAAGCGGAACTGGCTGAATAATGAAGAAAAACGTATTCTTCTGTTCGCAGCAGGCACAAAGTCATTGTTGCATCAAGCTGCCTGATTCGAAGAAGCGACTGAGTTCCGTATCTGGGGTTTGAGATTACTGAGGCTGATTTTGCACGTAAAGCGTTCTACATCTCGTCAAAGGGAAAGGCATCAGAACGTCCTCGCAGTCGGATCCTGTCGAGAAAGTCCTGCCGCTCAGCGGTCACGGTTTCCGGTTTGAGTAAGCTTTCTGGGTGTCGGAACAGAGCGGGCAGCCTAGATGCTGCGGGACTTACAAACAAGTCAGCGGCCTTATATGCTGTAGAGAAGAAGAGATAGATTCCCATCAGATTCTGTAAGCGAGCTCCAACTAAAGAGACTTAGCGGCCGGTCTTGAAAGCTGAACGCCCGACTGCCAGCTTACGTGGAATCGAAGGATGACCATCGCCTGCTTTCGAACCATAACCTCTCCAACTGAATTTGGCTCTGACGGTGCCACCTCTGCTCTCCTCGGCGAGCGGCTTCTGCTGCAGATTTGACAAGCTTAGTTTTGGACGGGAAGGATAGGCCCCCAAATAAAAAACGAGGAGAAGATGGAAAGGAAAGAGCGTTCAAATGAGGAGCGTGCGAGCGAATGCGCAAGATATTGGAACTCGAAAGCGTCCTCACTTCAAAGCAGAGTCCTGTCGTGCAAGAAAATTGGTGGCGCGCAAACGTTACCACGACGCGCAGAAGTTTGGTGGCGCACCATCGCGCACTTTACTGCCGCAGAGCAACGGAAATCAGGCAAGCGGGGCGACGAGCGTCAGAAGCATGCCTACGAGGAGCAGG